GTTGCGTAGTTTTAAAGATCTAAGCATACATTGGGACAGACAGACAGCGGGACGACTTTGTTTTATACTATGTAGGGATGGAGACGGTATAAAGGTGTTGCAGTTGTAGGCAAGATCAATCAGAGCTTGCTATCAATTGGAGGAGCTTCAACAATTGACGATAAGTGATCCGATATGCGTTCAGTATTGCGAGTCTCGTGATCTAATCCAAACAGGTACCACAAATTGTCGAGTTGATTTTTCACCACACAGTAGTCTACTGTAAAACCAGGGTGCTATCAGTTATTAATGATAAAAACTTATTAAAACTTTAGCGAGATACAATGAATCGCGAACTAATCCACTCACCCTGATGAAGGGCATCTGATAGGTCCGAAACAAGTCGGTATCGGTTAAACGTGACTTCAGCCGTCTTATTATTTAGAAGATATTAACATTTTTAAGGAATCATTAAGGTGTTATTGGTCCCGTGAAGATTACGAGTTAAAATTTTTGTTATAATCTACTTTTTAACGTAACAGCTTATGGTGAAATTCGAATATGGAGTCGGGGACGTAGTGCAGCCGAATATCAAAACCCACAGGCATCTCGACATAGTATCTGGATTCTGTTGCCACTCCGTAATGCGGTCGTCGGCACTCTTATATGAGCATGCAAGGATTTTAACCACGTCATATTAAGATGTCGGACAACGTCCGCACTCAGAGGCGCCGATTAACGCTTAACTCATATTAAATTTGTCTACTCGTTCAGTGTTAAAGACATATTCAGAAAACAATTTTTCAATGAATTATTTTGTTGTTTAACAAATATATTTATCCGAGTTGAACAGCTCACGTCCTCGATGTTGCAGGAATGGGCAGGCCCGTCCGGCGAAGTAACACGACCTCACAGAAGACCGGCGTGAAGTGGAAGTGTTATACTTCTGCGTTTCCTCTGGTGAGTGAGGTAGCCGGGGCCCACTTTATTATAAGATGGTAACAAATCTGCAACCATACGTGTGTGGCAAATGTCACTGGGCGGCGGTTATCACTTAACATCAGGTGAACCGCAAGCTCGCATGCCAAGTTCACTACATTATATAAAATAAAGTCGTCCCTCTGTCTGTCTGTCCCTATGTATGCTTACGAGTAGATCGTTAAACTACGCAACGGATCTTGATGCGGTTTTTTTATTAGATAGAGTGATTCAAGAGGCAGGTTTATATGTATAATACATTGCACCCATTCGACGCCGGGGCGGGTCGCTAGTCTCACATAAAAAGAAAACATTTTTTCATTAATTTACAAGTTTCGAACGCTTTTGTATATTGAAAGCCGACAGACTGTTCCGAGACCATTGACGCTGTGAAATAGTTCACAATTTCGAGAGTTAAATACCAAATAACAGATCCGTAAAATTGTCCTCTTAAAAAATCCTTAGCATTCGCGCAAACACAAGGATATCGTTAACAGTTCGCGGTTTAATTCTTGTGACAGATTCAACTAAATGCATGCGAGTACGGAGCATATGTGTTGCTCCGGTGCCGTGTACAGGAAGCGGCCGGGTTATCTCATTCGTTGTTTGAAAAGACCTCCTAACGGTTTTGTCAATGGTATACATCGCTTCGGAAGCGTTCGGCGTTGCGATGGGATCGCGGCGGGCACGCGAGCTTTATCGACACTTACGGCCCGCGCTCAGACGTCAATTAAATTCGTTATTACGAGTCTAATGCCAAGCATCACCGGATGATGTCTGTTAATCTTTTATAGTAATTAATACGCAGTAGCGATTGGTTTCGTTAGATTCTGTTCATAGTTTCATTGCCTGTAAAGTGCGCCGACTAGACTTTTCAATTATACTTGCACCGGAGTGAGCAGAGAACTGGCCACAGGTCTGCTGAAAGAGATTTCTGAAGAAATATGCTGGGCTTTCATAGGCTTTTAAAACTATTCTTGTAATTTCATAACAACATTTCTATTTGTATAAAATGTGTGCATAAATTATTTAATTAATAAACGTCTGCTATCATATTATGTTGCAGCCAGATTATGTTTAAATGCCCACTGCAAGGCATGGGCAATTTAAATGGTGAGAGCATTAGGGAGTAATCTGCTATTCGACCGACTGAAGATCGCAGATAGTTACGATCTTTTTAATTATATTTAAAAATCAGTGGAATTAAATAGCACGTTTTTTCTAGGTGTTTTTCTTTATCGACGTGGTTGTCGTGGTAAATAAGCAACTAATGACTTATTTGTATTGCCAAAGTTTGCATGGCGTAATAAAGAGACAAAATTATCAAGAGTTATGTAAAAAAAAACATAAGCTATCATAATGGATGAGTTACTGTAGAATATTTTCGCAACTTTTCGTCTGGTCGTATTTTGACAGAATTTTTTTATGTTCTTTATAAACCCTTTCTAGGATGTCATCGTGAAATCTCTTGTGTCACAAGAATTAATGAAAAATCGATAAGGGTGCAATGAAAATTACAATCAATAATTGAAAACTGAACCACTGATTATATTATGGACATTTGACTGTTGAGTGTTTATGTTTAAGCAATTAATGGTAAATACCGATGTTAAGATGGAAAAACACAAGCTGCACCGAGCTAAAAAGTTATCACCGCCGACGTCGTCGGGTTAACAATTCACTAGAGCCAAAAGAATGCCGAGCGCATTTTCTGTGGGGGCAAAATGTTGCCAAACATCGAATCATTTAACATCCCCTAGTGCACCGACTACGTTGAAAAAAAAACATATATAAATAAAAAAAAATTAATTCTCAACTACTTTAGAAATTTCATCAGATAATCGTGCTGGCATCACGGAACTCTCCGACACCATTCACTGACGTATAGGCCGATAAGAGTTACCTAACGTTATCACAATGTACACATGCAGCCGATTCCAATGAGCAATCTCTTAATTACCTAATACGATTTTTTTAATAAAGCAATGACAAGATATGTACGGCCATTGCTGGCGATTTTCCTGAGTGACTAAGCATTCAAGTGCTTGTAGAATAATAGCGTTAAACGTCAATCGCGCTCAAATATAATGGATCGACATTTTGTTAAACATATAAAGGGTTTCAATATTTGTTTGATCTTACAGCTTATAATTTTGGATACGATGTTTATTGTTTGACCTTCAACAGACTTAAAATAATAGCAAATAAGTCAAAGATAAAAATAATACTGAATAGGTCTAATGAACCTCCATACAAAGCTGACATTGCCAATTAGGAGGAGCCTTTCCAGACATTACCTATAAACAGCTATATTGTGTGTCTACATAAACAAGTCTATTTTAAGTGTTCAATCTGACTAATAATTTATGAAGGTACATCAGCTTTATTTTGCTTTTGATATTTTTACAACATCAAAATGCAGGGTTTATTTACTGTAGCCAAAATATATATTATAAAACCTAATTGTCATGATGCCAAACTAATGAGGCTTACCAACTAAATACATACATTGATATTCAAATATGTTTAACTTAATCATAAAATTGTAACAATATATGTACATATTTAAATTACAGTTAAACACAACAGTATAAAATAGACTTGAATTAGAGAACAGAAACTTACTTAATTAAAAAATTATCTTTTTTCTTTGAGGGGAAAAAAAAATGAGAAAATACATAATGTAAAATTATAAAAAAATTGAGATGTGTATATTATATTCAATAATAATGAATAGGTAGACATCATGTACAGTTAAGTTTAACATTCATATGTAGCTGACACATTGACATTACATGCTCCAGTACGGTCTTTATATCGGTAAACAATTAGAAAAAATATAGAACTTTAAATTTCCTTGCTTCTTTACTAGAAGATAAAGAGGTTAACAAACTAAGTGGAGTACATGTGTAAGGTGTGTTTATTTTGTAAACACTTAGATTAATGTTGAAGTATAAAAATGTTTTGATTTGTAAAGTCCATTACAAGAGTTTGCAAATGGTTATGTATGATATGGTACATTTCAATAAATAGTCATTCTCTTGACATGCAAACATTTCAATTTTTATCAATCCACTTCTTGGTTGTGCATTAATGCACACAGCATCCACGAAAAGAGGCTTTTATATAAAATGGTGAATGTCTTAAGCAGTAGTGGTGATATAAAAAAGAAAACATTAAAAAATAATATATTAAAAGTAAATACATGTGAACTAAAACATAACATGAGTAAATACCAAAATATCATAATAATAAGTAACAGAATATAGAATAACTTGAATTTCCAAAAAATTAAAATCATTCACAAAACTGTTGTTCTGGTTGTAACCCAAACTTCAAATATGACAGATGAAAAAATTGCCATGAACTAAACCAACAAATTTCTCAACAAAGTATATCCGAATCAACGTGAACTAGGATCTTTTTAGACGCGCGACATTAATAATAGGAAGCAATGTAAAAGGAAGAGCTAATTAGCATTCGGCGCGGTCTCCGAACGCGGCACATGAGGTGCACGGGAACCCCGCCATAACGCCGTAAACTTATCTATAAAGCCTGGGCACCAGACATAAACCAAACTTGCTCGAATTGAACGTTATAATTAATACAATAATCCTTTTGGTATACTTTCATAAAATGTTTTGACAACACTTTATATAACCTAAAACTGTGTAAAATGTCAATACTTTGCCAAACTCTTTGAAGTCGAAAAACAATTCGGTTTATGGACGCGATGTTACTCATGAATGTCCCTGAGAACACACGCGTATACGCAAGCCAATACGATGATACTAATTGCAATCCTATCGTCCTATTTGAAGAAACCTGGTCATATAAATAATAAGTTTACGAAAATAAAGTGAAACTTAGATACAAACAATTTTCCCGCGAAAGCAGTAAAAAAATATTTCTAAGATATAACACAACTGAACTAATTAATGTGAACAATTAATAAAGGTACGACAATCCAACCAAAGCACCGCTAGTCGGCTGGCGGTGAACCGGCGAAGCTTCAACAAAAATAACCAATTATTGTTACTTACCGCCGACTCTGTACATATTCGCAGCCATTTTTATACACAATCACTATTCATTAACACTTAATTAATCTACATCTGACACAATTAATAACTATAACACTATGTAATTGAGCTTTTAACAATGTTTTTCATCACGTTAACTCCGGACGCCTTTCGCTGATCGCCATTTTCTTTCACACTACCTACTAATTTGGCCAGTGCGCAGTCGCACTTTTTGGCATAAACTTCCTGCTCTTAAAACAAAGCAATGACATGTCCGTATATTTATATGCACTGTTTCTATTAAAATTACTGTAGAATTAAATTAAATCAAAAGTTATTTTACAAATCATGTCCTACAATCGAAATATAATTTACTATGTCCTAAAAATAAAAAAAAATGTTTCATTCAAGAACGTTTCATTACTACCGATTATCGTTTATGTCAAGTGTACGTTCCGCAGATGTAACTTAAAATGTTCCTATACTATTTCTTACAATTTTTTTTAACATAATATTTTTTTGAGTTTTATATGTTTACTGTACGAATTACTCTTTTTACAGAATAAATATTTATTACTATAATTAACAAGTGCTTGATGCAGCAAATGCTGATCTTGTAAAGGAACGCATACCATAGATATAGTAATTTACTAAATCTATGGCAAATCCGCTTTGTTTTTGCTTCTTCAAAATGCATGTAGTTTTTTCTAGCATAAACAAAGGTTAAATAAATGTAAAGAACATAATTTTTAGTTAGATAATGGATTAAGCATAGGAATACTAAAGTACTATTTTTTAACAAAATCACTTACGTCTTTAAAAGTGACGTGGCCGAGGTGACAGATATGGTGTCTATGATTTTGACAATTGCCAAATCAGCCCGACTCGCCCGTCTGATGAAAAATTATACTTATTCTTTTTATTTAACATATTTCTGAATGGACGCCAAGTAAGAAGATCGTGCTATATATGAGTGGATAGTGTTTAATTGCAACCTCTATGCTTGGTACGTAAAATGTGGACGTAATTTAATTTGTATGTACTGAGTTGTATACTATATTTTGTGTTTCCTGCTGTTATATGTTTAGGGTAGCGATATGGCGACTTATGAAGAGTTTATTCAACAAAACGAAGACAGAGATGGTATAAGATTTACGTGGAACGTATGGCCCTCCAGCCGAATTGAAACAACAAGGCTCGTAGTGCCTTTGGCTTGCCTGTACCAACCTTTAAAGGAGCGGCCAGACTTGCCCCCCATACAATATGAACCCGTGTTGTGTACACGTAATACCTGTCGTGCAATCCTTAATCCTATGTGCCAAGTTGATTATCGCGCTAAATTATGGGTGTGCAACTTCTGCTTTCAAAGAAACCCTGTAAGTACCTATTAATGATTAAGTCATTAGCAGTGTCTTAGATTTAATAATATTTCTATGTAAATTATTAATAATTCTATATATTATAAACTTAACCACCAATCACCACTGATTGTGTAATGTAGTGGCATATTAAATAGCTTTGTGTTATCTATTTAATCAGATTGGTGTTTGTCCCAGTAAAAATAAATTTAATTTGTTATAAACATTTGGGCATTTTATACTAAAATAAACTTTTATTAACCACAATATAATAATATCTATTTAGTTATTGGTTATTGTCATCATCATCATCCTCCTTGCCTTTTCCCACTTTAATGGGGTTGGCACAATAAGTTACTCATGTTGCATAAAGCTTAGCAACTGCATATAGCCAAGGTTAATATGTATTTATGTTTTATGCTTTTAAATCAAATAAAATATAAATTTTTAGTATATTTTGACTCTTATATCACTCCCTTATTTATAATTGACTTATACCAACAAGTATTTCTGTGTACTGCTTAGTTGTTATGTCAGCTTTTTTTATTCTGTTTAGTTTCCTCCACAATATGCAGCCATATCAGAACAGCATCAACCTGCTGAACTCATACCTAACTTTTCAACAATTGAATACACTATCACACGGGCTCAGGCAATGCCTCCGATCTTTCTATTAGTAGTTGACACTTGTTTGGATGAAGAAGAACTTGGTGCACTTAAGGACTCCTTGCAAACATCTCTTAGCTTAATGCCCCAAAATGCATTAGTTGGTCTGATCACATTTGGCCGAATGGTGCAAATACATGAATTAAGTAAGTTGTTTCACTTTATTTTTTATATTTTTAAGTTTTTTAGTTTTAAAGTTGTACAATACAATACTTCGACTTATTTTGATATATTTTGTAGTGACTCTTTAATTTCCTTTACAGGCACAGAAGGCATTTCAAAATGCTATGTTTTCAAAGGTACCAAAGATTTAACCGCTAAACAAATACAAGAGCAGTTGGCAATTGGTAGAGTGAATGCCCCCAATCCGCAAGGTAGACCTGGCGCTCCTGCACCACAACCACCGGCGCATCGTTTCCTTCAACCAGTTAAACAATGTGACATGGCACTGACAGATCTGTTAAGTGAGCTTGGTAGGGATCCATGGCCCCTAGGTGTTGGTAAGCGTCCATTGCGGAGCAGCGGCGTTGCACTCTCTCTAGCTGTGGGGTTGTTAGAAGTAACTTATCCGAACACTGGAGCAAGGATCATGCTGTTCCTTGGTGGACCTTGCTCTCAAGGTCCAGGTCAAGTTGTCAATGATGAGTTGAAGCAGCCAATTCGGTCCCATCATGATATTCATAAGGACAATGCAAAGTATATGAAGAAAGCAATTAAACATTATGAGGCCCTGTCATTAAGGTCTGCTACTAATGGACATTCCATAGATATTTACTCTTGTGCATTGGATCAAACCGGACTAATGGAGATGAAACAGTGCTGCAATTCCACTGGGTTAGTGCTTTTCGGTTTAAACCTAATAAGGAGCTTAATTATAATTTAATAATTTATGTAAAAGTCCAGCAAACTTGGCACAAAATCAGAATGTTTCCTAAATTCGTTTTAATGTAAAAAGAACATAAAACATAAGTAAAAACAACTAAGTATTTGCATTAAAAAAAGTTAAAAAAATATTTTTAGTCCGAGTTTGATATATAATAAATGTCTTCACCGTTAGAAATTTAAAACATTATTAAGTCCGGTTTCAAATATATCATCATTATTTTTTTGCCCTTCTACTTAGATGGGATTGGCACAAAAAGAATGACATCAACACATCTCAGGGACAAACGCTTGGGAATCAAACCCATGACCCCCCGCACCACAACCAGCAATTTAGAAACTATACCAGTGATTAATATATATATATATATTTTGTAAATATTTAGGCTTTAAAATTTTCAGTGGTCATATGGTTATGGGTGACTCGTTCAATTCATCACTGTTCAAGCAAACATTCCAAAGAGTGTTTGCAAAAGATCAAAAAGGTGAATACAAGATGGCATTCAATGGTAGTTTAGAAGTGAAGTGCAGCCGTGAACTCAAAAGTAAGTGATTTTGAATTAATTTATTGGGTACTACATTAATGTGTACAAGTGTTCTCACTTTTAATAATTATGATTTTTGCAGTAAGTGGCGCGATTGGTTCTTGCGTGTCGTTGAACGTGAAGGGGCCCTGTGTTTCGGAGCAGGAGGTGGGCATGGGCAACACATGCCAGTGGAAGATGTGCACATTCACTCCCAGCACCACAATGGCAATATTCTTCGAGGTACAGCTGTACTTGGCATAAAGGATGATCGTTGTGGTACAATACATTAAAACAATGTGTGAATACCTTATCAAGTGAAGTTACGCATACCTTTCGGGGCATTCATTTTTATGTTTACATTTTATTACTAAATCCTATAATGATTTAATGTTTTTTTTTTTAAATTTTAAGCATAGCAAGTTAATGTAAGTTGTATTAACACATGTGAGAATGTAATTCATATCGTAATTGTCGGCTAAATAAGTGGAACGTCTAATTTTTCTAGTTTAATTATAATTTTTTTTAGTAGTAATCACTGAACTGAAGATGAAACTTACTGTGTAGAAACTTACTGTGTAGAAACTTACTGTGTAGAAACTTACTGTGTAAAAGCTGTCGCAAAATTTTTCCAGAACGAACCTGCACTATAGCTTACATTTCAATAGCAAAGGCGACATTCCTAGTTTTCAAACATTCACTGTAAGAATGTATTTTGAGAAACTGATTGCTGTAAAGGAATCACATTATACCTCATGCATTACTTCAAATGCAATAAAAGCAAAAGTAGATAAGAACGTCGATTTCAGGAACGAGGTCAGGATGTCGACCGCGTAGTTTAGTTAGTAGAGCATTTATATGTTGTATGGATATTGTTATATAGTGTTTATTTAATTAACCTTATGCTTTTTAATTAGTCATATGAAGACTAATTAAATGAAAATATTATTAACATATCATTCATTTTGTAAGTAGTTTTTTCTATTGGAGGTAAATATTGACTTAAATTTATTAGAATACGCTATAAACAGTTTTTAAATCAACTAGACTACTTGCAATGCACACTGCTAGACAAATGTTATGTCTATAGTGCTAAATAAAGAATATTTTGGCTTTAAAATACGAATTGTATGACTTAAAATGTTTTTGTCAATTGTCAAACTTTTCATTAATATGTGAAGCTAAAAGTTTGGATTCTGTTTAACAAATACTGCTAGCAGGGAGTAGTGTGTTATTTGGCATAGTTTGAGTTTACATGGTGAAAAAGTGCAAAAAGCTAAAATTTGTACTAAATGTTTTACAATTACGTAAATAGCTGTAAAATAAGTTATTTACCGTTTACGTTTTTATTTTAAATTTCATGGATGTCTGTTGTCGAAGTTTTTAAATAATACATTGACGGCATGACTCCGAGAAAAATGATTTTTATATTGAATTACGGTTTTGTTTTTGTTTTGTTGTACACCATTACCACTAATGGTGTAGTAGGAGACTCCTATTGCCATATTTTGTATTTTACTAATAAAATCGGGAAATTATGCGATTCCCAAACGCCAGGCTAAATGTAAACTTTATAGTGCAATTCTTTAAAATTCAATTCTTTTTTATTTAAAATTTAAAACCTTTTATTTTTTTACCAATTTCGAAAGGTGTGATAATACTGTTTGTGGTAGGTGGTGAACCAACATGCCGCCCCAGTGCCGGCGGGGGGGCGCGGGTGTGTGCAACTCATCACGCAGTACCAGCACTCGAGCGGCCAGCGGCGCGTCAGAGTCACAACTGTCGCGCGCAAGTCAGTGACGTCAATGACAAACTCAATGCTATAACTAAGTAGCAAAATCGACACGTTTGTTTGTGTGCCCAAAATGTCAAAAAAACAATTTAGATCAGTTTTAAGAGATTTATATAAGGATTAGCTTATTGACTAAAGCGTCTCTGCGCGAATCTGAAAGACATAGGTTCGATTCCCGAAGCGGCGTAAAACTTTTTGTCCATTTTTTTTTTCTATTAATTTTAATGATAATTCATTTAGAAACATGTCAATCTCATCACACACATGCTAAAAGACAAAAATGTATCTGACAGCTATAGTAGTTTACATAAAATGTGAATTTTTATTTATTTCACAGCTAAGTAATGACACCTGCCGCGCAGGTCATAAGTTCTATTTACACCCGGACATGTTTTATATAATCAATAGTTAATTATTGTAAATTTGAGTATTGCCCATTGTTTATTTTTTGTCTTACATAATATAACTAAAAGTGATAAAAAATAGGATTTCTTTCCTACTGTCAGTTGAGTTGTGTTAGGCACATTATAAAAGTAATAAAACTAACTGTTATAATATAATTATCATTATTATTTTATGTTTTGTTGAATACACAATAAATTTGTGAGTGGGTAAGTAGAATTTCTGACAATAATATTGTGCCTCACATTAATCAAGGTAGGAGGAGAGAAAGGCGTTCCAATATAATAGGTTAATTGGGCCATCTAATAAGTAAATTAAATGTATTAACATTGCATAATAATTAATGTTGGCCTAAAGGAATTGTCCCTTTAATATTTATTGTTTCTAAATATTCTGGAAATGAATGTCACTGTCACATCTGTTAAGTTAAAATGTATCACACTACATTTGGGACTAACAAAGCTTGACAATCAAATAGCATTAGCTAGCAAATTTGAATATTAAAGCTTCGTTTAAACCATTGCAGTAAAAACATACATACATAAAGTAGCTCCGAAAGAGTTGGTCACCAGTTAAGGTCTTGTATCTTGTATTAACTGATGTTTTTGCTTTCAGTCCCGAGACTATTAAAGCTTCATCTGACGCAGAACCGGTGGGCTAGCCAGAACCCACGGGTTTGGGCCCTCCGCTGTGGGTAGGGCCGTGCATGTGCTCATGCGTGCGTTTAACTACGACATGTCATCTAAGGGCCAACGAGGTTGCGGTGGGGACCGAGACCCGATGGCCGTCGACTGTGTTTTTAGCTAATCTGTGGCTGGGGCGGTGAGAACCGCCCTGGAACGCGGGTGTACCTTGTGTACGCGTTGTGTTGGTCTCGCCGTGCTCGGAGGCCAGGGCGAACTATTGTGTTTGTTGTTGCACTAGCTGTGGGTGTAGTGTTATCCGGCGGGACCCCGGCGGTGGGTCCGGCGTATCTAAGTCCCCTTCCTCGACCGGGTCGATGAGGACGTTTCGCGGGCGACGCTTGTTGACGTTCGCGTTTGTGTCGGGTTGGTAATTTGCTGCGCTTACCACCAGAGGATTGGGATGATGTTCGGCTCTATCGAAGAACCGTTTGGTCAGGTCTTTAAAATATTCGCGAATCGTCGGGAGTCTGCAATCGCTGTGCAGATCGACTTTGCGTTGATACCACTACGCACCGGTTGCACGGCGGATGAACTTATTTTGTACTATTTGCAACTTGTACAAGCGAGTAGGGTGCGTGTGGGCGAAGATCATGCATGCGTAGGACATAATAGGTCGTACGCAGGTCTTATATAATAGTAATTTGTGCCTTAAGGGCATTTTACTTTTAGTGTTAGTTAAATTGTGTAGCTGGCCGGAGACGAACGCGGCTCTATTACAAACGTTATTAATGTGCGTAGTAAATGACATACGCGAATCGAAAGTGACTCCTAAGTATTTGACCCTTTTTCTCCCAGGGGAGCGGTTGGCCATAAAGGGAACCAGTTAAGGTGAAACGTAATAGGCATAGGGGCCTGTCTAGCGACACTTGTGCTCGCATTTCCAGTTGGGGCGACGCCGCCGTGAACCTGCACCACATAGCTGCCGGCTTCGACCAGGAGGCGGCGGCGGTGGTGATGGCGCGGCTCGTGGTGTACCGCGCCGAGCAGGAGGACGGGCCTGACGTACTGCGCTGGCTCGACCGGATGCTCATACGGCTGGTGGGTACCGTTTTTTTTTTATGTTACAATGTGGCAAGCGAGCTGGCGGTTCACCTGATGTTAAGTGATAACCGCCGCCCATGGACATTTGCAACTCCCATGGGATTGCAGATGTGTTGCCACCATTCAATGAACTGGGCCCCGGCTACATCACTCACTAGACGAAATGCAGAAGTATGAAAATAGTGTGAACATTATACAATTTGATGATAGCTTTACATAAAGCTAATGGATATATTATATTTTCACTATACATGTAAGCTATATTTGTAATATGTATATTATCAGATAATATCTATATTTAAAATGTTGTATTATTTCTAACATTACTGTAGTATCGCAGTGCACTATTGAAATCCTATTAATCTTTTTATATAAAAAATTAGGCTTCCATATGTTTGTGTCCACAAAACTCAAAAACTAGCCGATGGATTGACGTAAAATTTATCTCTTATTTGTTCAAAACATAGTTGTTGAACTGGAGAATATTTTAATATACTTTATATTCCGAAGTTCCAAAACAGAAGAAAACATGGCCGGTTTCACCTGTTATAAATAAATCCCAATAAGCTCTGTCCACCATACTTTTGAATGCGGTCTGATGTTCCTTTGTTTGCGTGTTCCAGTGCCAGAAGTTCGGCGAATACGGCAAAGACGACCCGAACAGCTTCAGGCTGTCGGAGAACTTCAGCCTTTACCCGCAGTTCATGTACCACCTGCGTCGCTCGCAGTTCCTGCAGGTGTTCAACAACTCGCCCGACGAGACCACCTTCTACAGGTATCCGTTGCTTATATTATATTAGCTGCCACCCGCGACTACGTCTGCGTAGAATAGGCTGAAGGCGTAACATTCAGACAGAAAGACAGATATAGATAAAAATGTATATAAATTATAGCCTATATCTTATTTTTTATAAAGAATTCATTGGCTGGATAATTATTGTACTGTGTAGCATTTTACATATACATATTGCGCGTGGCAAAATATCAAACACCCATTAGATGGAGTGATGACCTGTTCAAATTGTGATTTATGGCAGTCTGTAGGCATATATTCAGCAGTGAATTCTAATAGGCTGAGAACCTGATGATGATTTCATACAAACAATATAAGGTGCCTTAGCTTAGCAACCAAACAAGGCATTATAAATTTTTCGTGTGGATGATATATCTGGTGGATGATGGAAAAAACAACATATTTGTATTAATGTATTTAATGGATCATTTAACATGCAATAACATATTAGCTGTATATGTTTAGTTTTCATATGATTTAATAATATTCTATTTACAGGCACATGCTGATGCGTGAAGATCTAACGCAGTCACTCATCATGATCCAGCCAATTCTGTACTCTTATTCCTTTGGTGGGCCGCCAGAGCCAGTGCTCTTGGACACCTCCTCGATACAGCCTGACCGCATCCTTCTCATGGATACATTTTTCCAAATCCTCATTTATCATGGAGAGGTTTGAATTTTCTTTAATATAAAATAACTAACGTAGGTGTTATCAAAGATAATATCCATATTTTTGTAACAAATAATTCTGTGTTATTGTATAATATTTCTGTGGTATTATATGTAAAGCGTTTATTTTAATATTACAAACGGACACTCCAATTTAATTTGTGTAATTTTTTTGTATACTTGTATTATTAAAAAAGTGACCGCAGTTTCTTATCGATTCTTAATGCATAGGCTGTTACTTTACTTTATCACACATTTCGCAGACAATCGCCCAGTGGCGGGCGCTGCGGTACCAGGACATGCCAGAGTATGAGAGCTTCGCTCAGCTGCTGAGAGCGCCCATCGATGACGCCCAGGAGATCTTGCAGAGCCGCTTCCCCGTGCCACGGTATATCGACACCGAGCACGGCGGCTCCCAGGTAAGTCGTGAAGGCACCAGGTTGAAACTGGTGAAGTGTCTCCATCGCAGAGATTCACTTTTCTCCGTTAAATATAAAATAACCATGCCTATTAAATATATAAATCCGAGCTTCGCGGCAGTCTATGGACCTTGCACAGCGATGGACTCTAACAAGGTCTGAAATGGCGATGGTAATGATTAATATAACCTTTGACACTAAAAACCCAATTTATAGCTAGGAACCATCCCAATCACAGAGACACGTCAGACTTATTACACCCCTCTTTCTACATTGGGTGTTAAAATGATTTACGTCTGCTATTGAACTACTGGAGATTATACAGAGATAGATTTTAATTATATCTATTCCTACTAAGCTTTATTTCTCAGGCATTTGGCTTGTATCAAAGCAATAAAAAGCATTGTGTTAATTATGTTTTAAGAACTGATTTTATAAATTCTACTTATTCAGTGATGTGTTTTCTTGCCGCGGTGAAGTGGGGCAAGCGGTGTAGGTTTTAATATAATAATTAACGCAGACTAAGGCGTATCAGCTAGTAGTACATAACAAAAGTAAAGTGACAGCTAAATTTTCCTAATGATGGATGTGGTGAACTATGTCCTAATGCCCTTTGTATTAAGATATAGTCCACCACACAATCCCCTAATATTTGATCATCTAAATATTTTTTTAATAATACTAATACGTATTAATATATTTATAATAATGCATACCTTATATACAGATATTTCGTAGAATATTTTGTTGTCATAAATGTTAATTGAAGCCCAAAATGTATTACTGTGGTGGGGATATGCAATAGCTTCTGCTGATGTGCGAATGGGCTTATTGGGCGAAGTACCGGCCTCACGAAAGACAGGCGTATATATTGATGACTCCGTCGCGCATTTGCCAAGGCATCGGTTTCGATAAGGGTCAACGTAGGCACCGGGGGTTGTGGGTTCGATTCCCACACAGGATAACTATGTGTATGATCCACAGTGTTGGTTTACGTAAAATTTATATATGTAAAACGTCCTGATAACAAAGTAAAATGTGAAGAACATACAGTAAGGGTTTTTTATTATTCGGCAGCGGAACTGGATCACATCGGTTGTTGAAGATGTCCATGGGCATCAACAATTTAACAGTTTAACATCACGGCATGCGTACATGCTCGCTTGCCAATTTTTTACTTAAAAACAATAAATAATTGAACTCTGTTCATTCTTGCCTCAGAGACGCTTGCGTTCGAAAAGTGAAGCCGAAAAAATTTTCACTTCTTAGCTCTACAATTGCGGAGGTATACAGTCTTGACTCACAGACAGAAAGGCGGAGCATACGTTAAAAATATACAACCAAGTCAAGAACTCATTTGATATATTGTAATAGAATTTGTTACATAAAAATGTCACGCGGTCTCCACACTGACCGGTTGTTCCGCTTTGGTCCTCGCTAACATCTGCTCGAGCATGTCTGTCACTCTCTGCTGAGTTTTCAGCAGTTTCTTGAATGACGCGTCGTTGCGACTCTTCATGTAGTTGAGGGGCCGCTGCTCCCTCGTGAATATCTCGTCCCTGCAGCACTCCTCGCCGTTCGACTCCAAGTCCGCGTCCGATTCGTGGTAATGCTCCAACTTCTCGTGGAACCTTTGCACGTCTTCGTACCGCACTGGTTTCCTTTTGTGCAACTTCACTCTCACCTCGTCGTCTTCATTGTCCTCTCTTTCGTCGCTTCTTGGCCTATATTCGGTCACTCTTATCTTATTGCTGCCATGTTCTTTGTTTTTGGGCTTTGAATGCTTGAACGCGCTGCTCGATTTGGCCGTTTTTGATTTTTTCTTCGCCAATTTGTGCTGTCTGCTCGGGAACATCTGTAACCTCTCGATGTACGGGCGGCCGGTGCTGATGACAATCGTATGGCTTATTAACGACACCGGATTAGAAACAGGCACACCCAACGGTGGTATCTCGATTAGATTGCTCTGAATTGTGATCGGCCTAGAATTGTGGTTCCTTGACGAATGAGCTTGAGTGTCTGAATGTCCCATTGGATTTGAATATTGTTTGGGATTTTCTATTTTACTTCGTATCGGTACCCTTTTGTATTGTGGCAATGCATAAGGGTTTGAATAAGGTGCGCTGTTGGCTTTCTTTATAACCCTTTTTATAGAACGTGCTTTAGGGTGATATGGTACCCTTGAGGTAGTATGAAATATGGCCTTCTCGCTCTTCACCGTTGTAGACGGTGCTTCGGCAATGTTATTTTCCGTTTTATATTTTTGTAATATTTCCATTATTTTTTCAATGACAATTAAATTTTTGTTACTCGCTGTGGAGCGGGTAGTGGTCACTGCTGTTATGCCTGAAATTGAAAGGATTGAGATTATTTTCAGCTTTCGTTAGACGTTCAGTAAATCGAACTCCCTACCTTTCGTTGTCGAAATAACATCTTTATGTAAATCTCTGATTATTAAATCTTTCACATTTTCCGCAATTAGCTTGATCATCTCGGGCGGTAGAATGCTCGTGGGCTTTTCATCTTTATAATCGGTGATTTTGAACTTGGATAATTTCGGTTTTCCTAAAGCATTTCGACCAATTGTCTTGTCTCTATTGTATTTCCCATGTTTTTCATCTCTTGAAATGTAGTATCGTGTCGTAGTCGGCTCGTCATTATTGAATACATTTTTTTCTATATCTTCAAAGTCACGTGAAAACACGGGTTTCGGGTCTCTACTGTGTTGGATTTTCTTACTTTCATTCTCCCGTTTAAAGTTATCTATGGGAATTTTGATTTTGGAAAATTTGAACTCGTATGAATACTTACTCAGGCGCGCGTTAAACTTGTGCGTTTCGGGGCTACCTTTATCGTTGGTGTTTAAAAGATAATTAAATATGTCAGTGTCATCATCAATCGTAGAAATTACCTTGGGTTGAGGTGTGGTAATTATTTGCATTCGTGACTCTTCTTTAGAAGTATATTCCGATAGTATATTGTTTAAATACTCTTCACGCAATACATCTTCTTTACTCTCCGTATTATTAACAAGAGGTGTAGAATCAATGTTTATTTTGTTTTCATTGTACTTGGGCGTGGTGATAGACGTTATGGTAGTTATATAGTTTTCAGTAACCTCTGCGTTAGTATTATCATCAGCGTGATCAGTAGTGTTAACATCAGTGCTCATATTAGCGTTAACAACAGCGTTAACATCAGCGTTTCCATCAGTTCTAACAACAGCTTTAACATCGGTTTTAACATCAGTGTTAATATATGTATTAACATCAGTGCTAATATCAGTATTAACATCAGAGTTAATATCAGTATTAATATCAGTATTAACATCAGTGTTAATATCAGTATTAACATCAGTGTCATTAACACTGTAATTCTTAACGATAAAACTTTCGGTGGCTGTCTCCAGGTTCCTTCCAACCAATTTTTGCCAAAAGTTGATCACGTTCCTCAAATTAGGTTTCCCATCCGTGTATTCAATAAGTGTTCCATTGCTATCATTTTTAATCAGTGTACTCTCGTTTTTATCGTTTTCTATTGATACTGACGATTCTTCAATGTTCTCGTCAGTAACAACCGTTCGCCTGTCCCGCGTTACGTTGCTGTTAATTCTGACTTCATCCGCGTCCTTATTTCTTGGCGCTGCGTTATAGAAAATAGCACAAAATAAGAGAATGTCTATATTTATTGGTATGTCAATGCAATCGAAATTTGATTTTGAAATTTTTCGCAATACTTACCGTTTAATGTTGTGGTTGGTACGGGGACCGGTGTTGCCCTCAGCGGTGCTCTGATGATTTTCATTTGTTTCATATTGGCTACGCTACTGTTTAACAGAAATTCTCTACGCAGTTCCCTGTAACAGAGAGATATTGCACAGAAATTATTATTAGGATAAACAATTGCAGTTTCCACTTAACTAAATACGCTGTTCATCGAGGCTCGTTAATTCTCTGCTAGATTTTAAATATAATAGTCTAGGTGAGACATCGCTTTCTCTGTATGGATCTCATTATGGATAAAATGCGTGAAGGGGGGTTTCTCTTCAAATTTTGAATGTTGTTCTTGTTAATCATTATCCGACCCTAGATGACAGTGTTTTAAATACAAATTACAGCACGTTTTAGGAGAAGTTGAAGTTTATATGTATGTAGTATATAGCCGTCATTCACTAAATTTGCGAAGAGAGGTATAAGTGTTAAATTTGGTCATTATTAATATTCTAAATGTTTATGCCTTCATGTTATCTGAAAATGCAATTGGCCATATAAACACATACATACTCATTGTTTGCATCGTAAATGTTTACGTTTCGCTTTTGCAATTTCCTTAAAGAGTCCGAGTCGTTTCTTTGCACTCCGCTCAGGAATAGCACGCATGACAAATCTGAAAGTATTTTTTTTAAATAATACCAACTGTCGTCAACTCTCTGCCAGTATCATGTTTAAATCATTAAAACTAAAATGCACTTTTAATACACGCGTTTAAAAAATAATTAATTTCGATCAATACAATCGAAATTCACTGCACTCTATGTAGATTTGTACGTTGCACTTAAGTTCGCCCGAATGACACTATAATGCAGATGAAATTTATTTGAAATGAATGACCACAACACGCCGCAGACTATACAACATATTTTCTTTTTAATTTACGTCAGTTTTTTACTTCGTGAACCTCGACTGGCCGGTAAGTGTTAACAATATGATTTCTATCGGAACCTTTTGTCGCTAAGCGCTGTGCTTTCTCATTGTGAGCATAAATCGATTCACGTAACGTACATGAGATGACGGCGACGGTCAATAGAGCACGGCGCAACATACTGCGGCTCGTTATCGGTTTCGCTAAACGTAAACATTTCCACATAGTTTTGCAAACACTAAGTAAGTCACGTGGAGGCGCTTTAAGTTTTCCCGGATGCTTGGGGCGCGTATATTCAAGTGCGGTCCTGAAGTTCGTGCAGTGACCCGCATAATACGGCTTTTATGGTATGGCCTCGAGTTCGAGCGTATTCGCCTCTCTTTCGCGCCGCAGCTAAAATCGCTTTCTGTCTCGTTTCCACGTTTATGTATAGTTGCGGGGACAGCGATGTTATTCAGTAAGATTTTTTTAGAAATTTGCTATTAGTAATCTAAACACAACATGAGACATGGCAAATTTTTATTCTTTACATCATAATAACATAAAATGGGTATCATTTTCTCTCGTAAAAAAAAATTGAAAGCGACTTTTTATGACTAATATCCGTATTGAACTTCTTGTACAATACATATTCAATTTAAATACCTCAGATCTTAATTATATAGCTCGTTCAGTCCATGTTTCACAAACCATAAAAAAATATATAAATCTTGCGTGAATGTCAGGCAAGATTAGGCTGTAGTAGTCAGGCAGATTTATTTTGCGTAAGACATATGAAGCAACTGATTGGTGCACAGTGGTGTCTGGGCTCTCGCTTTCTATTCAATATACTCGAGCAAACTGAGCTGAATTATTAAGAGAAGGATGAAGGAAAACATCGTGAAGAAACCTACATATTTTCGAAATAATAACAAGAAATATTTCGAAGCTATGCGAAATCCGCCACCAACTAGGGTCGGGTGGATGGCCGCGCAGTGGGATATGTATAGCTGTTATTTTGCTTTAATAGTATTTTTATTCTCCCTTTTAAAAACTACTCGAATGATTTCGTAGGGTGGGTGATTATAAATCGTCCCGACGCTGTGGGAGGTTCGAAAAACATGAAATTCCGCACTAAGGACACCCGCAGACTAAGTTCCCGTGTGAGATTGGAACCCCCAACACAACTTTAAGTGGCGTTTGTGCAGTCCAACGACTGGAGTAATTCTTGAACAATTATTTTGTCATATGCGTTCTAATAGACAAGATAAGGCCCTCCTTTATATGATACTAGCGGACCGGGCTGACGTTGTCCTGTATACACGACTTAAATCCGATGACAACGTATAAATAAAAAAAAAAAAAAAAAAAAAAAAAAAAGAATTGTGAATCTAAACCATCCAGGGCGCCACCCGAACGCATAGCTACAAAAAAAATCATTCATATCGGTCCAGCCGTTCAGTGGCAACACACGTTTAGTAGAATTATTAAAAGATATAAATTATATAAAGATATTTTTGTTCCGTTTCTAGGCGAGATTCCTGCTGTCGAAAGTGAACCCGTCGCAGACACACAACAACATGTACGCGTACGGCGGGGTGAGTAATTAGCTCTCATTAAATTTGTAGGCAGAAACAACTTGAGCTTTTTGAAAAATCAAGACAATGCTTTAAATGTTGTCAGTCAATTAATGTTTTTAATTTTAATAAACCACTAAACCACAACGCCCAGAATTAAAAAAACATGTGTACAAGATCTTTGGAGACATCATTTTAGGCTATCGTCTCTTAGAGATCTTGATAAAAACTCGTGTTTATCTTAGTAATTTACATTGGGGCTTATTAGATTCTTGCTATTTAGAATATCATTAGAAAAATTATTGTTTACGTGTGACTTATTTCTTAATCAGAAAGTAGATTATTTTATCTTAATATTTAATTTTTGTATGGCACTCAAGTGTGTCAAGCCTCTGAACCAACCATAATAATAAGCCATTTTATGTAATATACACTCATTACTTAGTCATTTATTTGAGAACATGCAGATGTGATGAACGCATAATAATGCTACATTTATTCGTTCAAAGCTCATGAGATTCATGAATTATTAGTTGGCATCCTTACAAATAATCTAAAATTTAACGCTCTTACGCATTTTTAGTTGTGCAACCTGTTAGCATGCATTTACCGTTGTATGTATTATCTCCACCAGAGCATGATTTAATTATTGATGTTGTGTTTTCTTTTTGTTCCATCGTGGTTGCGCCGAAAAACCAGGCGATGCCGATACCATCTGCGGTACAGACTTTTTTTTTCATTAAACATTTTCTCCGGTTTTTGGGGTGGTCACTAACAAAAATTCGTTTCTTTAACATAACTTTAGCTAACGGTATAGGCAAAAAGCTTTGTTTATAGCAAACTTTCAGCTGTATGTATAGATTTTAAGTTATTTATGATGTGTATTTTTTTCTAATGATATCATTTCTTATGTTATATGTGCTACAAATACTAACTTATTGTTGCTTTTTATGGCTTTTTGTGGTATTCATGCTTACCGAGTGATCTTTTGCCTTTGGAATCGCGTAGTTTTCGTATTTTGTACTTTATAAGGTAACGAATTATTTGCATGCTCATGTTTAGTATCTCTTGACCCTTTAGTGCAATTGCTAAGCCATTGGCTCCAGCGCCAGGGGTCGTTGGGGTAATAATGTCTTGAGAAAAAAAAATGTTTAGTATTTCTTCAATCTGTACATGGTGTGTTGAATAAAAATATTCCATGTTAATGATACATAAATTAGGAGTATCGAAATTATCGATCTCTCTTCGATTGGCAACTAACCCTATCTACACTATATGTTAAAATGTAAAGCGTGTGATAGTTTTACAAAATAATATGAAAGGCTTAACAGATACTTTTGAAGTTATAGTTAATTTGGTGCATTTGAGTTTTTTATAAATTACATCAACACTTAATTTATTATCGTAACTACTTTGGACTTTATATATTTTATTATTATTTTTTTGTACCATTTACTTTTGTCTATTGGTCGTCACCTAAGTTTTAATGCAAAAAAATGACTTATTACTTAGCTGGCTCAGCGACTCAAAGAGGATCTTGGCCACCGACACGAAAAGACGCCACTGCTCTCTGTTCTGGGCTGTTTCTTGCCAATTGGCTGATTGGAGAGCTCTCAGATCTAAAATTACTATTATCAAAAATTACTATTTTTTTTTTTCTAAAGTTCTCCAAAGAATCATAACTTCTCACGTTTGTAAAGTGGTTTATCAAGGTTTTGGGGTGCTTATGCGGCGAGTATATCCATGAGCGCTTCTTAAACTGTTTCTCGACGTTGCAGGATGGCGGCGCGCCCGTTCTGACGGACGACGTGTCGCTCCAGGTCTTCATGGAGCACCTGAAGAAGTTGGCCGTGTCCTCCACGGCCTAGGCGGATAGTTGCTTTCTCACTTCTATAGCAGATGCGTGGCTGCTATACTGACCTTCTGTTTCTTTACTGTTCTCTAGATTTTTATTCGATCGCAGACGTTGCAGTAAACTCGACTAACGACTCAGAGAGTGGAGTTGAACTGGCGTTAAATTAGTTTTTTTGTTATGGAGTCTGGTTAATAAGTTTTTAATTGGACTTGATATGATCTAATTTAATTCTTATTAAACGCTAACTGGCGTTGAACGCGGACGCCGTCGCATATTCCTTTCACGTGAATTTTATGTACTGTTAGAATACTATAAATATTCGTGTATATCTTTATTTTTCATTAATATTGTGTTTACTGCTAATTCCTAATCGACCACGTAACGACTAGTTTTGTGTCTAGATTATTTTCCTTAACAAGAGCTTGTGGTCAGTTCTGTTGGTAGCGTTTACGAATGTCTAACCCGATCCTTCCTAGTTATAATTTGTATTCTGTAAATTATATAATGCAATGAAATGTTTATGGTAATCGCTCGTTTTATTTGATGAAAAAATTGAAAAAAAAACAAAAAAAAATGGCACTATTAATTGTAAACTTTAGCTAAAATCAAATTTCATTTTTAATGACCTCTAAAACTACGAATTTCATGGACGTAATTGGCCATTGTCGTTTACGTCAAATGGAAAAGTAAGAACAAAACAGATATACATAAATAAATATATTTACTCAATTCAATTATCTACAGATGCACAATGATTTCAACAATATATACGCTATACATATCCTTTAAATTTGGTCGCAGCATAGGAGAGCACATAAACGCGATATACAACACATTTTGAATGCAAATTGTAGAACGCAACAGACCCGGTTAATGTTAAACCCGAAAACGACATAGTAGGACGTAAATCACAAAATGAAAACAACAAAAATCAACATTTCCCGCACCCCCGTCACGAATGCCATTCGAAAAGTTCTAAACAGAAAGAGATGGGGATATCGACATCCTCCAGGATTAGTCCGTTGGATTCTTCGTAATGAGCCCGTAGACGAGGAGGGCCAGCACCGCGCCGAGGATGTACTTGATGTGGGCGGCTCAGGAGTGCGGTGGTCAGTTGAGGAAGCGGATGGACATCTTCTGCTCGACGTCGGTCCGCTCCAGCGCGCGGCAGAACTCCTCGAAGGAGATCATCTGGTCGTTGTTCGTGTCCGCCTCCAGTATCGTGCGCTCGGCGATGCTTGTCAGTTGCTCCTCGCTGCGGGGAATAAAAAAAAAAAACAATAATTTGGAAACATACACGCGTATGTCTTTACATGTGTTTAGTTCATTCTACACGGATGGGGTTGGGTGGTAAGTCTCAACAAGCACTGCAACCTAGATGATCTATTTTAGTTTCTCTTCGAAAAGGCACTGTTATTAAATCGATAATTTCCGTTCGCATCCGGTCTCATTCATGTTGGCGAATCATTTTTATGTTGGATCGTAAACTAAAAACGTAAACTTGCACCGCCTTCGAATTAAGTATATACTTATGTACTTAAGGACTTAAGTTTACGTTAACTTTAAAAAACCAAGCTAAAATTATTGTTAGTGGAACTTTCCTGGCGGTGTAGATAGATGTGTGTGCGATGTTGAGTAGGATTTACTGCGTTACGTCCAAAATGTTTGTAATAATTGCTAATGAAGAGTGCGTCAGTTTGATTTTAAGTTTGATGATGGCTGACCAACTCTCAATTATGTGAACACAATACCTACTGTAGAACCCTTTGTAAGCAGCAGACACATGGTACCGTTGTTAGGAACATAATACATGTCACATCTCATAATGGAACAATATCGAGCAAAATTGACTTGTCAACTTACCTGATGTTGACCCCCACCATCATGTGAAGGATGGCCAGCAATTCGTCCCTGGAGATTTTACCGTCATTGTCCAAATCGTACATCGAGAAGGCAACTAGAAACGTAATAGAATACAATTTAGAAAATTTCAACTTCATTTATTTATTTATTTATCCTTTATTGAAACACCTTAAAAAAAAAGGTGTTACAAAGGGCGGACTATTGGCCTTCGCTTGTCTTCTATAGAGCCGACTTTATCTGTGTACGGTCACGTAACAGACGATCGGTTATCACTTAACAACAGGTGAACCGCCAGCTCATTTGCCGCCTTCTCATTAAAAAAAAGACAACTGTTGGAAAGACAGGTATTTAGAACAAAAATTCAAATACACACGAACAATTATCGTGAATTCAGCAACACTTACATCTTAATTTCTCCTCCCGACTGTTAAGCTTGTTCTCGCGGTTCTTCCTGATCGGCCTGAAGTGGGCCAGCACCCTCATGAACTGAAGGAAATTAACTCTGTCGTCGTGGCTCTCGGCGAAGAAGGAATGCACTATCCTCTCGCTGAGCGGGTTAATCGCCAGCTCGGGGATACGCAGGAAGTCCTCGCGGGACAGTGTTCCGCAGTCGTTCTTGTCCAGCGATGTGAAACGGGAGTACAAGCGTTCTATTTGGTTCGGCGTGACTGGGAAATGTATTAAGGCACAGGTTAAATAACAACTTTAAAATGTTTACGACGGTAGGGCCACGCAACAGTGTTCACTGTTGCACGAATTGGCAGGTCCATCCGGGTCGGTACCACGACCTCACAGAAGACCGGCGTAAAGTAGAAGTGTAGCACTTCTGCGTTTCGTCTGGTGAGTGAGGTAGCCGGGGCCCACTTTATTTAGAGATGGCAACGCATCTTTGCAGATGTCCATGGGCAGGTGGTTATTATTTAACATCAGGTAAACCGCCGGCTCGTTTGCCACTTTCTCACATAAAAAAAAGATTATCGCCGATAGTAACAAGTTACTTAATATTTGATAATGCATTGCAAAGTTTATTGTGATTTATTTGAAAGCATTCATGGTACTAATGTATTTTTATTTATGTGAAAAGTTGGCAAAGAACAGGTGAATGGCCAGATTTCAAGTGATTACCGCTGCCCATGGACATCTACAACAAGAAGCGTTGATGAGGCGTAGCGAACCTTCAAACTAAGTAGGCCCCAGTTAATTCTTTAATTCTAAGTTATTTCTATAGTCTAATTAAGTTAGTATTATTGTTGTGTAACACTCTCGAAAATGAAAGATAAGTGACAAAAGCCAGAAAAATTATTGCGCTTCTTGTGGAGCGTTTGGTGGAGCCTCCTTCATCCAAACAATTAAATGTGATGATAAATTATATATGAAAATTTTAATTGATAATGCTTGAGTACTAAAATACTGCTGGATCTGAGGACTTATGTAAAGTTGGCTTAAGTAAAGACAAGCATTCCTCAAGTATTAGAAGAATGGATTTCTGTAGATATCATTAAACAATTAGTTTCCAAATAGAGTAAAAAAAAAAATATCCTTACTTTGTATAAAACTTAAAGAAATTTAACTTCCATGATAACCAATGTATATCTTATATCTAACTAAAATATGAAAATATATTCTCACATATAAACAAAAATTTACTGAAAATAAACAACCAATTCTAAAATGTATGTCAGTCATAAGTAAATACAAAAAATAAAATATTTGCCATATCTTTTTATCCTACAAATTATTATATTTGCTAAAGCAAGCTGTTATCAGTCTAACAAGGGCACATGAAGGACAATATATATGACAAGGACCTTCATAGTAATTGACCTGATATATACATAAATAACATAATAATATTATATTTATTACATATTTTTACAAGTTTAGAGAAATGTAATCTAAAATCTTGGACTAGATAATCAACTTTTAACCATACCCAATTTTTTTAAAATGCCAAGACGTGTCTGGGTTCTCATCTTTAATTCAATACAGGGAGGCTTTTTTACATGTATCCATTTTTTTGTATTAAATTCTAGACATAAATAGTGTTATATTAAAAATGAGAAATATTTAAAATCACTCGTAATTAATTAAATACATTCATTTAAACTTATCTCAAAAAGTGCGTGATTTATGGGCAGCTCATTTATTTTACGCGCGATCATTCATAACCAACACACACACAAGTTTGTTTCAAAAGTATACGACGCATTTATGAATGAGTACCGCATTATTAATAAGTTCTGTTTTTTAGGGACAAGAATGAAATAAAAAATGTTTGTTTTCATTTCGATAAACAATTATACCACCGAGTCTGAACCTCCCTTGTGAATTTGGGAACCTTTAGAAAAGCCACCCTGTATATGCGAGCAACCTGAGGCCAAACCCCAGTACCAGTTAAATTGTAAAATTTAAGTGCCGACTTATCACATGCTCACCGGTGAAGGAAAACATAGTGAGAAAACCTACATATTTTTGATATAATAAGAAAAATAAAATATTTTGTGATATGTGAAGTCTGCCAATCCGCAGTGGGGTCACATGGTGGACTTTACCTTAATACCCTCTGCACAGATGTCTTTGTCCAGCAGTGGGACATATTATATGCTGTTTTTTGGTCTTGTTTTACAAGAACTAAATAAAAAGTAAATACAGTTGAAGTATTCTTCATCAACATATTTTTTTCCATAGGTAGTTTTGGTATAATTTTTATTAATAATAATTGTATCAGTTTTTATAAGATAACATTAATATTTAAAGATAATAACTAGAATGTATAAGATAAATGTGTATAAAATTATTAATTCATACTACTTATATAACTATTTCAATAGTAAATATCACAATAATTAGAATGTATTGCTAAGCAAGTTCTTTACATAGACATTGTTTATATTAGTCTTAATTGTGAGTATATAGTAAGACACCTGAATTGAATTTTTTTACAGTCAAACAAATACTACTAGAACAAAAAATAAGTATCCATAAATTAATACAAAATATTTATCTATTTTAGTCAATAATAAAAAAAAACTTAGTTACAAAAATAAATACAAGAAAATGTTATCCGTTCTGGTTTTAACAAAACAATGATTTTACAGATATCAAATGAATATAACTTTATATTTATATTGAATCAAACAAAATTCGACTACATGTATGTGATAGACTGATCACAAATGTTGAGGGAAAGAAACAAAGGGGTCATGTGAAATACACGCTTATAAATGAAAAATAGATTAAGCTACTTACAACCCGTTTCTTCTTGAATTTGCGCAATTTCCTCCTCTCGCAATAATAATGAAGATTTATTTCCCATTTTCTGTGAACCTTGTTTATAACTGAACTGTTCACAATAAAAGAAGCTGATAAATTTGAAACTCCAAAGGCAAATACGTAAATAATAATTGATTAGTTACAGTATTGTGTGAAAAATTGTGAATGCATTGTTAGAATAAACTTTTATCTTTAATTTCAAACGAAATAATGAAAGTATAGGTTTTAAAGAATGTATCTTTTGATGAACATAAGAAACAAAGCCAATTTTATTTGTAATTTTAAATAAATTATGAAACGTAGAAATATTGTAAGTTTTTGACGTATTGGTTTGGATTGGTTTTGTACTGACTACTGTCATGTCAAGTGCTGTCAGACTTTGGACAACTTAATATAGGTCAGTGAGGCGTATTTATTGTAACAGGTATCTTAAGATACTAACGCCTGTACTTAAGCCTGTACACGTAACGAACAAACTTAAATAATAGTTCCTGTTCCACACAAATTATTCCTTAACCGACGTGATAACAACGTATTCTTTACTCATACTTACGACTGTTACATTAGTTAGAAATATATAAACACTGTGTGACAGTGTTTATATATTTCAAAGTATTCAGTAACAACTGTGACATGGTGTTAACCATGTCACAGTTGTTATTGAATACTTTTGTTACTGTCACAAGCTCTTTGGTTTTCTTGCATCGGTCATACAGTTTTGTTACAAAGAGAAGTACAGACGTGCAGCATGATAATTTCTTTTAGCTGTTACTTGGTTCGGACATCCGAAGTACACACATAATTAACGAACAGTTACATAGAGTAACATATTGTAACAGCTGCTACTTTATGTTACTCTTTGGTAACAGTTACACAAATTGTCACACCCAAAGACCTTACACTTACTAACGTTCGTAAGTATAAGATCTTTGGTCAAACCATAGTAAAACAACATAATATTATTTTGTATTAGATATATTTGTCACTGTTACTTTTAAGTTATAGGAAAAGGCGTAACAGGTACTCGATTTTACCTAGAGTTTGTTATATATACGATGATACGCGGGACATTGACATTAATTTGACATTAATAAACTAAAGTGACATTACGAAATAAAGTATCACATAGTGTTACGTACATTTTTGTTTAAAAAATACGGAACTTTATACCATCATCATCATCATTTCAGCCTGTTTGAGTTCACTGTTGAACATAGGCTTCCCCATAGACGGTCACGAAGTACGACCCTGAGCCACCTGCATCCATCGACTTCCCGCGCATTTGCACAGGTCGTCACTCTCATCTAGTGGGGGGTCGTCCCACACTGCGATGGCCAGTACGAGGCTGCCACTCAAGAACCTTTCTTCCCCAACTGTTATCGGTTCTACGAGCTATATGGCCGGACCATCTCCACTTCAGCTTGCTAATCCTCTGAGCTATGTCGGTTACCTTGGTTCTACTGCGGATGTCTTCGTTACGAACTCTATAACACAGAGAAATACCGAGCATAGCCCGCTCCATAGCTAGCTGAGCTTCCTCATACGGCCAGCAGTGAAGGACCACGTGTCGGTTCCGTAGGTTATCACTGGTAACACACATTGATTGAAGACTTTAGTCTTCAAACATTGAGGTATATTTGACGAGAACATTTGCCGAAGTTTCCCGAACGCTGCCCATCCGAGTTGGATTCACCGATTGACCTCTGCGTCGAAGTTGGACTTACCTAGCCGGACTAACTGTCCTAGGTAAATGTGGACTATGAGAAAGCCTGTATTCTGTCGAAATTTGGGCGATACTCCAGGCTCTTCAGCGGTGCAAAATTGACTTGAGGTGCCGAGGTGTTTGTATAACAAGGCTACGATGTCCGTCCAAGTACAGTCCAGTAGTACAAAACCTAACCTACAAAACCTATCCAGTAGTACAAAACCTACCTAAAACTGCAGAAGGGTGTAAGACAGGGCGATGGCATATCCCCGAAACTCTTCACCGCTGCGTTGGAAGATGTTTTCAAGCTTCTGGACTGGAAAGGACGAGGTATTAACATCAATGGCGAATATATCACCCACCTTCGATTTGCCGACGATATAGTCATCATGGCAGAATCGCTGGAGAACCTTGGTACTATGCTCAATGAACTCAACAGTGTCTCCTAACTGGTGGGCCTTAAGATGAACTTCATATACGAGTTCCATATTTATATATCTTTGATATTTTAGTTATTACATTATTTTTTGTTTATTAAGGTTTTAGTTTTAATTTCATTGTTTTAGTATATATTGTTTAATAGTTTATCATTTGAATGTTATTTAAGTTTGCTTATAGCCTTTTACTAGATATAATTTTTCAGATGTTAATTAGATTTATTCCCCTCTATATATGTCAATGTCTTGCGTATCAACCTATATTTAACAGACTGTTTAACTCACTCTTATAATACCAGTACATATATTTTATGAAGTAATCTTATTTTCTTACTGGGTGCAATCAACGTTTCCTTCAAATTTATTTTTGTCTTCCAAGTTATTTATGGAGTAATTAAAATTATTTTTGTAACTAAATATTTCTTTTTTATCATTAGAAATTAAAGTAAAATTTCTTTTTCTGATATTACGCTATGTATTTTTTTCCATGAATGATTTATATCCTTTTATTATTTCAAAAATTTTTTAAACTATAATTTTAATCTCTTCAATTTAACGTTACCGAAATGTATTTCGGGTAAATCTGTTGCTTAGTAACTGAAAAATAAATGTCCTGCATTGACATGTTTTCTCCCGTAGTACATATTTATTGAGATTATCCTTAAATTGTTATATGTTTACGCGTGTTCAATTAATAAGTATTTAAAGCGTATGAAAAGGTTATATATGTAATAAATATGAGTGTTATAAAACAGTCTACAGAGATGTTATCGATAGACAAAAAGCCTGATGTTGAGCAACTAGATCCCGTCATGGAAATTAATGAAAGTATAGTTAATCAAATATTTGATCAACCTTGTGAAGAAGGCGAATTCAATGAAATATCTCCTAGAATATTTGGTTTAAAGGACATTAAAGAACCACTTACTTTGGAATCGTTAATTAATGTTATTTATGAACTTGGCATCGTGAATCTTTGCTGGCCTGAAATAAATGAACCAGTTTTCGATATAAGAACGTCTTTTCCAAAAAGTTATTACATCAACACAGAAAAGGAACGGTTATTACTTGCTTATGCTGAAAATTTCAGACGACAGTTTTTACTTCACTTTCCATTTCGAAGACCACTGTTACTCCAAGCTCCAAATGAATGCGGTTTGCAGGTGGGTTTGATGAGTAAAATTTCTTCAAATTCAGATTTCAGATCCTATTAAAATATTGGGTTTATATACTTCATATAGATTGCGTTCAGAATTGTATGCTGAATTTTTTATAGCGACCTCTAGTAGCGAACGTTATAATTTGAACCAAAACCGTAACACTACTATGTATTTGTTGGTATATCATATTTACTAGATGGCGCTAGTTAACAGACTTTTTGACAAAAAAAAAATAGTTTCAATCTTGCTTTTAGAAAATGGTGTGTACAACTATCAGGCCTACCAAGCTGTGCTACAACGACACCAACACTTGGCAGGGCATTGCTTCTCTTGTATCAGATTATTTTGATTACGAGCCTCTCACGAAGCCAATGTTACACGTGAGTTTTTCCTTTGATACTTATACTTTAGGGTTTATGCCTTCGTAGAACATTAGCAAATCTTTACATACTTGTATAAAATTTATGTTTTGATAACAAGGTACCCATAAATATACATTCATAAATCAGGCAATGAATAAAAGAAATATGTAGGTAATTTATTTTACAGAAGCACATTTTGAAAATGTATAAAAATTATTGGTATAATAGTAAAAGATGGCGCAACTGAGCATATCTTAAGCTTTTAGTTACTATCTACTTTTTCAGATCATGTCCTTTTTTATTTAAGTTGTTTTTGTTTGCGTAGTTTTCCCAATTGAAATATAATTAGGTGTTATTTATTGTTATGTTAAGAGTACGGTGCTATGGATATTAAAATTTTCTTATATTTCCTTTTTTTTTCTACGATACGTATGTCAAGTACAGACGAGGAAATGAAACACAGTAAATAAAACGCTAGATTCCGTTAAAGGTTCAAATTTAATTCTTCAACATTATCAAGATCACAAACTCTGCGTTAGGTAGTAGTTTTCTTTTATAACCAGATTTGTAATTTTGTACAAAATATCATCTCTCGAACATTTTCCAATGGAGCTAACACAATCAACACCGAACACAATAGAACTATCCTAACTTCAGTGGAAAGGAGATAGAATCTTTGAACTGTCGGGCGTCCGTTGGGCGCGGCGATCATCGCAGTCCCAACGGAGTCCCGGACAAACTCTTTAACATCATGATAATACACTCTATACGTTAGGAATGTACTTATAATATTTAATAATCTCTCAATAATTTATAATTTTGATCACAGAGTCCTTAACTTTTAACGTTTAACATATACAATTCCGAGTCGAGACGTCGAGATTGCCTACCATATAAAATACTGAGCAATAGAAAACAATTACACGTGTGCCGTTAACCATAGTCATCTATATCTTAACAATATTATACTAGCTTGCTCTTACGGTTGGCACAACGGATACAATTGCAACCTCACGATATTTGGTATGGGTACACGACACTCGCCACAACAACAAGACACGCAACTATCCCCTAAACGGCCGAAAGCGCGCCATGACTTAGTTTTAGATTTGACTTGAGGTAGAACATAGGGATCGCGCTACTAAGGTAGGGTACATCTAGGAATGTAAACGTTAATGGCAACGTACAGCGACACTACTTATTCTAATCACAATGAAGTCACGTGCGAATCGGAAATGAACATGACTGCGGACCAGTAACATCTTAACGATCAAGTTAATTAATTAATCAACACAATTAAGTTTGCTATAGACTCGGGAAAAGATTAACTATCAATGTGGAGATTCGCGAGGGCGGCCGCGGAATACCGCGTCGGAACCGCGGCCCGCCCGCGTCAAGAGGGCCTTAACACTAAGGAAATATAATGCATAGCTTTTCTTTTAGAACAAAGAAATTACGCAAATTTGGCTACACATATCACAAGTGAACGCTTACTGGCGACGTCGTAATTAAATATGTACAGATATAATTGAAATATATTCCCTGTAGAGAGCGCGTAGCGGCGCTGGGCGTCTATTTGCGTCGCGCGGCGTGCTCTTGGGTAGCGCTGGGCGCGGGCGGTGCGGGGGGCGCGTGGGGCGCGTGGGGCGCGGGGTGGGAGGCGCGCCGCGTGCGCAGGTTGTGCAGCAGCGAGCTCAGCTGGTGCACGTGCATCCGGGTCACGCTCGGGTCCCCGCTCGCCTCCAGCCACCTGAGGAACTTCTCGCCATGCTCCAGGGCCTCCGCCGTCCCCGACTCCCACTCGCCGTTGGCCGCCTCGCTCGCCCTCCCCTCCTCGCCCCCCGCCTGGCCCGTGTTGTTGAACAGCAGGTTGTCCAGCACATTCCGCGCTTTGGTCTGGTGCCTGCCAGCCTCCGCGCTCTTCTCGGGCGTGGGGGGCTCCTTGCTCTCGGCCGCCGCTTCGGGACTGGCGACGGGCTCAGGCACACGCTGCTCCGGCACCCGTTGCTCGGGCACTCTCTGTTCAGCCAAGTGCTCCCGTGTTTCGCTAGGTTGCGTCGGAGCTGGGGCCGCGTTCGTGGCCGCCACTTGCTCCTCGTCAGCCTTTCCTTTGGTCAATTGGGAGTATAATATATTCTCAGCGGTCTTGTCCTTCGGCACCTGCGACGCCGATTTCAGTTTGTCTTCGGGAAGCGGCACGGCGCCACCGAACTGTTTGTAATATTGCCACAACCATGAGTTCCTGTTGTAATCCAGGTGTGAGTTGAGGGGCGGGGCGGGCGCCACAGGTTTCGGCGGCAGGCTCGGTTCGCTCGGTTTGCCGAGCTGGAGGGGGTGAGCGGTCGTCGTTTGAGCGGTCAGGTCGAGCATGGCCTGCTGGGTCTTCAGCCAGTACCACAGGGTGTCGTCCACAGGCTGGCTGGCGCTCTGAGAACTGCTGTGATGGCTCGTCTTGGAGCTACTGTGCCGGTAGGGGTCGGACGAGTGGTGCGACTTGCTCCGGTGTTTGCTCTCGTTCAAGTTGAGGACGCCGTTGTGCGCGGGCTTCGGGGAACGCACCGAGCGGAGCGCCCGGCTGGCCGGCTGGGCCGACAGGCCCGTCAGGCCGGGGTTGAGCTGGGCGAGGAGGGTGAGGTTGGTCGCGATCTCGTTGAAGCTGAGCCCGAGGTGCGAGTGCGCTAGGCCGGGCAGGTGCGCCAGTCCGGACAGCGGGCTGATGGCGCTCATAGAGACGCTGGCGCCGGGGTCGGGGCGGCGGTCGCGCGGGGCGGAGTGCTGCACCGTGGGCTCGGCGCGTTTGGTCGTGAGCTCGACGGGGGCGTCGATGGCGGGGGGCGCCGCCGGCGGCAGTGCGTGGGGGGCGCCGGGGGGCGAGGAGAGGTCGAGGCCCGCGGCGGCCGGCGACGGGGGCGCCACCGGCGACTCGGTGCGCGCGCGCTTGTCCGGCGGCTCGCCGTCGTTGCTCTTGTCGGTGTCGGGCGAGGACAGCCGCGAGGTCATGTAGCGCAGCTTGTCCTCGTTCTTGCACCAGCCGCGCAGCGTGGACTCGGGCACGCCGATGTCGCGCGCCACGGACGCCTTGGACTCGCCGTCGTTCACTCGCTGGATCGCCTCGATCTTGTCGCTCGGCGTCAGCGCGCGCATCGGACGCTTGCCCTTGGTCGCCATTTTGGCGTGGCGCTTTCTGCAACAATTGATGCCAATTTGAGCACACTGTTTACGGCCGGAATGTAAGTGGGAGAAAAACACTACATGTAATTTTCTATCGTGACGATAGTAATATGTTTTATTGTTGAGCGCGTTTCGTTCATCACCCTTTTTTGTTAATGCATTTTTCGTACCATCGAACTCTTAAGTCTCTTCAGAACATCGAACGTATCTAATCTGCATTCGTTATTTATCGTTTACGTCCCTCAGCTAAAAGCTTTTGTTTTATTTTGCACCAAAAAGTTCGAGACAAATTGCGTTTCCAAATTAAGGTAGACGAAAACACGTCAGAGTTTATCGAACCCGTATGAATTATCGTCGAGAGATGTGAGCACAATAATTCGAACACTGTTAAAAAAAGAATGATATTCGTAATGTGCAACGGCGCTATAGCGACAGGTTCACTAGGGTAAGAACGATAAAAGTGTTTGCGCGGGAAGCTATAAAGTTACGAAAAAGATAAACAAAAAGAAGACATAAAATTATGACCTACGACAACAGTAAACGGCAAAAGTTGTCGGGTCGTTGACACGGTGACCTTGCAAGCGAGCGCCGCGCGCCTCTCTCGGTCATCGCTAGGTGGCGCTGCGCGACCGACTGAGCGCTTGGTAATAATTTTTAACAAGTTCATAAACAAACTTAATGGAGTAGCGAACACTAGCAAATGTCAAATACGACGTTGAAAGTTATACAATCCCGTCATTACAATTAATTTTGTAAGTGTGTAAGTGTTATTTAAATTATTATTATTAAAATGATCTTAACCCGTTCGACTTTTTGAAGAATTATTTGTATAAATGCCTTAAAATTTCGTGTAATAAACACTGTTCGGTATTATTTTGTGTAATTTAATTTTAACGCGATTAAATTAATTAAAAGAAATACATATTGACTGTATTTACGTATATAATATACGAAAAAGCAAAAAACTACGTTCAACCTTAGTAAAAATGCTTCCAAAAGTTAGATTAGTAAACCAACAATCTTCATAACGATATTGTCAATGTTTTTAATAAATAGATCTAAAAAACAAGCATGGTACAATTAATCGTATAATAAATACTTAAGATTTCAATATTTTTTTGGCCGCGGTATTCTTTTTTCAAACTGTTACACGTGGATAGCATGTAGTTTTAACGTTATTTATAATAAACTTTTCACATCACCCGTTTTTGTTTTTACACATATTTACTATGGATAAGGTAATTTTTCAAATGCCTCACAATTTACCTATGACTAATTTACTATGCCTAGTACGTTTTAATGAGTTTTTAAGAGACTTAATTAATTTACTATGCCTAGTACGTTTATATGACTTTTGAATATTAAAATTGCCAACTCAAAGTAAGTTAAACTACATCTTCAAACTTTTTCCCATTTAACTTTTTATTTCATCCCAACAAAATTATTATTTCGTATCGAATGTAGTTAAAAGATCGGTATCAACTTGGATACATAATATTTTTTTTTTAAATACCCGATTTGGAGGATAAAGGAATGACTCAAAATTTAGTTTTAGTAATTTTCTGGTACATATCTAAGCAAAAATTAAAAAAAAAAGCGATTACGATGAGAAGAATATCGCAAGACCGATATTTGTTTGTTTAACAAATATTGATCTAAAATAAAGTACAAATATTTACCGTATACCATTTTCCACTTAAATACAACGAGAGTACGACCAAACGACAACTTTTGCACGACAAACTAGCTGCAAAATTTTCGAAAAATCCGTTCCGGTTAAAAGCGGCTTGACGCCACAGCAGAATAAACTACACACAAACACAAACAAAACTTACTTGCTGCCCGGTGTCACGTGCGCTGTGTTTACAATTTTTGACAGCCCGGCCGTTTTGCGATTCACTTGTAGCAACTTGTGTATACGAAAGTCTAGTATGGTATTAGAGGCGCGATCGGCGCCGGTGTGGGCGGCGATGCGGTGCCGTGCCGCGGTTTCTTGCCACACTCACTGTCACAAGACACTGGCGCGGTCCGTTGCGGTCCGTTCGGGTTCGCGCTCGCGGAAACGTGCGTCGCGGGGAACGCGAGGCGACTGTGTGCCGTTCGGTGATAAGGCCGCCCGGCCCGCGGCCGGCCGCGCCTCTCCTTTGTGTCCGTCCAACAGCCCCCCCCCCCCCCCTGCACCCGTCCCCGCCCCGGCCGCTCCCCCCGCCCCGCCGCCACCCCGCCGGCCCCGCGAACGGCCTAGCCCCCGCGCTTTATTAACGCAATTAATTCCGAACGCATCGACTTTCTACCGATCCCAAAAACTGCATTCAAGTTCGTCCGCGATCGCCGCTGAACTTTCGGCGGGCCGTTCTCGTCCGCTCGTGCCTCCGCTGTCTTGAAGTTTTCAACGGACACAGTGCAACGAGGAGCCCTACCGCACCGTCAACAATATTTTCGCAAAATGAATTATAACGCATCGCCTCTCATTAAGCGCTACGAACGCGTAGCGTCCGCGCTACGTTTGTAAACAATCCGTAGAAAGTTGTTGAACCTTTAATTGTGGCGATAAATTCTCGACCGTTTGTCGGACGCCCGTTCTTATGCTCTTTCAGAACTTTTTATTCCCGTTCAACTTTTTTTTTAGATCGTATCGAAGTTGTAACTGCTCTTTAAGTCTTTAACACATTGTTAGGAGACTTTTGTTTTTTTATTACAATCGGCGTAAACAGTGTTCATTATTTTGTTAACTACTTTTGTTTTTAATTGATCTAGATTTTTATATTGTTGACTATTTTTAACTGTCTCCTTTGCTATAGGCCACGCGTCAGGTTAAATAAACAGATAAGTAAAAGGATTAATACTTCTAATGTTATTTAACTTCTATTAGTAAATATTCATGGGAAGTAGAGAAACTTTAGGTTCCTTGCCTTGCCAAATCCAAACTCCAATAATTATGTATTGTTGGTATATCTTCGGGATATATGCCCACATAATAATACATAATATTCAATGAACTTGCCAAGCATGTTACAGCTGTTTATCTATTTTGTGATTATATACTCTACCTTGAGGCATTCTGAAGTTTGATTAAGTTAACGCGCGGACGTTGATAATTCATTGTGGATTAACTTATTCAAGAGTTTTTGTCGCCGCCCTGTATTGGTTTATAATAGACAGCGAGCCCCGGCTTTGCCTAGGTGCAATTTTTACAGTCAGTTTGTCAAGAAGACTTGGCGAATGTCAAAACTAATATTTTTTTCTAATACATACATAATATACACACATACATCTGAGCCAAGGTATGTGTTAAACGGACGAAGTTTTTTTTATAATTAGGTGCAGTGGCTTTCTGCTTTATACAACAAAAATAAAAGGTAAACGTAATGTTAGTTCTTTTTTCACATTCTAACAAAGAACAAGTTCCACAGATACTTTGTTAGTTGTTACAAATGTTAGTTGAACGATGTTTAATATGTATCTTTGTGATTTCTTGCGATAAATGACTAATAAAAGTATTAATATTATCGGAGCTATGTAATTTTCGATAATCAGTGCACAAGATTTAATTACAAAGACAACTTTTGCAATAAGACGACCACCAGCATCCGTATACTATACACATACTACGTAGACGTTAAAAATACCTCAGCCAGTCCATATATCCATATCCTTCAGATCATGATGACGGGGGCATTGGGAATTGACTGCATACTTTTCGCCTTGATTATGTTCTTGTCATAACTGACAAGAATATAATCAAAGCCTACAGGTAATACAGTTTGCTGGCAGTTCTACATGGGCATGTTTCAATCGTACTGTATGTGTATTCCTAATGTCCATAAACTATAACTTTGCCTCGAGGCTAGTTCGATGGGGGTTTTAAGATTCTTATCTCGTCGTTTTAAGTTATTAGAGGACTACTAAGAACAATTCAATCAAAACCGGAATTTGTAGAAAAAGTACGCTATGTGCTCAAGCCACTGAGCTAAACGGCTGATTGTAAACAATGTAGGCCGCGAATGCAAAAGACGTGGGTTCGATTCCCACAGCGGCGACAATCTTTTCTTACTTTTTCTACAAATTTTAATGTTCAATCCCAAGTGCAGAGATTAGCACTATAAAAAATTTTAATTTCTAAAAACCGGAATACTGGATGCTGCGACCTAAGGTGGGCTAAATTATTTGTTCATTCGATAGCACTCGTGACTTCGAAGCGTGCATTATGTGTCCACCGTTACGCTATCACCAGCTGGACGTTGCGATCTGTGGTGGAACGTTCCAGAAACGGAGTCACGTGTTCCGTTATCGAGGCGAGCGGGGTGGCACGGGGCCCATGATTAACGTGTGGGTAGCCCACAGCGCGTTACCCCAATCGATTATAAAACAATGGCTTCGGGGCTCCGTTCACTTGCACGTGGGATATATTTATAGCGGCCATTCCGTCTATCAGCTTCTAGAATGGATTGCGTATATTGTCATAACCGCTGGTTAATTTGTGCCGACTATCGGCCATAGAATGATATAAATGTATGTATAATATCTTTCATGTAAGAAGTGAGCTGTTCACCTAATCTTAAGCGATAACCGCAGCCCATGGACATTTGCAACACCCGTAGGGTTGCAAATTCGTTGCAACCCTTAAAAAAGTGGACCCCTATTACTCACTCACCGCACGAAACGTAGGAGTATAACACTTCCTCTTCACGCCGGTCTTTTTTGAACTCTTGCTACTTACCCGGATTGACCTGCCCATTCGTGCAACAAAAAGTAAAAAAAAGTAAAGTAACAGCCTATACATGTCCCACTGCTGGGCAAAGGCCTCCTCTATACAGAGGGTATCAGGGCATAGTCCACCACGCTGCCCCACTGCGGATTGGCGGACTTCACATATCTTCGAAAAATATTTTTTTTTGTTATTATTTCGAAAATATGGAGGTCTCACGATGTTTTCCTTCACCGCGGAGCACGTGATAAGTCAGCACTTAAAGTTAAAAACTTCATTGGTGTCGGCACCGGGGATCGAACTCAGGTTGCTCGAGTATATTGAATTAAAGGCGAGCGCCCGGACACTGAGCTATCACGGCTCTTGCTTCGTGCAACAGTTATATGATAATTCTTTATTCACGTTATTTGTAAGTTTTACTGGTCCTTAGTGGTGGAGCAAATAATAAAAAACAACAGCGAGTAGAGTACATGATCTGAATTCATGATTATGACACCATTACAATTGTGGAGTACGCCAGGTAGCGAACCGCGTGGCCATTGGTGATACCGAAATTCGTCAGCACCTTTGCCACACATTGTGAGGCTGGTTTTATATTACTAGGTGTTGTCCACGACAATGACCGTTGAGCTTGACAGTGGGTTTAGCTTATGTGTTCCCCATATTCCCCAGATTTCCGGGATAAAAGCTATCATATGTCCTTACCAGGGTCCCAAACTATCTCCATATCAATTTTCATCTAAATCGTTTTGGTGATTTAAGCGTGAAAAGGTAATAGACAGACAGAGTTACATTCCCATTTGTAATATTAGGTAATTATAGAAATATATATAGAGGAAACTAAAACAATCTCGATATAAGCAGTTCATCGACATTCGCTATACCAGACATGTTGTAAATGCGTCGTCGACCTTAAGGAGGTCCTTCTTGGTGGTCCCCAATAACTCGTTGGGTAACGTCAGTCCCGCAATATGTCGTATGCTTCTTCGTAGATCCTTATAGGCTCGAACTTGTAAACTGATCTAATCAACCGATCTTCCATCGGAGAATTGTCGCAAGCCGCTCAGGGAATAGCGACTCTGTGCCGTTTTGCCGACAAACTTGCATCGGTGGTCTACCGTCCAACATTTGCGCTCCGCTCCGTGTTAGCAGGGGTCAGAGGCATGCGCTGCTGTAGCCAGTTAATTGCCGCCGCGGCTTTGAGTCATGCCGGCCCCGTTGGCACAACGCGGCAACGACACGGCCCATGCAGTGTGTTCGTCGCACGTATTGGCGTTCGGCGGAGCGGCAACGTTTGGTCAAATGTTTGAGACGTTCTTTCGCTTTTGCAGTTTCGCTATGCGACACCACGCGGCCGTGATTTAGACTATGTGCTTCATCATGTACATACATGAGGTGTATATAAAAATGTCAAAGATTCAGAGCCAAGTCAAGGCCACAATGCAAGGGGTCTGCCTCGTCAATAAATCTCAGTCGACATCCAAAGATAAATATAATAATTGCTGTTATCTATCAATGTATTTTTTTTATAGATTAATGCCTTAAGCACACTTACATAACTTTGTGAACATTAACATAACTTTTGATTTGTTGTTATGTTCAGAAGTTGTTTAGTTATGATTCAAAAAAGAATCATCAACATCGGTTGATTCAGTCGAAAGTTTTAAGGTAACAAACATAAAAAAATACAGTCGAATTGAGAACCTCCTTCATTTTGAAGTCGGTTAAAATACTGATATTTCGTGCAATTAACTCATTAATAAGACTGGTGGTGAATTAGAGTACTAGTTAGCGTCTTAATGCTAAGTGAAGTTATGGGAAAACTAAAGAGCTTACGACTACACTTGATGTTGTTTATTATAGTAGATTTGTCACTCAATTAGAGAAGTGAAGCCAGTATACAAAAAGTGATTTTGCTTTGAGTAAATTAATTTGGAATAACTGCTAAATATTGACCTAAACCCTTATAATAATTGTTGCTACTCCGAGTAGATGAAGTGACAATAATTATTCTGTCAGAAATTACTATTTTTCTACTTATTCAAGGATTTATTTGTTTATTTATGTTTGTTACTTCAGATCGCCGTCGTTTATTAACGGATTTTAAAAATTTTTTTTGCAATAAGTTCAGTTTAACTCCTATGTGGTCCCATATTCATCTCGTTGGTATTCGACCTTGGACACCGGAGATAAACCGGGGAACCTCAAAGCTAATAGGAAATGTTATAGTGGGTGTGATATTTGAAGTCGGTTTAGTTTATTCTCAGTAGAAATGTTATTTTTAACATCAAGTTGCCAGCTTGTGATATATATCTCAACTGTTGGTAAGTGGCGAACAATTTTTAGACTGTGAGGGTTAGTTGAAGCCAATGCTTAGTGAAGGCAATGGACTTTTGCCTTGACGACTACCCTTGTATATTTATAACAAGAAATAGTAAGATCACCAGCGCCCGGTTTCTGAAACACTGATCATCGTAGAAGTTAACTAATCGGCTGTCAAATTTTATTCGGTTTGCGAAAAGCATTGTTAAACTCTCTGAATCAATCAGAATGATCTTCTTAATGATCAGAATGATCAATTTAGAGAGTTTAACAATCGTTTTGGCAATTCGAATAACATTTGAAAAGCCATTTGACAGCTGATTAGTTAGCTTAACTTCTACGATTATCTGTGTTTCAGAAACCGGGCGTATGTGTGTGCCGGTGAACTGCCTTAAAGATCAACATGATAGCTTAGAATCTTCAATTAAACCGGAGTTTAATTCTTTTATTGGTCAATCGGTGTCCTTTTAACAAGTTTTTAAGGGGAACCTCGCAATTGTAAATAATTTAATGGTAGTTAAGTGGTAATTGATGCCGGAAGGTTACATATTTTAGTATTTTCTAAATGGCTCCGTGGTGCAGTTGCCAAGATATTGCCTTCTGCGTCGGGGTCGTGGGTTCGATTCCCACACGGAACAAATATTTGTGTGACCTGGTCATTTTTTTTTGTTTTAAAAAACATTGCCCTCACTTTAGGATAACATTATCCTGTGTTGTAAGGACGTATTACAAACATAAATTACACGAGGACAAACACCCAGATGCGAAACAACTATCTGTGGGTCGCACAAACAGTTGTTCCGTCATTGTTTCATCATTCTTTCAGATCTGGATGTTTGTCTACGGAAAATTTATGTGAGTAAAACGTCCTTACAACACAGGATAATGTTTCGTGGATTGTTTTGTGTAAGGGAAATGTTTAAAAAAATATTATTTATACCTCCATAAAAATTAGAACGATATCATCAAACTTTTCCCAGCCTATCAACAGTAGATTCTCCAAAAGTTTCAATGATATCAGAACTTTTTCATAGAGACTAAATATATATATCATAACTTTTCTTCTACTTTCATCTGTCTTTTTTATTCTATTTATTTTTTATCTATTTTTTAGGGTTCCGTACCCAAAGGGTAAAACGGGACCCTATTACTAAGACTCCGCTGTCTGTCTGTGCGGCTGTCACCAGGCTGTATCTCATGAATTTGAGATGATGTATTTTTATTGCCGCTATAACAGAATAACGCTTCTGTAACCCTCGGGTGTAGCAGATGTCCATGGGCGGCGGTATTCACTTAACATCAGGTGAACCGTCAGCTCGTTTGACAACTTTTCGCATAAAAAAATAAAAAAATGAAAATATATTTTACTGGGGCTCCTATACAACAGACATAATTTTTTGCCGTTTTTATAGATAATGGAAACCTTCGTGATATAGTCCGACTCGGACTTGGCTGCTTTTTGTTAAACAGCAACCTTTGTTACGCGCACATATTATTTCGTCAATGAAGGGCCTTGCCCTGAAGGGAAGAGTCGTATCTGGATAAGGTAAGCATCCAACATGGAATTGTTATAGTGAAAGTAAGAAGAATCACCTTAGTGCAGAGCAATTCAGTTTGGGTGAATCTCAATATATGTAGATATACACGACAATAAATAATTATGATTTTGATACAAAATGTCCAATTTATCCAATTTTTAATCGCCTCAATGGACACATTTCTCTTGTATAATATAAGATACGGAAGGCCGTAAGGAACTACCTATCATAATTGTAAACTCCGTAAACTTAAAAATTCCCCACAAACGCTTAATCTCCGTCAACATCGGTTTTCGTATCGCTCAATAAGCAAGAGCTGTAGCCGCTGATCCAACGGGGTTCAGGTAATGCCGTTCGACGCAGTGTCGCATTTAATATTCCGCGTAGGCGGGTCTAGGAAGCAGGTAGAAGCGTGCAATGTAGCCTCGAGCAGTACTCCGGCATCTTCCGCTTGAGAATATTATGCAGAGCGTGTACGCCCCTTTAGGGTAGGGCCCTAGCACTCTGGCGTCTTGAGTTCGAATCCATGCGCGGCCCAATAACTCAATAGACATTTTAATTATGTAATTAGATTTTTTTAATAGATGGAGAGAGTTTTCCTAGTAACTTTTGTAGTAAAATAAGTTAAAGCAAACGTGATGCGCCTGTAACGCGACCGTTCTAGCTAGCGTGTCACCTTCAAAACCCGTGAGGTTTGAGGTGTGCATACGTAGAACTAGCCGTCGCTCGCGGCTCCGTCGACGTGTTACTTCGCTATCGATAAGTTTTGAAAACGCATTAACAACACAAATACCAACTTTCCATTCGAAATAGTCTTTGGCAGTGTGACCTATGTTCAGCAGTGGACTCACAAACTGAAATGATGATGATGACGATTCGAAACATCTTTGAAACACCCTAAACCGTGCGGAGTGAAAGCGTACGAGCATGCACAAAAAATGTCGCCAGTAATAGCGTTTAGTCGACAGACAGTGCGGTTCAAAGTGGCGTGGTGATTTCGAGAAGGGCCGCGCTTGTGTGGTAATACGACGTAGGTAAGTTTAGGCAGCGGCGCGGAGGTGGCTGGAGGCTAGGCGGGCCGCAGTAGGTACGTTTCGCCAAGTCGAGGCCACACAAAGGCCCTCGCCGGGCCGCGCCGCGATTTACGACGCGTCGCCCGCACTGTATTTCGGGCATTGGCGATGGGCGCGGAGCGACGAAATATCGGATGCGGCGTTTTATTGAGTCGATATTTTCCGATAGAGATTTGTATTTTCATTAAATCGCTAATCTGCGAATGCTAATCGTTTTGTTCAGCACAGTTTGCTCGATGCGAATATTTTGGAAACGTATGCTGGAATTTTGCATGTCTTATAATGTATACTAGAAATCCGTACACTATTATCGACTATCGATCGTATTGAATTATGAGCGAAACGAAATGTACCTATTCTTTTGCCAATAGATTGGTTCGAGTCCATTTTATACCTTTATGAAAATGTTACTTTGCCATTGATTCAGCTTTGTACCCGAGTTTTGGAGTCTTTGGCGACGCTGTCGCCGCGTCACACCGCCTCCGCGGCGGATCGCTTCGCGGCTCGCGCGGCACGTTCTCTAGTGATTTTGTTATCGGCGGCGCGGCGGCACCCCCCGGCGACATCCGACGCCGCGCGCCATTACCCTCCGCGCCCCCACCGCGCACCCCGCCGCGCCCCGGCGCCCCCGCCCCGCCCGCACCCCGCCCGCTCATTAGCCCGATGGCGCGAGACCGGCTGCACTCCGTGACGCCGCGACTTGAATTTTTAGACACGCCACCATACGCGAACGCACGCACACAGACGCCGTGCGGTGCCACTCGCCCGCGGGCCGCGGCCCCTTCGACGGCGGCTTCCATTCCGCATTCTGCCGCGGATTCCGATCTCGAAACGAACAGCGCAACGCTCCAAACACTTTGGGATCGCACGTTGTCCGCTTCCGAAAGTATTGCCTTACAGACATTGTGTTTGGTGTGCGCGGACGCATCCGCCTTCAGTACACTTTTATTATCTAATAAATCTAAACCCCGAAAAGTCGGCCCAGCTATTCCATTGTAGTTGTCGATGCGCTTTTCCGTGAGCGCCGTTGTTCACTTATCTAAGATCTACTATATAAGATCTATACGAAAATAATGACCACTAAAAAAAACAGGTATCGATCTATATTTTCGGGTAGTGTGAACGCTTCTGACGTCATTTTGACGCTGCGCCAAAAACACACCTAGACCAGAATTTGGCGAGAGTCTCCTCTACTTCCACGTCGACTTGCATCACGCTCGAACGTTATCGCTTATATCGCGTGTAATTAGTAGTTATGTAGCATTACGTTGTATTCAACATTTAGCTTAAATGTTGTATATAAGGCTAGGCGCGATGGATAAGATAGACCTTGCGTAGGAAGGAACCTAGTAGTAGACAATTCATTGCCGAATCATAATGTATTGAATAATATTTATCGTTTCAAAATATGCAAATCAAAAAACAACTATGTTTATATTAGACCGATGTGCAAAATTGCGTAAAAATGCTGTATAAACGTCAAAACAGTCGCTAGCGATCGATCTTTAGGTGTGGATTGCATGCGAAAACACTGGCCAATATCGCGAAGTACTCGTGGAACTATTAACAACCCGTGGAAAGTTTTTGACGTTTTAGAGTCGCGCTTGTCGAAGAAGGCGGGAAAAGTGACGTTTCGCGGTTAAAATATTGATACTTCGTCTTTTACAACACAGTCGTGGTATTGTTATTAAAAAAGTTGAGCCCTAAAGACTTTCTGCCCTAATGGAGTAGCCAGAAGTTGAAGCGGGTTAACTCGTCAAAATTTTCCAAAGTTGCTCTACAACTTCACTGACTGAAGCAGAATTTAGCCTAAAGAAAACGTCATTATCCATTTAATTAAGGGTAACGAATTGCTCTTCATTGTTATTATGAAAACCCTTATTTTATCCACGTATTAAAAATTCACTCCCACATGTTGCTACAGGTATATAAGAAAGAAGAAATTTGTATGAAGCAAATATTTTAATATGTTTTTTATAATCGCCAAAACCATTTGTGAAGTGTGGCATATTTCTTACCTAAGTCAACTACTAAGCGTCGAGTTTCTGCTTAGATTTTGGCGTCGGCAAAAAACACAATGTAACTTATTGAGACTGTCGGATTTTCGGACCGTCGGGTCTGAGATATGTGGGCATATTTACCTCGCTTATGGGAGACAGCTCAGTTGCCTTTAGAATACGACCTGACCCGGCGCGGCGCCCAATCGCCACGCATTCGTTCGCCTATCGCAGCAAGCCTATTTGACCCCTACGTTAATGGTGTCTAGGTGCAAAATGCGATGCGACCGCGTTCCGAACAACGAATTTAGTTCCTCAATAAGACTGAGGTTACACTCTCTCGAGTTGCGGCGCGTCCGTCTGAATTGAGACCGTTTCACGATTAGTGTAAGGTCGATCGGACAATTCCAACTTGAGCTCTATTCGATTGGAATAAGGGTTGTGCGAAACGTGAACACAGATCCTGTTACCGAACAAAACGTTGCGCGGCTCACTTTTCCGCGTAGAAGCGGGACTTGGATAGATGAGCCCCGCAAACTGACGCTGTTCGCAGGGCCCATCCAGTTCCGTGGCCATTGTTCCGTTGGATAAATTTGGGGGGCGGTGAAAGTGCATCAGTGCGGCCGACGGATAGGGGATTTGCCTGCGTGATGGTTTGAGAACTTCAGTCGGCTTTGTTCAGCCTAGTATTGCAGGCTTCGACGCTCTCCGTCCTAAAACCATGGTCTTAGATAACGCTGAGTACTTGAAAAGAGATTTTTTTTAAAGCGAAAAGCTGGAACTTCACAAGATTCCGCTTTATGGGAAGTTTTGCTATTCGTAAGTGGTTATTAACGCTCGTAAAATTTGGGGGAGTCGATGGATGCAAGGTGGCTCAAGATTGTGTCTCGTGGCAGTCTGTGGAGAGTTCGGCAGTGGACTCAAACAGGCTGCAATGATTTTGATGAGAAGACTTTACCCTATGGCATTGAAGTTGTCTAGTAAATATAATTGTGTGAAGACGACGTTACAGTGAACCGCTTAGTTCTAATCTTTCTATCTCGGGTACCACGAAAAGTGTTCTTAGATACAGTGCACGTAAAAGTGTCAGCTATTCCGCCGGTCTCCTAAACGAGCTCTCCCAAGAGAGTTCGATTGTTAGACTGTATACGCACTGTGTATCAAGTGTGTCATAAATTCTATACGTATCCATAGTGGACCGGCTATGCGAGCGCGCATTGTGGTTCCAGTTTAATTGTTATCGCGACACCCGCGAGTGCATCAGGGCCGCGGCGAGGCGGCGCGGCGGCCGAGGCCGTCCGTCTGACGGGCAGATAACGGCCCAACCCTGCAACCTTCACGGTGCTCAGTCTCGGCACACTTAACCTTATTCCGTATCGTATAGGGTTGTTTTTGTAACGGCGCCGGTGCGGCTGTCGAGTGGCCGAGTGACGTCACACGAGACGGCATCAGTCCGAAAGTCGATCTCTCGGCCGGCGATAATGCGATTTGCGATCAACCATTACAGATAATTTTGCCGCGTTGTTATTGTGCGCGCAGCACACCGCTAGGGCCGTGGCTCGATTAAGAGCAACACAAATAAGCCTTGGTTGCGAGTAAATATAACGAAATAATGTTATCCTAACAGTTGATATGTATAGCGAAATAATATTGGCCTTTTTCATTCTGATCTTTCAAAATGTCTTAGTATGTTTGTCATTTAAAACTTATATCACAACAGACATCTTTTTTCCGTCAAATTACGAGGTACAGGTTTTGACTTTGTAAGTAATGCAGATAACGAAACGTATGTAGGTATATAATTCTTTATTTTTTCCTCTTCTTTTTGGACATACGTGAATTTTGTGATTTCATGAAGAAACACAACTGCAGAGTTAATGTCGCTGACGGAGTTTTCGAGTGTGGTGAAGAAGAAATCTTCATTCTCGGAGGCACCTGCGGGAAAGTCGCATGTATAAAGAAAGTCATTATACCTGGACGAGCGGAAGCCCAGGTGCTGGTGAAACTTCCGCCAGCTGGAATTAAGGTGTCAAACAGATGCGTGTTGATCGAAGGCACTCCTACCAAGACATCAGCGCAAAAACTGATGACGGCGAGAATCTTGGTGATCGCGAGGTCTGCTTGAACAAAGGTGACGTCATTGGAAAGTGCGAGGAAGTTGTCTGGATGAAAAAGTGTAGTTTGGTTACAGGCGCAGACTCGGCAAACAGCAATAACTACGGATTAGTACTGAGCTACTCGATGACTGCAAGAGTAATCTGACTTATTCGCAGGGCATTAAAGCTAGGAAGTTTTTACAGCGCTACGCGAATATCTTCTCCAGTCAAGAAGGGGACCTTGGAAGAACTTCGATGGTTCAGCACAGGATAGATACCGGAAGCGAAAGACCAATTCGTCAACGAGCAAGACGGATACCAATTGCAAAGGAAAAAGAAGTTGAAGGCCTTCTGGAGGACATGAGAAGGAATAAGATTATTGAACCGTCTACAAGTCCGTGGTGCTCACCTGTTGTGTTAGTGAAGAAGAAAGATGGTAGCACGAGATTTTGTGTGGACTATAGGCGTCTCAATGATGTCACTAAGAAGGACAGTTACCCGTTACCTCGAATCGACGACACTTTGGATACCTTAAGTGGCATGAAATGGTTCTCGACCCTAGACCTGAAATCTGGATACTGGCAGGTGGAAATTCATCCAAAAGACAAGGAGAAGACAGCTTTCTCGACTGGTAAAGGTTTATGGCAATTTAACGTCATGCCCTTCGGATTGTGCAACGCGCCTGCCACATTTGAGCGACTCGTGGAGTGTGTACTTGCAAGCTTAGTTGGAGAGGCTTGCTTAGTCTACCTAGATGACATCATCATTGTCGGCCGTGACTTCGAGGACCATTTGCGAAACTCGGAGCGAGTTTTCGCCAAAATAGAGGGAGCCAAATTAAAGTTGAACCCGAAAAAGTGTCGTTTATTCAGGAGCAAGGTCAACTATCTCGGCCATGTTATCTCCAGTGATGGAATTCAGACAGACCCGGAGAAACTGGAAGCAGTTCAAAAATGGCCTACCCCTAAGGACAAAACCGAAGTGCGGGCATTCCTCGGCCTATGCTCATACTACAGGCGTTTTGTTAAGGGATTCTCAGAGATAGCCAAGCCATTACATCGGCTGACAGAAGATAAACGACCATTCAGTTGGGATGGGACTTGTGAAGATTCTTTTCAGAAACTGAAGAAACATCTGTGTGAAACACCAATCCTGGGGTATCCACAATCTGAAGGTCAGTTTTTAGTCGACACAGATGCAAGCAACACGGCCATTGGAGGGGTGTTATCTCAAAAACAGGGTGAAAGAGAAGTTGTTATTGCATATTTCAGCAAATCGTTATCCAAGCCAGAGAGAAAAACTACTGTGTAACAAGAAGAGCACTCTTGGCTGTTGTAAAGACGCTACAACATTTCAACAAATATCTCATCGGCAGACAGTTTTTACTGCGAACTGATCACGCAGCCTTGAAGTGGCTACTGCAATTCAAGAACCCGGAAGGTCAAGTAGCTCGATGGATTGAGCAGCTCCAGGAGTATGACTTCAAGACGGAACACCGCAGCGGAAAGACGCATGGAAATGCCGACGCACTCTCACGAAGGCCGTGTTCGGAAGACTGCAAACATTGTGTTAAGCAGGAATCTAATGAAGTTACATTAAGAGCTAACGAGGACAAGTCCTTTGGGTCTCTGGGAGAATGATGCTATGAGAGAGGCTCAAGAAAGTGACGACGACCTGCGGCACATCATCACATGGAAGAAGCGGGGCGATGTAAAACCAAACTGGAGTGAGGTTGCACCCACTGGCGCTGTCACTAAGGCGTACTGGGCGCAATGGGACAGTCTGATACTTCAAAACGGAATACTCTACAGGAAATGGGAGAAGACTAACGGCAGAGAGTTCCATCTTCAGATAATTGTCCCGAGAACGAGAGTACCAGATGTTCTCCGTGAAATACATGATGGCGTATCAGGAGGTCATCTAGGTGTCAAGAGAACGTTAACAAAAGTGCGAGAACGATTCTACTGGTTGCATTGTCGAGATGATGTACAGGATTGGTGCCGCAAATGTACTACTTGCGCTGCTGTAAGAGGACCACAGACCAGAAGCCGTGGGAACCTGCGGTTGTATAACGTCGGTGCACCGTGGGAACGAATTGCAGTTGACGTAGCTGGGCCATTTCCTGTAACGGAATCGGGAAACAAGTATTTTATGGTCGTCATGGACTACTTCACCAAATGGCCCGAAGTGTTCGCCATACCAAACCAAGAAGCTACAACAGTCGCTTCTAAGTTAGTAGAAGAAGTGATATGTCGTTTTGGTGTGCCTCTAGAAATCCATTCCGATCAGGGCAGGAACTTCGAATCACAAGTATTCCAGGAAGTGTGTAGAATTTTGGGCATGCATAAGACGAGGACCACCGCGTGCCACCCACAGTCTGATGGAATGGTTGAGAGATTTAACCAGACCCTTGAGAGGCATCTGGCGAAATTGGTAGACGACAAACAAAAGGATTGGGACAAGTATATACCACTCTTCCTTCTGTCGTACCGAACCGCCGAGCATGAGAGCATAAAAGCTACCCCGGCGTATGTCAATTACGGTAGAGAACTACGATTACCAGTAGACCTATTGACAGGAGGGTCACCGGAGGGACCACAGACCGTACAAGACTATGTCTGCAATTTAAGGAAAAAAAAAATGCGCTATATACACGCCTTGGTTCGGGAAAATGGGTTACAGTCAAGTGAGAACATGAAAACCAGATACGACCGGAAATCGAACACGGACGGCTTCGAAGAAGGGTCAATGGTGTGGCTGCATAACCCAACTCGTCGGAAAGGGAAATCCCCAAAGTTGCAGATCAAGTGGGACGGTCCATACAAAGTGGTTACCCGACTGAATGATGTGACTTATAGGATTCAAAAGCAACCAAGAGGGACATTCAAAGTGGTACACATAGACCGTCTGGCGCGTTACCATGGCAGTAACAATGATGCTCGGGACGAGCATCTCTAAGAAGGGAGTAGTGTTATGAACACACAAAGGAACTAACGCTATCTAGCGTCAACTATTAAAATCACTAAAGAACAAAGACGACATAAAACCCCCTATTGAATACTAGATGGCGTTAGAGGAACTGCTGTGGAACTATAGTCTCGAAAACCGGGTACATTCGCGAACTTTCCGGAATCACGAACATGTTCGGGCGTGTCGGGTACGTTCCAGGAAGGATCTTTCTGGATTAGTCTGGAACCGGTCTCGGCCCATATAAAAAGCCGCGGGGAGGCGAGCGAATACAGTTCAGTTTGAGCTACCTTCGAGGCGACTTCGGAGCGAAAACTAGTGATCAAGAGACCAACGATACCAGTGAAACCTACGACTTGGCTACAAAATAGGACAACGTTAGTGCTTAGTGTTTGGACCTATTGCGTTGTGTTGGACCTAGTGCGCGTAAATAAAGTCTTCAAAAGTCTTCAGTCAGCAGGTCTTTCTTTCCAAATCCTTCGAACCCCTAACACGTAACAATATTTTCCGAATAGTTGGGATCCAATCCACATTGTCTGGTGCAAAAGATCGGTTCACAATCCACTATTCCAATCGGTTAACTTTATGCCAATTCATTTATGGTGGCTTATGTTATCGCATATAAATTGTTTGGTATTTATCTAAGCAAGAAACCCCCTTTAAAGTAATGAATCATTACAAGCGAGTTATAAAGAGATGGTCAAACTGTTTGACAAATACGTCTGAACCTTCTTTTCATCGTAGCTGACGGGGTCGCTACGGTGTTTCTTGGCATATCGAGTTATCGAGAAATGTCACTTTTACAAGCTCCCCTTCCAATTGGACATGAATTGCAGTCGTCCGCTCCGATGGTCGTGCACTGCACAATGACTCTAATACCTAACAACGGAGAGTTCAATTCGCCTTTCGCCGTTCCAAATTACACTGCGCACAGCCGCGGTGCACTGTATCGATGAATGGCTTCCTTATTTTTTCCATCGGACGCGTGTCATTACGCGCACAATGCAAATGAGCGCGGTTCAGCATTGAGAAAAATACGGTCCGAGCTCAACGGGCGGGCGAAACGTTCTCGGTAATGGCGGCGCATTACGCTCTTAAGGTCGGCATAGCGAAATTGCGACGCGGACGCGTCCGACTACGCTCAGGTAGGCGCGTTCGTGGACGCGCGGAAATTTCGCCCAGGGACCGCGACGCCGCGTTCCACAGACGCGGATTAGTGCACAGATAATGCGAGACGGGGTTTTTGGCGCGAAAATAGATAACACTATTCTACTTATTTAAAATTTTTGGTTAGACTTTGAATGGATTTACTTGAAATTAGTATTTTATTGTGTTTACGATAATACACATTTATAGTTAAAGTATTTTTGTCAGATTTTATAGTATTCATTTTAAAGTCTCGACTTTCGGAATTTTAAATCCGTCTCGTGTGCATAAATTCTGCAAAATATTCGAAACATATCCTTAAATTGCATATAATTAATATAGGAAAATGAATGAATAAGTAAATTTTTTTTAATTATTTCCTTGTGCTCGTCTTCTCAGAAATATAATATTGTAGTAAATAAATTGATAGCCAAAAAAGTCTTCATTAGAAAGATGTAAATACGAAATAACTGAATTTATGGTCTGACATGACGTTTATACATGAATATAAGACGAAACGACAAAGACATTGTTTTGTAATATAATCTGTTATACGACCTTTGACCCTTTCGAACGCACCCGACTACGCTGTCGAATAATACAAATTAAGTTGCAATACGTTGAGGCATTATCCCGCGGGTATCTTTGTCCGCACGTTGGGAGCCGGAAAAAAAAAACCAACACAACGCACCAAGATTGTCTCGAACGGCGGCCAGCGAAGGGTTGGGCGCATAAAAAACTCGCATTCGCGGCAGAGGCGGCCGACAAAAGCGCGCGCAGCTTTCCACTTCGACAATCGTCACAATGACGACGAAAGACGTTACTGCGTCCCCATTGTGTTGTCCCGGGCGGGCTGCGCGCGTCCCGGAGGATTTTTATTAGACGCCCGTACGTACCGCCGTTTCCCCGATGTGAAACAATAGCGTTCCGGGTAGGGTCACTCGGGTGACGTCGCCCCGGGCTAAAGAGACACGCCACGGCATCTGTTGCCGCTCACGCGTCTCGTGTTACCCAGGGACTGGCCTCGAGCGCGGGAAATCGGCGGGCGACGGGCTTCTAGTGTCGGGATTCGGATTGCGAAGCGCTTTGTCGAACGTAATTACTATCGCAGCGCCATGTCACACGGTCCGAGTTATTCTGGGTGTTTAAGTTAAACCGAGTCTCCTCGAATGAGCGCTGGCGGCTGCAAAAGATACTAAAACGTTACGAAAATTTGTTCTCACACACGTGCTGCTTTTGGATGGATGTGCACGACGTCGTCGAGCACGTGACGAATTAGCGTTTGACGTTGCAATTATCAGGTACACTGCTACCGGGTGGCATTAAAAGTCACACTTAACGCTTTCATACCGTAGTGCTTTCCACTATGCGTGGTCGTGGAACGATTGTAGTTACGAATGTATTCAATATTTATACTTTTATATTACATTCGCTTGGTAAACCAACCAACCTTTCAGAGGATGGGTTGTTGCTACCTCCTGTGAAAAGTTGGCAACGCAATTCTATGGGTGCCGGGAATACCATTGGTCACGATTATCACCCAACAACAAATGAATGATCTATCTAATCTTTAACCGCTACGTTTAACAATGTAAAAATAAAAGTAAAGTCATTACGATGTAATCATGCGAATACAGACGCTATAAAGATTCAAACAGTTGTATTGTTTAACTAGCATGTTTAACTAATCCCATAATAATATAAACTGTGAACAAAAGCGCTTAATATGTTTTAATTAGTGTGCACTCGGCTCGCGAGGTTACAAAGTGGGCCCGTGCAACAGGTTACTGCGTACACGGAGTATTAAAACTATGCGGATTTTGTAACGTTTGCAGAGGGATTCTCCTATTTACGCTTACGGTTGAGAGCGTTGACTATAATAAACATTTTTTCACCACTACTAAGTGTATTCAACTTCGGATAATAGTTTGGTGTGGAAGTGATGAGTTTCTATCGTTATATTAAGTACTAGCTACTGCCCGCGACTACGTCTGCGTAGAGTAGGCTGAAGGCGTAAGATTCAGATAGGAAGACAGATATACATAAAATATGTAAATATTGTCTTATTCTGAGGTATAAGCTATATTATTGTAAAATTTTATTAAAATCCATTCCGTAGTATTAGCGTGAAAGAATAACAAACATCCATCCATACATAAAAACTTTCGCCTTTATAAAATATTAGTAAGGAAGTTCGTCCAATGTTCCCGAAACACATAATTTGTTAAAATAAATTGGGGTGTTAAGAGTGAGTGCTTATATACTAATGGCAAGGGAGTCGATAAGGCCCACATGCCTAATTGAGTGATGTGTACAAAATAGCAACAAACAACTGTTAGAAGCGAAGAATCGTTGTTACTCGTTCGTATATTCTTAAATCTTATGTTTATAATCCGTGCATCCTTATCTTATCATTATTATGTCTGAACAAAATGCTTGTTCCGTGGACAACACAGTTATGATGCTCCAAAGAAGGTTCTTCTCAATTTGCTCTTCTTCTTGTGATCGCGGTATTAGTGGCAAAGATTTGCTTTGACTAAAGTGAGGAATTTAGTATCAACATGCATTTTTTCCCACATGGAAGTTGTTTAAATACTGTTAAGCATTTACTTGGACCATTATTTGCTATGACTATAGCCAATAATAATAGCAACCTGTTGCGTGGCCGGAAACTCGGGGTTTTATGAAAGCGTTTATTATTTTTAGTACTGGGGATTTATAATTTCCCCCTTAGCATTTTTAACTGTTAATTGCAACGTTAAAAGCTTATTTATCACGTTTTCGGCGAAGGTGGTTAAAGTACTTCCATATCGGCATGTGTGAGGAATCAAAAGTTCGAACATGTGCTTTTTTGGAACATGGGTTAACAGAGTAATAGAGATGCACGTTGGAATGGCTTTAAAAATTATGGGACGCCAATCCCAGCCGTGAGCCACAGTAGTAGGTCCCAGCATTCGTGAGCATAAGCTGTTATTAAAGTAAGACATGTTGTCGCTAAAAAAAGTTTATGCGAGGTTGTATCAAACGTGTATATGAAGAATGAATTCATTTACTAATTTGTTCTGCCTTCTTAGCGCTTTTACCTTTTAAATCGCCATTCACTTGAATCTAAGAAATTTATATTTGTGCATCCGTTTGTAATTGCATGACAATTAGTTTAGTATTTATTACTTGTTCACGGAGCATTAATGGCACGGGCAAGCAGTATAGACCCATGTATGGCTCGAGAGATGCAACGCTATCCGCTTTACGTTGAAAGGGGACACCTATCACTGCAAATCGACCGCGTCTGCAGCGAAATAGATTTCCAGGGAACGCTATACAACCGAAATTCCTCCGCTTATCGCTTCCCCACAAAAGCCGGGCGCAGCGTTCCCGGCCGGTGCCGCTTAACCGTACATAAGTGTAATGAGCGCGAACAATGGCCGGCGAGCGTCCTTTTCAATTAGTTTTTTCGCGGCGCAGATAATGATTTAGAACGGTCGAGTCGGCGGCGCGGGTAATCGCGGCCGGCCATCTTTTCCCGGAAACCGACAACGGCGCGAAAGCGCGCCCGCGGCGTCCCGTCCCGCCTTTGTTTGTCCCCCTCTAATAATAGTGCACTTTCATTGTGCCGTCGGCCGGAGATCTCCTCGTTGCGGTGTCGCTGCGACCCCAAATGCTCCGCCGGACGTGGACAACTCATTCGAACGTTAAAAATCAAGCGACAGAGGCTTTACTGTCTGTTACGCGCTTTTTTAGTTACGGCGGCCATGGGAAGTTAGTGTCATGGCGTGGTGTCCGTCCGATGGGTCGACGATGTCGTAACGTAATGACGTGGCCCGGCGGATCACGTGACCGACTGGTCGACGATATCGTAACGATCGCTATACGCAGCGGTGGGCTGATGATGGCAACTTAGATGAATCTGACTTATGTTGACTAATGTTAGCTATAATTGAAAAGGTCGGTCGAATAGTTAATTGTAATGTACTATACATTATAAGAACAATTGACAATTCAATTGGTCTCAGATAAGTTCTAGATGTTTTTAAAATTTTTCATTACGAGCAGTAGTCAATCTCTGAAGAAGTACATTTTATGGTTGCATATCCAAAACTGATGATTTGATCAAACTCGGCCAATCGAATGCAAGGAAACGGCGGCGGAGTACAAATTAAGCATCCTTTTATTGTTTATTTGAAAAGATCAAAGCGAGCGCGCATTTCGACGATACTAAACGCACATGTTATTTAGTAATTTGGCCGCCCGGATGATTCAGGAACGAGATTTTATCCTTTACACCAAGATTTTACACTCTATAGCGACTTTATAGCGAGATTGTATACTCACAATTGCAGCTAAGTTATTACCTGATCTTTAGTACCATGTACCTGGTCCGACGAAGCTTAAGTAATAACAATGCATTGAGATAATTTCGGACGTGGCGTAATTTTGAAAGTTCAACGGTTTCGATAACCAATACGCCTTTATCTCCGTCGAATGACGCTTTTATTCTTATCGATGTTTAAAGCTGTCGGTCGGATGGTCCGCGGAAATGTGACAAATCGTATCGTCTGCAGTTATGTGATAGCGTAATGTCATCGTAATACGTGTATTGCGTCTTTATCCCCGATAGTTATGCAAGTGTCGAGTAATACTGTAAACTATTCAGATTGAAAAAATGTATCATGCAAACTAGAAAGCTTGCAGTTGGCAGTTATGGGTTATTCCGAAGAACGAAAAACCATAACTCTTGCGCATTTTCGTTCAAACGCAACTTTGAAACGTATCGAATCAGTTTAAATGTTATTGTTAGAAGAGTTTATTGTTATTAAACTAATACACAGCGTCATAAGGATTTACGTTTAAAGGAAGGTTCATGTTTCGTTGTTTGTATATAACATAAAATCAACGAAATGATTAGTGTTATGTGGTATATCTATATACTTACGATTAATAATATAGGAATAAATGCATTTACATTATCACAATCTTTGAAACTGGTTACTACAATTCTTCTCCCGGCAGTATTAGTGTATCTTTTATATTAATAGCGTCTTTGGAATGGGAATAGTATTGTACAAGTCTAGACTGACATGAGCATAATTCTGAAAAAACTCGTTTGGTGACAAAAAACGCGAGCCGTCACTGTGTGTGTTGCGATGGAGAATTTTGTCCAGAGGAACTTACTTATCGTTTGTCGTGTCACCTCACTAGAACCGATCGCGGCTCCGTGTCTAATAATGGGAAATGCTTTCTGGCGTGCTCTATCGTCGCTGACCCAGCTCACGGTCTATTTTTTTACTTGACCGCCACGATTAGTTCCCTTCGCCGTGTAGCCACGTGCTCGAGGAAGCTTCTTAGGGTAACCTTTATATAAGAAAATAACAAAATTACACATTCGGAAGATGTCACGAAGTCGGCCGATTTAGACAGCATTGTGCCGGATTCTGCTTCTGAATAATCTGTGTATGTAGCTCAGTGGGATGTTTGTTTCTTTATCCAATTTGCTTAATGTTAAGTTTATCGATTATTTTCGCTTTTAAAATTTGCTATCCAATGGTCGAGACCAGTGCTACGATAACTCCTTATACAGTAACAGTATCACAGAAAATACAAGTCGTATAAGTTGATACATCCCACCATCAAACAAATTCACGGATAAATGAACTGTTAATTAGGTTGCATTTTAAAATGCGTTTATATATTCATATTCTAATGTTTTATCTTCTGTTACGGTGCCCCGTTAACCGTTTGTTTGTTCTTCGCCGTCCTGCGAACGATGCCCGGATGATTCATCAAACAAAAGGGACCCTATGGGAAGTGTAGCACGTGAAGGGTACACTCATTGTCCTTTCTTCACTTTTTTTATGCTGAACTGATGCCTGCAACTGTTAGTCACATGTTTAGATGGCGATTAAACATAAATTTATGGAAATTATTCGAGTGACAATTCAATATCGTTATTTACTTAGAAGTATATGTATGCGTGTTAGTGTGATTCTACCGAATAAATCGGAATTTGATGCCCGACCATAAATATGTTCCCTTTCAGCTCATAACGATGATCTCATCGTCCAAAATAAAAAGACGTAGAGTATTGATCGTAGGCAATTAGTCTCGTTACATTAGAGACTGAGATTGCTCAGTGATGGTATGGCTACATTTTGTTTATGAACGACACGATTCTTCTGGGCTCGAACAGTAGCAGTGTTGTTACCGCTAATCTACTGCACTGCTAACATTCGTTGACAGTGCAGCAGATTAGCGGTGGCTAAACGATAGAGAAGCGGGCTGCGTTTTACTCGCTTATCACTCTACCCACGGGTTTGGAACGGTAATGTCAGCCAATGTCAGCTGGCCCCGCGTGTTGTGTATACTAATCGCTCCACTTGCGGATCTGTCAGTGCACGGGCTTGTTTCTGGCTGACCAGCACCGTCCTAGTTTGTAGAGCAACGCTGTTTCGCAGTCCCCAGCGACGGACGGCGCAATCGAGCCGCGCGAATAACCGTAAATCGGTCGCGGGCGCGCTAAAACCTGTCAGCGGGCAATAATTGCTGCGGACGCGAGCGCCGTCCGCGCCGACGGCCCAGGTAGTGGTGGGGTTACCACGTTTCCACGTGTTGTTCGGATATGTCCCGTATTTATTCGTCACAAAGACATGACAAAATTTCAACTTAAGACATAATAAATGCAGATAATATAAAAATTGTTTCACGTAAAGTTAAAGGATATCCGCAGTAGAACAAAGCAACCAACCGTAAACAGCTCGCAGAACCGATAACCGATGGGGAAGAAAGTTCCTCGAGTGGCAGCATTGTATTGGGTAGTGCAGTGTAGGACGACATTGGATGGAGTATATAAATGTATAGGATGTCGATGGATACAGATGGGGTGGATTATAATCGAGGTTCATGGCAGTCCGTGGTAGGCCTATGTTCAGCAGTGGACTCGAAGCGGTTGAAATGATGAGGATAATGATGAAAATTTTAGAACATCGTTTCAAAAATAAATACGTGAAATTATTGTGTGACTTAACATTGTTTACTATTTTTATAGAGTGGTTATATGCTGGCGTGGCTGACGTGAAATAACTCTGACTCTTTTTTATACTCTTATTATTTCTACATGAAACGTCGTACACACTTGTTCATTCGCAATGAGGACAAGTCCTCAAGCCGCGTGACACATGGCCATATTAGCCGGGGATAATGAGTCGCCACACGGCAGGTACGTGACGCCGCGTCTATCCAACAACGGTCGTTTCTGGGTACGACAATCGGTGGCGTGTCTTTTAAACGCCCCGGTGATTAAGAATTATCTTCCGTCTCGGCCCTATTGCGTTACTAGCGTGTTGGAAGAGGAACATAAACGAAGCGGTTACCCGAGAGCGTTTGGAGATTTTTGAAGCGAGTTATGCGCGAAGTAATATAGTAGCGAAAGCATTGGAATGTACATCTAGATATGTCATAATGCATAGAGACTGCGGCCCGTTTAGTCTCATAGTGAGTGTCGTATTGGTAAGAAATTTAACAGACGACGTCGTTACGAGGATATTGAAGTGATGTTTTATATAATTGTAATAAATTATTGTCTAGGTTTAAACTTTGGCAGTAGGCAGGCTTATAATCATCAATACAGAAATCTGTGTATATACACAGAAATCTGTGTATCTATCGCATGGATATACTTATATGGACCTGAATCGCGATCACCTCACAGGTAGGGTGACCACACAGTAACACAGGAAAGACATTCCACCTATCAGTTACCGCATCGGAATGTTGTGTCGAAAATTATTTACGACTCCCATCGAATCCGGCCGAGTCGTTCGCTATTGAATCGTAACAAACACGGCCGCCGGACTCTGTCGTACCGAATCTTCCCGAAGCCGTAAAAACGCTTCCCGGCCGTATGGTTCGGTGCTTTTTTGCGCGTCGCTTTGCGGTCCACGGCGCGGCCTCGCCCGATCTCTATTGAGGCGGCCAATGGCGGCGCGGGCGCTCGCCTCGTAAGTAATTACTGAACTCGGCGCTCGGAGCCCCTTCGGCTGCCGCGGGTATCTGTGTCGCGCGCGCTAATGGTCGCCGCAGCGTGCGTAGGGCTGCCACGGGCGACGCGACGGTTTGATCGACGCGCCCTATTTGTTAACGAGATTCACGAATCAGCGTTCTGGTTTCAATGGCCCTCAATGGAACTTCCCTGACGTCGTATGTGTTTTACCAGCCCGTAGGAACTGCTGTAGCATTTCTACGGGCTCTACCTCTCTAAAAGATAAAGACAAAGTCAACGCGGCGGAAAAACTTCGTCTGACATTGCGTGTCTATTTAGCCAATGTTGCCAACGATGTTGCAACGAATGCTTTAAACCTGTAACGAGTCAGGTTCAATAAATGTTTTAGCAAAATTAGGAACTTACTTTTTTAGGAAATTTCGTTGATTATCTGCTTTGCGCGATATACTCTATCGAGCACAATCATAATCAAAATAAACTTTCAACCCTAAGCAATGTGCATTTGCCACGATGCGCTTTTCGTCATGCTCACAGTTCAAAGTGTATTGAGTGATTCTTGCACTTGTTTCTCTCCACCTCTTAGGGTTCCATATTACAGGACTAGCCTCCGTGCGGATAGAAGTCTGCCGAATGGCAGCCCTGTCGATCGCCCGCCGACGGCCGCGTGAATGCGTAAATGTAAATGCGCTGCGCCTCGCCATCCGGTCGCGTCCGTCGCCGCGCCTCGGCGCGCTCCGCCGTAATTTAGGCGCGACCGCCCCCCCCCCCCCCCCCGTGCACCCCGCTAGCCCCCCGCGCCCGCTCCTTCGCCCACCGCACGCTAGGGCCGCGACAGACGGCTTCGCAATAATAGACGCCTCGGTTGAGGCAAGCCTACGCGGGCTCCATCTCTCGTCATCGGCACTAATCGCTCGGCACTTGTCGTCGAGTTAATTGGATCGGTCTTTACTCGTTCGCACTGGCGGTATAACTTGCCCCGGCTAAATCAGGCATTTCACGCGAGATATTAATCACCACAAAAAGGGGGGATCATAAGAGTTTAGGGACGAAACTCATACTTGTCGCGTTAATAAAGCATGAGTTAGCTAGCTGCACTAGTGCTTGGAAGTGAAGACAAGCTAATAAAAGTAGTTTCTTTTTTGTCAATCAGAAGTATGAATGTTTAGGACTAATGAAGAACAACAAATAGGCTCGTTCAAACTTGCCATAATAGGCAGAGCCAGCGTATCAGTCGGCAGCACCTTTTTTGTTCCTGGATTCAGTCCAAGTCACCAGCGTGTAAAACACCCCTCCACTTGCCCACCAGGACTGAATACATAAACTGATAATGATCGTTAGTCGTTGAAGGCTTTCAAGGACCTAACTTTCACATTTTAGCTTAGACCGCAACCACTAACTAACCTGTGCACCATGCACACCAGACGAAACGCTTGAATGAAAATGAGTCAACTTCACTGCAGTCTTCAGGAAGGAAGTGACTCTTACCCGGTCGTGGTGGTCTTCAAGCGCCACCGTTGATGTGCTGTTAAGAAAGTCACATTTAAAACACGAATTTAAATTATAATACCGTATCTTACCAACTACGTAGATTGCTGACGCTTTTATGCTTTTAGCTTTGCACCACGACGCAGCTCTCGCAATTACCTGCTCTTTGCCTCCATTGTATATTAATTACGGTTTTCTTATGCGGAATTCTTTCTTGTTCCCGTTCCGAAAATTGATGCGGTGAAACGTTTGCATTTGTTATAGGCAATAAATTTATGACGACAAACTAATTTAGTCAACTGTACTCGTATAATAGTAACAATGGGATAAAGTTATCGAATGTTTTGTGTAATAATTTGATTATATAGATCAACATTTTCGCGTGCTTCAGAAATACGAGTGTGTGCCGGGCAAATTTGCTTTAGAACGTCCATAGCATTTAACTTGACATGGAAAAATCTTTACGACTCCCCATTTTCACAGTATTTATAAATCGATTGTCACGGTATAATAAAGCTCATTATCTTCTATGTTTTGAATACGTGTTTTTATGTTGCTGGCATACTTATATCCCCGGATAAAATATAGCCGCGTCTGCTCTCTCAAGCTACCCGCTCGTTTGCGCTAAAATTGGTTGGGTCGCTCCGAAATTAACCGCCATCAACAGTCGGTTAAAGAGTTTTAGGATCGTACTTAGTTACTTGGTTCGAAATCAAACATATATGTATTTTTTTTATATGCAACGCCTTTGTACGAGTCTTCTTAACTAAGTAATGCCAAAGTTCTCATACAGGTTTTCGGTACTACGAGTACTTCAGTTTGGGCTTCACAGGCTTCTCAAATAGATTGTGTGATTGATTGGGGATGTAGACGGTCCTGAGCCATCTGCATCCATCGACTTCCTGCACATTTGAACAGGTCTTCATTTAACTTATACTCGTATAAGTACCGGATAAATTATTTCTTTACTATTAAAAGATATTTAATTAGTTGCATAACGGCCGTTTTCAATAACATTTCTATCTGTAGATTTGGTTACTGGAGATAGAATTTTATTAAGTCTTATGGAGCTAAGGTCAAATTCCTATCGCTGGTAACCATATCTACAGATAGATAGAATATTGAAACCGGGTGTTAAACTAATTTCAGTTAAGCTATAGCAGTCTTTAATAATTGCGACACGTCATCATGGCGGAACCGCGGGCGGCGGGCAGCCGATCGGGCGTGAAACGCTCCTGTGTGTAATTACAAACTAATTAGCGCTCAATGCAAGGAGTCACGCAAAAAGATCGGCACAGTCGGCTCCGCGTTGCCGAGCGGATCGCCTTGTTTACGTTCATCTCGAAAGAGCAACGCAATTATTGGCGATTACAATCCGCGTGTGCGTACCGCGTTTATTCATTCGCGGTACGCACACGGTTCGGTACTTGCGCCTCGGCCTGTAGGTACACCACAAGTTCGTTTTCTTGTAAATGAGTCGAACATACTTAAAGTTGTGGCACTTTTGCCTTTAAAGCTAGTATAGTAATTCTTAATCCGCATTAGCGGTGGTTTTGTCTTCTCCTCAATTGACCGTCGTGTGACCTCGTTGTTTAGCGGTGGACGTTTTTATTTAATTTCCGCATTTGATTCATTTCATTCGACGTTTCCCCGAGTCCGATAGATCTTTAAGTTTCGATCGATTTAACAATCTCGTTAAATTGCACACCACTGACTATATCTGCCCCGTCTCTTCAGTGATGAAATGCCTCGAGAACTTGTAAATTGTTTCAAATAATTCCCAAAAATGCTTTTATAAAAACTTGCAAGTTCGGAAGTCTCATGTGTCCCAAAAAGAAATTACCTCTCGTGTTTATCTGGCGGAAGCGAGCGTTGCCAGTATTTTTTTGTGTACCGTTTTTTTTCTGGATCATCCAACGTCGCCGCCCAGCGGAATAATTCCATGAGTGTTTTCCCGTGGAAAAATGAAAGTAGGCGATGCTCGCCCAAGTACGGTCCGCGTGGCCTTGGAACGGAGTGGCTTATTTTATCTTTACGGCCCTGTCAGCGACGCGGCTCGGTTCGCGCGCGATTTTTTTTTTAATACGACCGGTGTGTGGTTACATAACGGTGCGTTCGCTGAAATGCTATGAACAAAAAGGGGAAAATATCTGTTATTATAAACAAGTTGAACAGTTTATTATATTACGGAATGCGTTTTCATCTAATGAAGAACAGTTGACGTTTAAAGTTTTTTATAGTGCTAATCTCTGCAATTAAGATTAAACATTAAAGCTTGTAGAAAAAAAACGAAAAGATTGTCGCTGCAATCAGCCGTTTAGCTTAATGGCTAAAGCGTCAGGCCGCGAATGCCGCAGACGTGGGTTCGATTCCCACAGCAGCGACAATCTTTTCGTTCTTTTTCTACAAGTTTTAACAGTTGACATTGTTTGAAGAGGGCTACTTCGCGCAGTGTTTTTCGTTTGCTTTCCACCACCACTTTGTTAAAAGGTGGCAACCGGTCTGCAACCCTACAGATGTTGCAAATGCCAATGGGCAACGATTATCATTTAACATCAGGTGCACTGCAAGCTCGTTTACCACCTTCTCATATAAAAGAATCTCCGAGTGGAGATCGATTTGAATAGGTACTTGGAGAAATATCTGTTACACTTTGTTTTTTTAATACCTTTACGAATAGACAAAGCGCATGCAGCTTCTCGCATTGTTCGTAGCGATCTTTGTTTTTTAATCAGCCGAGGGGAGCGGCGGCCAATGCCTTGCGCGATGAGGACTCCATACAGGCGTGATGGGAGAGTTGGCATACACTGCAGCCAGCTCTCGGCTCCCCTTGGCCCTCGGGCGATGGAGGGCGCGATTAGAAATTCAAGGCGCGATGGAAGCAAATCAACTATGTTTGATTTTATAACGATGTTATTCATGATACTTCAAACAACTTCACGATCATAATGCATTAATAAATAAACATAATGCATTAAATCATATATGCATTAATATAAATGAAAATATTTTAGGACACATTTTTTCATAGCGTCCCACACTAAGCAATCCTAGTACTACCTACTATTGGGTACTAGGTTACTGATAAACATTCTTAAATATATTTCTTTCATTCTCCCTTGTACATATGAACACCCAGACACTGGAAAAACACTATGTTCATCACACAATATTTTTCCAGTAGTGGGGGTTGAACCCATACTCTCTGATTAGTTCTCACTCCGTGTAACACTCCGTGTTAGGCTGCTTCACTCCTGGCGCTGTTTCTCTACCCACTGCTCCAATAGCTCGTAATGACACGAGTTGATCGTGTCATATTAATGTATATGTCTGGTCAACAAATAAGGCATAACTAGACGATATGGTTTAGGTAACATGACTATTTAATTTGATCTGTCACTAAATGGCTGTATAATAGAACCTTCAGCTATTATTTAGGTCTATATAAACGAAATGCAATTCGACATTAATAAATAAAGGGTACGTCGTTAACATATTTTACGCCCGAGAATATTTCACTATCCGGTTTTTGGGGGAAAGTTTTCTCTGCTTGGAAAGATCCTACTCCTATACCCAGCTAGAATGAACATCAATAATATCATTAGCGATTGATCATTGCTCGCCGGTATACGTATAAATATATAGATGGGAATAAAAAGAAGGATGATTTAATGTATTTTTTATGCATAATAAAAAAAATATAAGCATTCTGCACTACTTCTTTATATAAACTATAAGTGTGGGAAATCTCATACTCCACCGTCCGCGAAATTTTCGTAAAAAGGGTAACAAAGTTTTTGCTTCACGTATTAATACAATTTTTTGCTTTGACGTTGCATAATTCATTCCATGAACTTGTACTAAAATAGCTCTTTCTAAATATAGATAGCGAAAATAGCGCGTCTGAAATTGCTCAGCGGCGGGACTGTTTTTATTCGTGCTTTGTTGAAACGTTTTATTGAACCTCCTGTCTGGAGTAGTTTATCGCCCGGTTTCTGAAACACTGATCATCGTAGAAGTTAACTAATCAGCTGTCAAATTTTAGTCGATTTGCGAAAAGCATTGTTAAACTCTGAATCGATCAGAATGATCTTCTCAATGATCAGAATGATCAATTCAAAGAGTTTAACAATCGTTTTGGCAATTCGAATAACATTTGAAAAGCCATTTGACAGCTGATTAGTTAACTTCTACGATTATCAGTGTTTCAGAAACCGGGCGTATGTCTATTAGCGGGTGGTACAACTCCAAGAACAATGGCTCATTATGGACAACGGGTTGACGCCATTTGAGTATTAAGCATCACATGATCACAATCTGTCACTTACCGATATCACAATTGACTTGGCCAAGTCTTGAATGATAATCTTATCCGGAACATTTATTTGGTTAGTAGTGGTGAGCTCCAGAAAACGGAGTAAAGTAACAATCGTGGCCCTACCACGATATTTTAGTAGGTCCGTCCGGGGAAGTACAATGACCTTACAGAAAACTGGAAAGAAGTGGAAGTTTTATACTTTTCGTTTCGTCTGGTGAGTGAGGTAAGCGGAGCCCAGCTTATTAAACGGTGGCAACATATTTGCATCCCTACGGGTGTTGCAAATGTCCATGTCAATGTCCGTTCTTATTCCATTTTCAAATATTATCTTGCCATAATGTTGTATTTGAACAGCGTTAGATAATCAGTCTTTTGTGACGATTTTAATATAAGAGATATATATATAGTATAATCTTTGTGGGTGGTGGTGTACACACCGCTGATAGGACCCTTTTTCTGCCCTTTCCTTTTAGGGATTTTGTCGCGTTTAATTAAAATTAATATTCTCGACGTTTCGAGTACTACGTGGCATTCAATGTCGCGGGAAAACACATGAAATTATCTTATGCGTCTATCAAAACATGTACCGCACTTCCTTTATACAAGGCTTGTTTACGTCTCGAGCGGCGATATGTCGGCGTGTTTTTTTTTAAATCGGTATGAGTCATCTCGTTCAGAAGCAAATGTCGCCGCGGTTTCGTATTCGCGGCAGTGTCCACCATAAAGTAAAGTATTATTACGGAAATTGGTGTCCACTCGCAGCCTCGAGATACCGAGAACTGCTATGCATTTATCCGCGCTCCGGATTCAGATTTGAACTTTCGCCTTAAAAAGGCTAGATTCGCGAACCTTCGGTGGTCGTAGGGTTGGCACTTTGGTACGCTACCGGTAAAATATTTTTTTTAACAATTTAAACGGGGACGGTACGGTAGGGACGGACCTTATGCCGATGTACCCAAATAGCGCACGAATCTTAGTCGTTCGCGAAGACCGCTTTGATCTCCCCTGAAACGTCATGCGGAACATATTATTCGACCTAACTAAGGTCATCGACAAATTACTCGTCAAACTTGCGTTGTCGGTGCATCTGATTCTAAAGTTTTGATAGACTATAGACACTTTTTACACTCATTTTAGAATATCATCTACATATATCACTTTACTTAAAAGACGCAAGAAACTGTCTGTGTGTGTGTGCACTACACATGTACATGTTTAATTTGCTTTCATCAAGCCAATAGCGTTTCGCACGGCGCACGGGTCTCAATGGCGACGTGTCGAACAATCCAAAGCTGACTGGGGACGTGCTAGACTAGTTCTTATTACACGGTCCGCTTGCAGGCGGCGTCGCGGGCCCGATCAATTAGGGCGCGTCGTTCGGCGCGGACGTGCCTTATCAAGGTTTTTTGCCGCGCAAATTGCGCGCATCGCCCCCTACGCTCTAGGCATCCAGCGTTTGGTATGCATGTCGACGTTGCAAATTTTGTGTTTTGATCTTGTCTTGTATTAACTGTTTAAATGTTTTTGCTTTCAGTCCCGAGACTATTAAAGCTTCATCGGACGCAGAACCGGTGGGCTACCCAGAACCCACGGGTTTGGACCCTCCGCTATGGGTAGGGTCGCGCATGTGCTCATGCGTGCGTTTAATTATGGTGTGTCATCTAAAGGCCGTCGAGGTCGCGGTTCGGACCGAGACCCCGACGGCCGTCGACTGTGTATTTAGCTAATCGGTGGCTGGGAGCGGTGAGAACCGCCCCGGAACGCGGCTGTACCTTGTGTTCGCGTTGTGTGGGTCTCGCCGTGCTCGGAGGCGAGGGCGAACTTGTGTGATTGTTGTTACACTAACTGTGGGTGTAGTGTTATCCGGCGGGACCCCTGGCGAGTTTTGATCTTTGGGCGGCAGTCTCTGGTTTTGGACTCTGTTCCTACCGATGTATTTACACCGATTATTACACGGTTAGCTAGGTGACTGCAGAGGTAATCACTCATATGGATAAATTTAGTCACGGATTACAATTATATTTATTTCTGACGTGAGAATTAGTCCATAGATGTTGTAAATTACTATCGTATTTGTGGGGCGGTAGTCTCTGGTTTTAGACACTGTTCCTACCGAAGTATTGATACCAACTATAGCAAGGTTAACTTGGCAACTGCAGAGGTAATCACTATTATGATTTTTGTGTGCTATGGATCAAACTAGGTTTGTTTAGTTGTAAAAAGTATGTTTAGACTTGATTGCTTATTAGATATCACAATGCTATGGTAGTAAGCATTGTCGAGTAACTATATAACGTTCGAGCCCGGTTTACGTCGAGAAGCATAGAGCCTGTGTGAACGTAATAATTACTATGTAATACCAAAGGCTTCCTCTGTGTACCCCCAAAAGGCGTTACAGCTTGTGTTGTTACATTGTTTTTCTACCCATCTTTTCACATGGTTGTGTGTCATGTTTGTGTAAATACTAAGACAGTTCGTCTATTTGTCATTTAAGAGAATCATATCCCAAAATGACGTCCTAAAACGTAGACCTCCTAAATTTGGAAGCGAAAACTTAACAGGTGACCTATATATAATGTCGTACCTATACTTTATACTGTATCATATTTGATCATATCACTTTTCACGTAGTGTCTTAACAAGCTCATGGACACTGTGACCTATCAGCAGCTCGAAGCTCGAAGCTTCCACGCTCCCCGAGATCGCCATGAGCGTCTAAGACAGCTGTCCGGCTGTGCGGAACTCTTGCGTGATAGCTTTCGACTACAGTGCACACGCGGCACGCCGAATGGGCGCGTCACGTGCAAGCACAATGAGGCGCCGGAGGGAAGGTACGCCCGTGGGAACAGCGAAGGGTTGGCGACGCGGCCGCGGCTGCGTCGGCAAAAAACTAATGAATATCGGGTCGTTTAGATCGCGGCTAGTGTGGCCACGCCGCCGGCGGCCAATCTAGGATATCCCGTTTTCAACTGATAGACGAATGGTAGATCGAATGGGCAAACGGAATCGAATGGGAAATTGAAGATGTCATTCCAAAACTACGTGGTGGATATTAAATCTGTCTCCTGCGCTATATCGTGGGTGTGGGTTAGGTGTGGCTAGAAAATTATTATTTGATGGGCAAAGTATTTTTAGGTATTTACAATGTCTATAATATGGACATATATGCAAAAAAGTATGTAAGTTAGCCAGTTGTGAAAGCTGTGCTTAGTTTAGTTTGCTTACATTCCTAAAATACAATGATTCACATATTTAGCCATGAAGTGGAAGACAGGCGTGTGTAGACACAATAAATATTAACAATATCTTAGTTATATTTTCTCTACCATTTAAGTATGTTTTTGGAACGATATTGATTTTAGAAATCGTTAAGACGGTATATATGTATAATTCGGTTAGTCAAAGGCATAGAAAACCTATGGAAACAAAAATATACCAGAAATTATCCCGTTTCATCGAAACGTTTGGTGACACTTATCGCGTGAGACTCAATTATTATGTAGCTACGCGTTTATTGGACCCTTGTTTATTTCGTATCGCTTTTTGCTCGCCGTTTTAGTTGAACGTTTCCGAAATTATTTGAAACGCCTGCGTTTTATCGGACCGTACACACGGTGCGGTGTTGAACACGAACGTTTTTAATTAATTTCTAACTTAATTTTGTTGATTTTATTTAACATCTTTGCGTACATATTTAATTAGCAGTATACAATGTCAACTGATCTCATATACGATATAATATCGACGTTTAATTATTATAGGGAAGTTAGTAATGATAATAGAATTGTTGTGATCGCTGAATTGGTTGTTAAAGTAAGGTAATAAATAAATTTGAAGACATTCTTCTATACTCTCCACTCTCTTAGAGTAGAATGATACGATTCTACTCTCTTACAATAGAATGTCTTCAAATTATATATTAAGTGCGATATTATTTCATCACTCATTTAGGCCACAACGAAAGGCTTCTCAACCGACTTCAAAAAACTAGGAGGTTCTTAATTTCTCAACTTGGTTGTACTTTTTGATGTTTGTTACCTCGAGCCTAATTTATTAAAATGTGCAACCCTAAGGGTGTTGCAAACGTCCATCGGCGGTGTTTTCACTTAAAATTGAAGCCGAACCGTCAGCCCGCTTTCTCACATAAAAAAAAATCTTGGGTCCAGTCACCCCATTTGCAGGATACTTGTTGTTGCACACTAGGGTGACGTCACGCCGCGGACAATCGCGGGAATGCACTCTTCGACTATCGCGTTTTGATTACGCAATCGGTATCAGACGCGCTTATCGGACGACCGCTGCCCCTTATCGGCCGCTAGCAGTTTCGCCAACGCATCATTGCCGATGATTGTGACTTGCACGAGAGTGGCACTTATCTGCCGGCGAGTAAATTACTCGTAAAAAGTACAGTAACCGCCTTACTATAGGCGCCTATGCCCTACAAGAGCCGTGAGAGCTCTCTTTCGGGGTGCACGTTTTTAATTCAATAGCGACCTGAGTTCAAAACCCAGTGGCAGTGCTGAAATTTTTTATTTTAAGTGCTGAATTGTCACCCGCAAAGCGTTTGCAACACCCGTTGTAGATGCGTTGTCACTATTTAATAATGTGGTCCCCGGCTACCTCACTTCCATTTCACGCCGGTCTTTTGTGAGTTCTTCCCCGGATGGACCTGCCCATTAGTGAAACAGCAAAGACTGTTTGTGGCCCTGCGACGGTTATAATACTAGTTTACTGCACTTTGTCTTTTATTTTTTCCTCAGTTATTCATTGTAATAAGCGGAATGATTGGAGGAAGTCGTGTTTTGTCTGCCGTTTTGTGGAATTCTATTAGCGGGTGAATGGTCTATAGAATAATTACTTATCGTTGTTGCAACTATCAGCCAGTCTTTCTTTCTCTGCTCATGAAATCAATTCAGACTGAATATTTAGTATTATTATTTTTCGCGTTGATACTCAAGTTCCGCTCAAATATGAGTTTCGTTATTTTCTTCCTCACCCATCAGTATATTCAAAAACGTAAGAGGGTACGTTGTTAGAGCTCGTTGATAACCAACATCCGCATATTGTGAGGCTGCTTAAAGCCCACCGCCTGTGTCCGCCTACGTCACTCCTAAAATAGACGATCGTTTCAGACCGTCCCACGCCTTCTATGCCGCTGTCAACGGTCTGGATATTTCAGGTTCGCCATCGAATGCGCATCGTGAATGCGACGCTATTTTCACGATCGCTATTTTTAAAACGACTTTTTAATGAAAACGCTGCATTACAACAGTTTTGTTACTAGTAAACAATCACTTTGCTTGGTCGAAGAAGCTATTAACAATTTGTAATGAAATCTACTGTATAGGGCCACGCAGCAGTCTTCGCTGTTGCACGAATGGGCAGGACGGACCTGTACTCGTTCAATCCACCATTGTAATTGTTTCAAAATCATGAATTCCGATCATGTAGCTTACTCGTTTATGTTTTTGATTATTTGTTCCATGACTTAGGACGAGTAAAACTGTCAAATAACGTGAATAAACCGTATAACTGTGGTAGGGTCAGGCAGCAGTCTTCGTTGTTGCACGAATGGGCATGTCCCTCTGGTACCACGTAGAAGACAGGCGTGAAGTGGAAGTGTATACTTCTGCGTTTTGTCTGGTGAGTGAGGTAAGCTCACTCTATTAAACTAAACTTTACCATACCACATTCTATTAAAAGGTGGCAACACATCTAACCCTACGGGTGTTGTAAATGCCAATGGGCGGCGGTTGTCACTTTCCGCGAACCGCCTGCTCGCTTGACCATATTTACATTGAAAATAAATCGAAGCACGCGGTGTCTTCAAACCAATCGGTTTTTATACTATAAGTTTTCATAGTCTAGACTAGTGTCGGTGATAAGAATCCTTCAATTTCATCGCATTGATAAACGGCTTGTTGGCTCGGTAAATGCTCAGTATGCGTTAGTCGGTTCGACGATTTAGAGGAGCGATGCAAACGCTTTCGGAGGGAAAAAAACCGAAGCGATCCCAATAAAATCGATCGGCGTTTCGGGGCGGCCGCGGGCGTCCCTTTTCCGAGAACGACGTCTTCTAATTACGTCCGTCTGCCGCGTCGGCGCGGCCGCTTTTATCTTCGCCCGACAACGGCCTGACGCTCGCCTCGATGGGATCCAACCCCCTGTTTGAATATCGCGGGGGATGCGTTCGCCAGAAATCCTCTCTGCTCGCCCACTCTGCGTAAGAGTTTGCGAAATTTCGCTCGACTAGGCTGCTTTAGGTAGCTCGATTTCAGTATGTTGGTGTCGAATTGTTTTTAGTACGTGTTCGTTTTTAGTCTGTGCTCAACATAGCACACGGTCCGGAGCATTTGTGTGAAAAACAAAGAAAAGGTATAGCGATGATGTCTTTGTTGGTTCTGTTTCAAAGTGGACGTCTTCGAAGTGATGGGTCGTGGTTTCGCTTCCCGAATGGTGCGATTTCATTAATGGCTGTTGTTTATGTTCGATTTTAAACGTACCGTAGGATATATACTTTAGTATTTGCATTAACACCTTCAAAATTTCATCAAAATATTATGGAGTAAGTATTTTGTTTGCTATGCTTGATTGTTTCAATTATCTTAATTTACATTTTACTTGAATAAATTGGGCTATATTTTATATAAATACGAATAAACCTTTGAAATCCCTAACTAGATCTATAGAATTTAATGTAAACGAAACATGAAAATAAAGAATTTTGAGAATCGGTCCACAACTGGAGCAGAAATCGGTGAACATACATAAAAAAATAAAAATACATACAGTCGAACATGGAACCTTCTCCTTTTTTGAAAAGCATACGGCATGTTGACTTTCATCGAATGATGAACACTAAACCAAACCGTCATTCAAAAATTATTATTTGCTCTCCGAATCGTGATTCGGAATTGGTTTCAGATTTGTCCTTTGCAAAGTTGCGGTAACCAAGTTTACTTACAGTAACAAAGCTCCGTAGTTTGCAGGCGGGCTGCTATGACCAAAGTAGCTCATATTAGAGTAGAACCATAGATATCGAGAGCAGAGTAGAACCATAGATATCGAGAGCAGAGTAGAACCATAGGTATCGAGAGCAGAGTAGAACCATAGATATCGAGAGCAGAGTAGAACCATAGGTATCGAGAGCAGAGTAGAACCATAGATATCGAGAGCAGAGTAGAACCATAGGTATCGAGAGCAGAGTAGAACCATAGTTATCGAGAGCAGAGTAGAACCATACATATCGAGAGCAGAGTAGAACCATAGGTATCGAGAGCAGAGTAGAACCATAGATATCGAGAGCAGAGTAGAACCATAGGTATCGAGAGCAGATTAGAACTATAGATGTCGGAGTCGAAGTCGTAAAGGCGGGCGCCGCTCTCCCGACGCGTCGCAGTAATTGTGTCCGTGCAGATGCGCGGACAATGGGCTACGCGATGGCGCGTTTTTTGTGCACGCCTTCGCGTCAAGGGCGGCACAACTAGCCGTGAACTATTCGACGAAGCTGTAATACAACTAGTTTGTCTAATGTAAGCTATAACTACTAATATGTATTACACGAAAACATCATGGGATACGTATTGATTAGTTTAGTGAAACTATCTTAAGGTTTTCATTTTGATTTTAAATCTTTAATAGTTTGTTCGGTGACCGTGCTTTTGGTACTCGATTTTGTCTTTATTTCTGTAAGGCTTGCGTTAGTTTTTCTTGTTTGAGCATCGTTTGCTTATTGTTTGATATTGGAATGCGATGGAGTAATTCTCGTGGTTTTCTCCAAGTTAATCAGGAGAATGGCTCTCATTTGTGGTCTTACCGAAGCTATTGTTTCGTCGACCCGTAGCGATTTGCCGGATCGCATCTCGCGTGTTCGATATATAAACATGTGAGGAGCAACATGATGCTTTAATGAAGATAACGCATGTCCATACAGTGCGGCTTTTCAATATTGTTCCGCTTTTCATCATTATATGACATATATGTATGAGTGAACGTGACATGATATAGAATGTATCATACGGAAAGAGATGGCAAATTAATCAATTATAACATATTTTATTTATGTTTGTGTAAAGTATATTTCTAAGTAGAATGTACCTTTGATTTTTTTTGTTTTCTTTTATTTATTTTTCTTTGATTCATTTCGCGTATTTTGTTTTGCACCTGCGTCAAACTTTCTCTACTCCCAGGGTTGACTGGAAGAGAATGCTAATTAGCATTAAGTGCGCCTTTTGTTTAGCCGTTAGTTGAGGTGTAAATATAATAATAAGTTTTTAAATAAAAAAAAATTTGCCATAATTTGATTTTTTGCCTCTGTTTCGGCGCCATAGCTTCATATAATATCATTGATCTAAACCATTAAAGAACGAAACACTTTAAAAAACTGAATTGATCATGTTCTATAATAAAAATCTTGCAACGAGCGTGTGTTGACGTGCGTTGTCGAAACCGATTTCTTTGTAGTGAGTATTGATCGATGCAGCAGTGTGCCGAGTGGCGTTTTGGCGGCGAGTTGCAGGCCGCCCCTATCTATACCTGACGTTGACGCTCGCGCTCTTATTACCGCGAGCGGCTCGGGGGAGTGAAAAAAAAAAAAAAAGGAAGCGGCGCGCGGCGGAGAGCGCGCGGCCTCGCGGAGATTTATGGAGGCGCGGCGCCGCCGGGGGCCGCGCCCCGGCTTCCAGTTGACCACGCTGACGCCACGTCGCGGACTCCAAGACCATTCTGTCGTGTCGTGCCGTAATGGCGCCGTTTGAAGTTATACGGCTTTTGGTCCGTTCGCGAAAAATGATGGTACGGACTTTTTGTTCACCTTCACGGTATTACCAGGGCAACCAATAAGGACATTTATCTGTGATTCCAAGTTAAAGTCTTTATTTGGGATACCTTATTGGCACACTGAATAACATTTTCATTTTTTTTCCTTTGTTACACTCAAGAAGTATTAGTTCTTACGTGCGTACGTAGGTACACTTTTTTTTACACGTACACACACGTTTTTTTTATTTTGCCGTTAGACTATGTAATTCCATGATAGTAATGAGAGTTTTCGTTAAGGTTACTACGTGAGCAGAGCAGATGTAACGTGGAAATTGAAAATACTTTCATTCTTAAACATACGTAGACTCATTGACTTGGAAATTTAAGACGAACTATTTAAGCGTTGTAGACTTGAAAAGGTAAAGGAAAAAGTGTACTGAAAAATGAATTAAACACCGAATATATAATAAAAGGACCCGGGAAAGTCCACAATAAAGTTACAGCGTGGTAAACCTAGCTGCACGTGTAGCAACGGACGGGTGGCAGCCAGCGAATGTCAGTTGATGTGGACGTGCTTTAAGACTTTGCGAACAGGATGTGCTTGCGATAGACGAATTCTGAAAAAGCTTTCATTCCAAGTTCTTTAGAAAGAAATTCCCGCTTTCGTTTTATAAAGATGGATACATAACAAAGCGTCATGTTTATAGATGATGATAGGTCAATGTAGTAAATATGTTTTTCTATTGCCTATTTTAATACTTTATCTCTATTTTAATAAGGAATAACGTAGGTTGAAGTCGCATATAATAAAGTATTTAAGGGCTCACGCTTGATTAGTGTTACTGTTAGCTGTTAAATTTGAGTAAAAATTTTTGTGTACATTGTTGAGGATCTTAAGTTGTAGGGTATGGACTATTGTATTTAGATATTATCAACTGTAAACTGTTTACTATTAATACGGTTATTATACGTGCGCTACTGTTTTGCACTTTTTTAATAAAAGTGATGGGATATAGTGAGACATAATTTCAACTGTGGTGGGGCCACGCAACAATTTTGGCTGTTGCGCGAACTTCTGTTGTACTTCTGCGTTTTTTCAAGTGAATGAGGTAGCCGAGGCACACTATCATATAAGGCGGCTACGCATCTGCAACCCTACGGTTGGTGTGCCACCTTACGGACATAAAAAATAGTACCCGGAGGACCGAGCTTTGCTCGGTTTGTTTTTTTTTGGTAAATCGTGTATTTTGGAAATTACATTTAGATACAAATTACTGAGTAATGAAATATGCATAATATTTTTCGATCTTACCGACTTAATAATAAGAAAATATGAACTGATGTTTTTCACAAAAGAAAGAACTTTAAAAAAAGGGAATAAAATAACAAAAAAACAAATCGATAAAAAATTAAAAATAAAGAAAGTAATGATCTGGAATCGAAAAAAAAGTAAAAAAATAAATGTGTAAATGATCGTGACGCGAAACACGGTCGTCTGTTTTGGGGCCGCCCGATTACCGACCTAGCTATTATGACATTTTCTCTTGCGGCGAAATTTACCGTCATATTCGAATTATATTTTTCATTCCCTGAAAACAGGGATAAAAGGACATTTTCTAAAAATGAAACCTAGCTAGATTGATTTTTCGCCCCCGAATCTACGCACATACTAAATTTCATGAAAATCGCTGGAGCCGTTTCCGAGATTCCGATTATATATATACAAGAATTGCTCGTTTAAAGGATAAGATATAATTATGTATGACATCCGTCAAAATGCGACATTTACTTATTATGTTGCGCAAATCTATTAATGTCAGTGATCATCGTTCGACATCGATGTTCGGCATCGTTTGTGACCACGTGTAAAATTTCAATACCGTCGCGAAACAACAGGCCGCGCGTTCCGACGTAGAGCCGTGCACCCTAAATGTGCACGCGGCGGCCGCGGAGCGTGGCTTCCAGGAAGCGCGAGGCGGCCGAGGGCGCGCCGCCCGTGGAATATTGATCAGGCCCGCGCTAATAATAGTTGGCAACGCGGGCCGCCCGACCCTCGCGCGTCCCTTCCGGTGGCCGTTTCGCTAATTGCAGGGCCCGGACTCCGCTCGCCGATCCGCCCGGAATAAAGAAATGTGTTCGACCAGCGTTCTCGTTCTCAGTTCCCGCCCCCCTCCGCTCTAGGGAATAAACCGAGTCGCGGTGTGGTTCCAAATTTGAAATCGAAATTCGAATTTCGAATTCGTTTGCAGTCTCCAAATCTCCAGTCGCCGAATCCAAGCAGATGTATTCCTCCTTTGCCAGCCCAAACTAATCTATTAAAGGTGTCTGGTGTATTCGTCTGTGACGTGACCATGATTGGTATGGGTTTACAACTTCGGTCGATAGAGTGTGCTATACTTATTTGTATTTGGTCTATCACGGTGACAATATTCAACGGTTTGAGGAATTCGAGCTCGGCGAACTGAGTGCCTAGGCGGAGGCTTTACGTCACCAAAGTAACGGCACGGCTGCCCTGCGTGCGCACGCCATTGATATTCGCCGCGGATGCCCCGCTAATCGGCGGCTTTACGACGGCCGTAAACGTCGCCGGCGCTAGCTTTCCTCGTAATAAAATCCGCGCCGCGACTCCACCCCAACGAAGACTTGCCGAAGAGTGCCGCAATAAAGCACTCGGCCCTAATGCACGCCCTCTGGGCCTTTGATGCGACTAATGATGGGCATCCGTTAAAATCAAATCCGCTTAACGTACATACCGCTGATACAATAGGTGGGATTTCAGCCAAGGTAGGTATCTCGTTTTGCAACGAGAACGAAGAACTAAACGAAGTCTTGGAACTTGCAATGCCGATCCCGTTATCATTAGTTAAACTATTACGCAAAATGCTAAATTTCTAATATGAGTACATACTAATAAATATACAATACATAATAATATAAGTACAATTTGCTTATGGAAATAAAGTAGATATGTTTTACTTATTTGTTCCGTTCGATGATCAAAAGTGTTTTATCTATTGGCATGAATATACTAGCTGGAACTAGGTCATATCGACATGATGACAAAGATATTATGCAGTATCGAACGCAGTCCAATTATTTCCTTAGATTAAGAACTTACTCCATAGATTGCAGAAACTATTGTCTTTTAATAGGCCACATTTCAGTCAAATAAGGTCGGTTTCCATTAACGATTTGTAAGGACAAAAGCAACAAACAGTCTTCTAATGAAAAAAAAAAAAAAAGAAATTTAGAAATGTTGACAACAATCAAGAATTTTTTCCCATTCATACAGTTTTAAAACATAATATACTTTTCCGCAAAACTTCAATCTTGAATGTATTGAATGGTCTTTAATGATGACTGTTAATAGGGGCCTGAGTCCAGAATGATTACATGACCATCGTTAGCCAGGCTTAACAATACTTCCTAAACATCATTGACTCCGGAACAGGATAAGCATTTATAGAGAAGTGCATTGAAATTGCTGCCCTGCATTTTAATGCGTTTTTTTTTCGCTAAAGCAATAGAAATTCAAACCCCAAACCTAAGCAGGGATTATAAAACATAAGTAATGTCTTCGACCTCATTAAGAGTTAATTTAATCATTAATAATGAAGCATAAATACGGCAAATTCTCCTGATTTTTTTTTGTGAGAAAGTGGCAAACGAGCTGGCGGTTCACTTGATGTTAAGTGATAACCGCCGCCCACGGACATTTGCGACACCGATTGTAGATGTGTTGCCACCTTTTAAGACAGTTACCAGACAAGACGCAGAAGTGTAACACTTCTATTTACGCCGGATTGCCTTTTCTATTCGTTTCAATTAATTTAAATTTACACTCCCAAAGTTTTATATACGTCACGTAACGTACCAAGGTACTAGGTGTACTGTGTCGTTTATGGACTACTATCAAAATATTGAAATGTCAAGACATTTTTTATGTGACGAAAACAACATCACGATATACTAATATCAGATATACCAAGTAATCGTTACATAACTTCTATGGCAAATATGATCAATAGACAAAAACCGTAGTGTGAAACTCCCGAACACATCTACCTATTAGAAATCGGTTGATCAAATGCAAAATGCCTAGTCTAAGGAAGTATATTAAATTGTTTCATGCTTATACGCGGAAATAGCGTCACTCAGGTCCTGAAGATTAGGTGAGCCATGATAGCTGAAAATAATGACATTCAATATTAAATTCAGGTGTCCCAACCAATCGTTGGTGCGCACTAGGAAGAACTCACTGTAATAAAGCTACCGAATCGTTCATGTAACAGGCCGGTCCGCGCTAAAAATTTTCGCAAATCGATAGTGTGGACCGAAGTAGATCCACTAGTACTCTCGCGTCGTGAAGAATTTGAGGGCACGTCGCGCGTTGAGGCGCCAACGGCCAGCGGCGCGTCTCTCGTCTCGGTGTCGCAACCCGTCCAGAATCCAAACGAAGCCGGCGCGCTCAGCGGCCGACATGGCCGCGCCGGGGCGATGACTCACGCCGGAGAAAGTGGTCCGCCGCGATCTTACATTAGACCGCCATCACATATGTCGGGCGGCCGAGCTTGGCGAAGGCGCTCAAGATGACGACGCCCCGAAACTCTGGTCTATTAGACTAGTAGACAATGGTGCAAACGGGCTTACGTATCAGCATTATTACCCCTTTTTAAAACACAACTTTGAAGCCTGACATCTGTCGTATATGTCAAGCGGCTGAGGTTTTCGAAGGCGTTCAAGATGACGACGCCGCGAAACTCTGGTCTCTTGGACTAGTAGACAAATGTGCGAACATGCCAAAGTACCGGCATTATCGGCTTTTTTAAAATTCACCTTTGACCCCTGAGACGGTTGACATCTGTAGTATGTCAGGTGGCTGAGTTTTGCGAAGGTGCTCAATATGACAACGCCGCGAACCTCCGCTTTCTCGGACTAGTACGCAATGGTGCGAACAGGCTGAATTATTGGCATTATTACGTTTTTAAAAATCCAACTTTGATTCCTGTAACGGTTGACACCCATCCCACATTTCCGATGGGCAGGTCCGTCCGGGTGAGTACCACGACCTCACAGTGGACTGTAATTGCAAGTGTTACACTTCTGCGTTTCGTCTGGCGAGTGAGGTAGCCGGGAGCCACATTTTATAAAGGGTGGCAACGCGTCTGCAACCAGACGGGTGTTGCAAATTTGAATGGGCGGCGGTTATCGCTTACGACAGGTGAATCGCAAGCTCGCTTGCCTTCTCACATATAAAATAAAATGATAATTGTGTTAAGCCTTAGAATTCTGGTTCTTTTAAGATGGGATCTTTATAGATGTGAAACTGTTGTGAGTTAACCATCTTGAAGTGTCCTTCTAGTTGAAAAAGAAATGGGATCAAGACAGTCTTTTACGGTTTTTTAATGCCGCCAGCTCTCGCGTATGTAATTAACAACCGAGTTTATCTCCCATCGGTTCGGCGACCCAAAGTGAATCTCGGCCTTTGTGTTACAAGGCGACGGCTCTTCCCTTTCTGGCGGCGTCCGCGGGCGATTCTCGTCGGTGATCTCTACAATGTGACCTTTATTGCAACGGCGATAAGGGCGACCTCGGCGTTTAGCGTTTCGACAGCGCGGCACGGCGATTATTACGCGTAGGTACCCGAAGGTATTAATTATCCTACAATTATTTTCGTCGTGAACAGATCGACACGGAAGCGGAAACGCGTGGCGGCGATGGTATTTCGACGTTTTCTTATTTTCGGCCGCGGCTTGTGACTGTTAAATTTTCTTCTGTTGTTTCTGAACCGTGCTATCGACAAAAACATTTGACATAACGGATAGATAAAATAATTTTTACTGACTGCGCCAGAAGGAGGGTTAAGTTTTCGAGAGTATGTATGTATGTATAATTGTTTGGAATGCGTGTGATGTATTTTAGCTTGAGAGGTGTCGTTAGATTGGCATTTACTGTCTCACAGTGAATACCAATTAAACAGTGACACTGGGTATATCAAAATAAAAAATTACACAGAAACGCAGTCGGGTTTTTTAGTTTTTTTAGTTATATTCTACTTGTTTTATTTTTAATTAACGACGTTTCGAACCTACAATATATCATAACGGGTATAATTTGTAGATAATTGGCATGATTTGGGATCATTTTCAATAAGTCATACATACTAATTTTAGTTGTTTTGACAAAGTCAAGGTCACAGCCTCATAGTGATGTACGTTTCATTTCGGGCTTCCCATCGGGACGTATCCGTATGACCTTGTTTGTAATGACGTATGTAATATACATGTATATAGTGAAGCAATAATAATGGTTTTCCGTTTTGATATTAGGTCTAGAGGCAAAAATTACTTTGGAGGTAATAATGTCTAGGATAGCAAGAAAAACCTAACGGTGACTTAAGGTATAAATTTCTTTCACTTTATTGTCTAGCGCTCTTCTTCATATTATACAGATAAACGAGATTGACTATTTGCACCTAATTTCGGCATAATGCTAATGTAATTGTAATGGTCAAAGACGAGTCGCCTAATGTTTCTCCTGGTTTTGTATATTGACTGATTCTATGTTGTATGTCTGAGCGATGAGTTTGATACTAAAGCAATGGATACTAATATGAGGTTTGGGTTATAGTGTTCATTCTTTGTTTCATGTCAGTGGGGTATTTTCGGACGGTTCAAAGCGGGAGGCGGATCGTGTTACGGGCCGATGATTCTAGAAAGTTCGTTTGCTAATCGTTCAGACTGTGACAGGCGGTCACCGCGCGTCACGCGCTGCATGCGTGCGCGCGCCCCGTCTAGGGCTTTGTCGCGCCGACTGTCGATAGTTTTTAATGATTATCGTTTTATTCCTAACATTTACGTGTTGGTCGTATAAAGAAACGGTCTACAAAATATGTTATTGTAAAATGAGAAAAAACACATGTTTTTTATCCTGTGTCTGGTATATAAATAGGCGCATGTACCTAGTTTTAGTTTTCTAATGCACTTAAACGACGATAGGCGTAGGTAATGATTAAACATATGAGATTTATTTTAATACCCAGTCCAGCGTCAGCTGTCTACTAAATAAAAGAGCTGTTAAGTCAAATCAAAAGATAGTCATATTAATTTTTCAGTCACGTTTTTCTAACTTTACTCTTACTCGTGTTTATCTTAGGACACGAGTAAATGTTTGACTACTGAATATTTTTACCGAATACGTCTCGGCAGCTGCGACGATGTTTTCCCGTGCGTTATATACCAGCTGGGGCGTACATTCGGTACGTCGCTGGGTGCGGCGTACTGCATGCCGCGCCGGTCCCCTTACGAAATGTGGACCGCGTCGGAAACATCGACGGTACAGTTAGGCGCGTCACTGGCCGCGGGGCGATCGGACCGCTGACCTCGCGGCGCGCCGCCCGCCTCGTCGCGGGCGCAGGTACAGTCGGCGCGCGCAGTTGCGGCGCGCGCTTTGCGTATACATTTTTTTTGTGTGGCCACATCGGAATTATGTGTGGGTTCGCAAATGCGTTGTTATCACGACAATAACGCTCGGTAAAGGTCTCGTTTTAATACGACACGAGCACGTTTAGGTTATCTGGAGCACGGGCCAGTCTTCGACGAAATAACAGTTAAAAACTTAAATATTTATATAACACTTAAATATTTATTTATTTATTACGTTACATAAATTAAAAGTTAGTTAAGTCGGTCTAAAATTCTCTACAGTGACAATGTTCCCTGTAGACTGTAGTTACTCGTATTTAAATTCGTAAACGCTTGACGTTATCCAGAACGGATTGAGCTTAGTTCTTGTCTCCATTTTGTTGACTCCTTGGGGCCTGCTGACGCCGCTAAAGCGCGCAGCGTGTGTTAGCGCGCGCGCAGCGGTCCGTCGCCGCCGCCGCGCGCGTTGCGTCACCGTATCGAACGGATATAGCCGCGATCGATCACGGCGGTTTCCTTTCTTTTTGCGCGACGGCGCCCGTCGCCTTTCTATTACACCGCCGACGCTGCTCTTTTTTACTGTGGCAGGGCCACGCAACAGTCCTCGCTGTTGCACGAAATGGCAGGTGCGCCCGGGTAAGCACCATGACCTCACAGAGGACAGGCGTAGAAAGTAGGAGTGTAACACTTCTGCGTTTTGTCTGGTAAGCGAGGTTGCCGGTGCCCACTTTACTGGTAAAGTGGCAACGCATCTGCAATCAGACGGGTGTTGCAAATTTCCATAGGCAGTTGTCACTTAACATCAGAAAACTGCCAGCTCGGTCACCTGCCACCTTCGCAAATTAAAAAAGTCTTAAATGAAAAACGACTTTCTTCTATGCAAACCCTTCTAACAGACTGCACATTGTTGATTAAAGTATGAAGTATTTCCTTAGACGACAGTTTGGTTTGATTTGGTTTCGGGCGTTTCGAACACTTATAGAATCTATTGTCACGAATCAGCCTGACCTGTTTTCCGTTTTAATGACGCATGCAACCTTTTCGATAACTCATTTTGGTTCGCCCTGTGAAAGGAATTAAATGCAAAATTAAATCCGTTAAATAAGCGCAGAGTTATTCCCAAATCGTTTTAATGCGTTCGTAATAATTACCATAATTATCAACCGATTTCAAAAAAGGAGGGGTTCTCAATTTGGTTGCATCTTTGATTACCTCCTTCATTTGTGAATCGATTTTGAAATCTCGTTTTGCATTGGTCTCTATATTTAGCTTCCGTGTGGTCTCATATTATATCATCTTATAGCAGCAACAGAAATACATTATTTGTGAAAATTTCGCGGCAACAGAAATTCATCATCTGTGAAAATTTCAACTGTCTTACTATCGCGGTTCATGAGATGACAGCCAGACGACTGAGAAGACAGCTTGGTGACAGACGGATAGTCGGACAGACTGATAGCGAAAATAGGGTCCCGTTTTACCTTTTGGGTACGGAACCCTAAAAATGTTACTTGTTATATGCCCTCTCAGTCGGCTTCTAACTCGACGTTATATTTTCGATAAACGGAAAACGTCTCCATATAATTAGCATGTCGGCGCGATTCTAATGTTTATTTAATCAACATTTTGTCATAAATTAGTCCTTAATTGCTCAACTTTTTTTCGTTTCGATCCGCCTTAATGTATTTCCGCTTCGCCTAGATGATACATGTTATTATTCCGTGTAGTTTTGGTGAGGTCAATGACACATTCAGAGGACGTGCCAGTGCTGAACTAGATACTGAAACATTTTTTTTATGTGAGTAGGTGATAAACGAGCTGGCGGTTCACCTGATGTTGGGTGATATCCACCGTCAATGGATATTTGCATCACCCGTAGGGTTACGGATGCGTTGGCACCTTTTAACAAAGTGGTCCCGGCCCTCTCACTCACCAGACGAACCGCAGAAGTATAACAGTTACCGTGGCCATGATAGAAACGAACATGAAAGGATACTAAAACGAATTTCTTTAACGGGAGGCGTACTAATGCTAAAACTGATAGATACTGGAATACCATACTATAGCCAGTGGCCATTTAGTAGTCATAACTATCGTTTTTCTCTTGTTTTAATGATATTAACTTTGAAATCACGGTTTAAATATTTCATTAATTCGAGGCAGTTAATAGAAGTTTTATGGATATTTGAATATAAGTTCTGAGGTCTACGTTCGTGAACTGTTTTTAATTGAAAAGATAAAGAAACTTCTATAGTTTGACAGTATGAAGGAAGCGATTAAGATAAGCCACATTTCATTAAATGACAATGTCTTTAATCATCTTTACCTTCCCGCCCTTACCTTGCCCCCCCACTAGAGTTGTAAGTAGTTTAGGTTATGTGTCTCACGACCGACAGTATGTCTATCGTCAAACTCAGATCCGGAATAAATTATTTGTGGGGCACGCAAATACTAGTCCCGTGTGGGAATCGAATCCACGACCGGCAGCATCGAAGCCAAAAGCTGAGCAACTGTGCCACCGACAATACATTTGTCTATGACAGCACACGTGACCCACATAAAGTAATCCCGTTTCATTCTGTCAGGGATAAAACATTTCCCTTTCGTGAAAGCGGCATAATTAAAATGTTGGCGTTACAAGCCGCGATGTGACTCGACGTAGATGGAGCCAGCGCTCCGCTTATTGTAAATGGCGCTTATGCAATGGAAATGTCACCGTTGTGTTATTTAGACCGTGCGACGCGATAGACCGCCATTGTTGATCGATCTATGGGGTCCGGTACTCCTGTCCTTTACGCTTTCATTTTCCGATCGGGGCTCACTGCGTTTGCCAAACACAGAATGCGCCTGGATTACGTGTCGAGGGTCTCGCATTCGACTCTCGAGCCGAAAAATCTTTTTATTTTCTTTTTTTAAAACACTGCCCTTTAGGATAACATTATCCTGTGTTGTAAGGACGTTTTACATACATAAATTGCACCTGGACAAACACCCAGATGCGGAACAACTATCTGTGGGTCGCACAAATAGTTGTCCCGTGTGGGAATCGAACCCACGACCCCCGACGTCGAAGTCAATACCTTGGCAACTGCGCCACGGAGTCATCATGCGTCAAAATCTGCATGCGATGAAAAAGCTCAGAATGGTTCTCATTGCACATTTACTGAGACAACCGGGGACTGTCAAGGTCCTCGGTTCGACGATGCAACGAAACAGTTCAAGCACATGCATTCAAACGTATGCGTATTTATTTTAGTTCTTGCTTTTTTCAGTGTTACAGACCTTCCGTACAAAAAGCACTACAGCGTCTGTGGCCAGTGCAAAGTATTTATAATTTTATAATTTTGTGCTTTGTCTGTTGAGCGAGGTAACCGCAGTCCAGCCACTTATGGTTTTGTGACGCAAGGTTTTATTACTCGATTTCCACCTTCCCTTTCAACGAAACCCTTATATCAGCGCATTTGAAAGTTGTGTTGAAGGTTCTTTATACGATCGAAGGAAAAACCCTTATATGTTATGAAAAAATGTGTTTTGCCGGTAATGTCCAGATTTTAATGCAACTAACATAATAATAAAAAAATCAAAAAGTAAAGGAAATACTCTTCTGTGTTTAATGGAAGTGTTGCATCGAAATTATTGGAATCGATGACGTTGAAATTTACCTTTTCAACGTCTTTTTCGTGTCGGAAAGTTGATTGGCTTTATGTTACAATAAATAACGCTTAATCAGAAACTCCTTGGCCTCCCCTTACCTAATTCTATATAATGCTTGTACCATTAGATAGGACGCAAAGTTCTAATAGAGTAGGCGATACTTCCCATAAGATTGTGCCTGTATTTATTGAATTGCTTATGAGTCAATTGTGACGTTCAGCAGTTTGGCTCCCATTAATTTTCTCAATTGTAAGTGCAACTTCAATGAATCGATGATAAATATTTAAACATTTAATCATAGACAAACTATCAGTGAATAAACACTAAATCGCTTATACTAAGGTTTTGTGCGCTATTCTTATTTTTTATGTAAAAAGTTGTCAGGGGAGCAGCGGTTAACCTGATGTTAAGTGATTTATTACTACTCCCACCCATGGACAACTACAATACCTGAGGGTTTGCAGATGCGTAGAAAACCTTTAAAAATAGTATATACTGAATTACCTATGTTACCAGATGAAACCATTAAGGGGTAATAAACCTCTCACTGATATTCTGTGAGGGCGTGATACTTCTCGGGACGAGCGCGCCCAGTCATACAACAGTAGAAGCGTGTATATGTGTGCCTTAGTTGTGCCTTTAAAGTAACTTAACTGAATTTGTTTTGGGAAAGCGTATAGGGTCAGTCTTCGCTGTTGCATGAATGGGCAGATCCGTCCGGGTAATTACTACCTCACAGAAGACTGGTGTGAAGTAGAAGTGTTATACGAGGGGCACACTGAAATGATCGGGAATAAGAAAAACCACATGCACGGTATAGCTAAATTGTATTTTATTGTTTTTCGAAGTATTCTCCGTGCAATTTAATGCACTTTTCCATTCGTGCAAACCAATCATTAAAACAGTAATTCCAGTCAGAAGTTGGTGTTACAAAATGGCTGATTTGTAATAAATCTTTCATTTTAGGGAATGTAAAGAAATCGTTTGGCCTAGGGTCAGGACTGTACGGAGGATGGCTCATCAGCTCAACGTTTTCCTGCTTCAAAAAATCATTTGTCTTCCGAGCCGTATGGGATCTCGCATTATCGTGATGTAAGATGATGTGACGTTTCGGATTATTTTTTCGGAGTTCGGCTATCGTTTCTGGCAAACAAACCGTGATATACCACTCAGCGGTAACCGTTCTGCGTTCCTGTAAAGGAATGGTAGCAACATGCCCCTTTTTCGAGACAAACGTAGCGACCATTTTCTTTGACACGCTGCGAAAGCGAACCACTTTCTTTGGTTTGACCTCGTCTTCGAAGACCCAAACTGCTGCCTGATGTTTTCTTTCAGGTTCGTATGTATAAATTCATGATTCGTCACCTGAGACGATATTATAAACGGCATTTGACTTCCCTGCGTTGAAGCGTCGCAGAGTATTCTGGCACCAATCTACACGAGCCGCCTTTTGCAGTCCGTACCTGGCCAGCGTATGTATCATGTTAAGGTTATTGAGTAGGTTACTACGAGCGGGGACCATTACTTAGGTAAGCGTTTCGCTCGTTTTCATTCGAAGTCCGTACCTGGCCAGCGTATGTATCATGTTAAGGTTATTGACTAGGTTACTACGAGCGGGGACCATTACTTAGGTAAGCGTTTCGCTCGTTTTTAATCGAAGTCCGTACCTGGCCAGCGGTGCGTTATTACCACAGAGTCGCGAGGTCGCCGACGCGTCCGTGTCGAACGCGGAACGCACCGCGTCACGTTATCGTCACGTTTTCGCCCTTCGCGACGCCGATTGCGACGCTAGATTGCGTTTTACGTGATCCTCGATATAAAACACGCCACGATTGGCAAATCGAGCCGTATCTAAAGCAACCTACGGCCATGCTATCTGCGAACGAAACGCATTCGAGTGTGCGTGGCGCGTTGCCATTGCGGAATATCGAACGGCCCTTATCATTGGTTTTGGTTTTGATTTCAGTGGGTTTTGAATGATATCAAAACGACCGTAGAGTTGCAGTTGACAAAGGTCATTATGAGATGATTACCGCTTACCTCACTCACAAGACGAAGTATAGGTTACACTTTCGCTTTTTCTCTGGTGAGCTAACCGGGGCACACTATTCTAAAAGTTGGCAACGCATTTGCAACCCCTCGGCTTTTGTTATTATCCATGCCTGTAATCAGCAGGTGAACAGCTGAACCGCCTGCTCGCTTGTCAACTTTTCAAATAAAAAAGAAACGGACGGCATTTCGACATAGTATGGCTTTAAATACTCTTTGGATTTAAAGTACCACCTTACTCACACCAACTCGTTTTCTCTCACAATAAATCCAAATAAAAAACATCATTATCCGAAATTGCAACATTCAGCATTTGCGATAATCGGTAATTTCGAAAAAAAAATTACCTGATTCGAGTTAGAGTAAGGCGGCAATTTGTCGAATATAAACATATTAGTGCGACACGTGTAAGTAAAGTGTGGCGAGACATTTATGCTCTGCGAAGATTCCCCTGCACAGCCAATTTCGCCGGGCGTCTAATTATCCTTCGACGCGGCACGGACGGTAGGTATTCGTTAAGCCGAAAGCCGCGTGGGTGCATCAGTGACACGGCCCCGTGCCGCGCGGCCGTCGCTACAGCGTTTCGACCCGTCACGTGTCTTCCATCGAAGCTTTCGTACTATGACGTTATAATTTACAGGGGCCTGGCGGTCGATGAATGCCGCGTCGCGGTAAAAACTCGAGCGCGTGCATAATAGGAAGCGTAACGCAGCGGGGGTGGCCTCGTCTGAACTCGTCGCAATAAGTTTCAAAGTTTTACTCCGCGTCCCCCTGTCCACGTGCTGGGTCGCTTGTCACGGGCTCCCGTGCTATTCGCCGCGTCAAGACCGAGTGGGCGACTGCATCGAGATTGGCCCCTCCAACATGATAAATGCCAAAGCTGTGCGATTTCTTTATTAAGTGCAGATTTTCGTTTTAGGGCTCTGCGTGAAATATGAGTCAGATTTACAATAGAGATGGGGATCTGTTTTACCTGTATAGTTTTTAAAGCCGCTGGGACGTTTTGCTTTATGTTTCGTTTTCATGTATTTTATATATATAATCCTTCTGTACGTGTGTATGTCACTGAACTCCTCCTAAACGGCTGGACCGATTTTAATGAAATTTTTTGTGTGACTTCAACTCGATTCAAGAATGGTTAAGATTAACAATTCGGTCCACTAAATTTTTTTATATAAGTTGTCGGATTTAAGTCGTGTGTACAGGACAACGTCAATCGGGTTCGCTAGTATATGTATATGTTTTCATATAACTAAGCTCCTTCGAATAGAATGTTCTGGACGGTACTGTGCGCTAAAACCCGGCACCGATCACGACTGCGGTATTTCCGAAACGTCTCTCTTTTAAATATTCATCGGCTCTCGGTTCAGCAACACAAAGGATGGGACAACGCGTTCCGGGAAACGGAGTAGTTTGTAAAGCGCGACTTATTCGGGGCACATCACGATTTCGGGAATTTCATTTTTTTTGCTTTTTATATCATGCTGTGACGCGGTCGCGATTTAACCTTGAACCTTGTACCCTGCTGAGATGAGAGTCTGAGAACTATGGGTAGGAGGCTCTAATCCCCGGCGCCTTGAAGTGACTGTTTGCCGGCGACGGGAAAACGTCAAGCGTAAGAGATATATAATATATAGAATTAGGCGACTTAGTAAAATCGTAGCTGTGAATATACGATATTGAAATGCCGCCTTTTTTCCGCAAAGTCGTTTAGAAAGGAAGCTCGGTACTTTCTGGGTCTATGACACGTTGCGCTGGGGCTGGCCTTTGGTGGGGGCCAGTTTCGGCTTGACTCACGCGCGACTCCCACGCCGCGCCATAATGTACGCGGCGATAGGGTTGTCTCTTGTCACTCGTTAGCTTATAAATATTTTTGATATATGTGGTAATACAATCGTACCAACTGTTTGCGATCGCATTATACTTTACAAAATTAATACTTTGTCTAGTATTCAATGTATTTATCTTATAATAGATTTTCTCAAAACAAATGGTTTTCAATATTAAGACGACGTATTTGTAGAACTATAGATAATAGTATTATTAAAGTTAGACGAATTGAAGTAAAAAAATAATTACAATTTAATGGTTAATTGTTAAAAAACTGTTCGCTGTTTCGCAATGGAGGGTAATGTGCTTATCTTATTTACCTTTGTGGCGCTCTGGAGACAAACGCGTGGACTGATTTTGAAGATTCTTACAATAATCAAATTGTATCAATCTTACGCGTGACACTGAAGATACGGCAGTACTAAAAATTCGACATGGCGACAACCAGACGCCATATTGTAAAAAGTTATAACATCATTTTAATTCTAGATATTTGATGCTAATAATGTTACTGCCGATAGCCCAAATAGGAGTAAGACGTTAATAGTTCATATAGCCTTTTCTTCCTGACTTCTAAATGTATTCGCGGTTTCATATTTAAAAGTTTATTGATAAATATAATATATTTATCATTAGATTAATTTATTTCTCGGGTTGTGTTAATCGACAACCCTACGCGGGCAGTGGGCAGCGCACGCCCCCCCTACGTTACTTAATTGTGCGCTGAACATTCGGTACGACCAGGTTATTTATTGGGGTCCGCTCCTCTCTGCTGACACCCTCGTATTCTCGTCCCGTCCGTAATGAGCCCGAAACTGCACTCGCTGTTACGGCGACGTTACTTCTTCATTAGCGCGCGTCCTTGGATTGACATTGAGATTATAAATTAGTATTCGATCTTTAAGCTTCGTATCAATCAATCAAATATATCTTTATTCAAATAGACCCTTGCGCGTTCTTATGAATCGTCAAATTTTACATAAAAAAAAAATATAAATAGGTTCGTAAGGTACCACCGGTTCGGAAAGCAGTTTCTGTTGAGAAGAGACCGGCGAGAAACTCAACAGTTGTCTATATAATTATGTAGCGGCCGTCTGTATGGTTTCGCTCTTGTAAATTATTAGCGATTAAAAACGTAAGAAATATTACTCCGTAAATATTCCAGTATCGTATGTTGTTGTAAATGTGTTGCGTAATGTTGGTATCGTTGTTGTTACATTTGATATTGATGAATATATTAGTTTAGTGTAAATTTGGCTATTTCTCGTGTCCCGAGAGGAGTGTGGTGTATATTTGACTGCGTCTCGAATTTTGACCGTCACGCGGACGTAAAACGGAGATAATGATTGAGTCACATAACAATACATTTGTTCTTAAACGTCGTGTTTTGTTTTTTGATTAATGGCTTGCTGGATGTTTTGTTTATTTGCCACATCGCCTGAAGACCGGCGGGATGAAGTATTACACTTATACGTTTCGTCTGGTGGGTGCGGAAGCCGGGGCCTTCTTTATTGAAAGGTGGCAACGCATCTGCAACCATACGGGCGTTGCAGGTGCCCACGGGCGGCGGTTGTCACTTACCATCGGGTGAGCCGCCGGTTCGCTTGCCAACAAGAAAACGAGGCTGGAGTTGTTTGCGAGTTCGCTGCGTTGTCTTTCCGTTATCCCGTTCGCGTATTCAATACGCGACGCTCGCCCGATTCCGCGTGTCGGCTTGCGCGCGCGCGGTCAGCAATGCAAAGGTGTCCGCCGCGCCGTCGTGTTTTTCCCCACCGAGGTAGCGCACCTATGTATGTGCCTACCTAGCTCGCGGCAGCTGCGTTTTCGCCTTGGAACGCGAAAACAAGCCGCAAGCGATCGCCTTCGGCGGGGGCGGGCGGCGGAAGCGGACGGTCAGATGCGGTTTGTGTTACGGTACGCGTTTACTGTATATGCATATTTATGTACGAAGCGTCGTCAATTTGAGATAACATTGGACGCGATGAAATTTGTTGAACAGTTATATTTAGCTTAGATAAAATATGTTATTTGTATAGTGTATCTTTGAAAAGTTCTCTGCTGAAACATTCGATAAAAATCTAATTAATATCCGACACATAAGGCCTTTTTTTCTGTTTTACTTATTTGGAAGATAATTGTTTTTGTTACTATAACGGACTTATAAAATGATATCGTATCAATCATGTAACGCGAAGAAGAAAAGGCTGTTGTATCAAAACTACAGCAATAAAGATTTTATTGTTATATGTATATTAGCACAGAGTATCAACAATTAAACTTGCGCATATATTACATAGAAACATAAATTCTTTATTTATTTACTATGTGTGTAAGTGTATAAATGTTATCTGTTATTGTTTAATTTAGTTACATGTCCTATCATGTTCTTTACCGCAATATAGACTTATTAAAAAATTCTTTTCTGCAAAAGAGCATCACAGAATTGGATTGATTTAAAAAAAAAATAGTAGTGTCTGTCAAATACGTTATACGCTCGTCGCTTGCGTCCGCACCGCTATCGGCGCGGCGCTGACTCACGCGGTGCGGGGCGACGCGACTCGAATCGCAGCCGACGCGACGGCCTGGTCATTAACTGGCGCGTTATGCGCGGAGGCGACTCGCGGCCGCTTTTTATCGCGCGGCCGCGCACCTACCTACCTACGGCCGTCCGCGGCCCCGAAACGAGCGTCCCACGGTGCGTTCGCTCGCGTCTTATCTGCGATCGCTTCGATCGTGCGCCTGTCGGTCGTTCGTTCGAACGATCGGTCGAACGATCGATCCATCGGTCGGTCGAGATCGCGCATCGGTCGTACTTTGCGTGACGCCGCGTTTGAGCGATGCTTTGGTGGAGCACGCTGTGTGGTGAATGCGGGCTTATTGTCTCGCCTAGTCTCGCTTGGTAAATGTTTAGCAGAATGGAATAGAATAGAACGAATTTGTTTTTTTAAACATAGTACAGAAAGTGTTGACAAACATTTTAACTTATGCAAAGACATGCGATCATTGATTAACATGAGTTTAAATTATTCTACATTGAAGGGGAACGAAGCCCGCATTGTTTGGATAGCTTTTCGAAAAAAATGCCTTCAAGAAATTATTAAAGGCCGCATATGGAAATGTCCATTACCGATCATCTGAAAGTTTCTCAATTTATTATTGTTGATTATATAATACACCACCTAAGAACATTAATTAATTTTATTTATCTCTAAATAAAGTCCTTAAAAGCGTCGACAAGTTAGGCTGTATGTAATGATCACCAGATATTAATTAGTTAAGACATATGAAAAACTAGCTTAAAGTGTACAATTTGTTATGTTACTCAGATAGTAGAATCGTATAATATACTAGCAAATGAGATCAAAACGAAAGATATTAATAATTACGATAAGGATACTAATAATAGGTACTGATAGTAAAGGCCTGATAGTAACGGCCTGTATACGTCCCGCTACTGGGCAAAGGCCTCATCTGTACAGATGATTAATATTGGGACCACCGCGCAACCCCACTGCGGAATAGCAGACTTCCCATATATTTTTTGTTTATTGTTAATTCGAAAAACATCACGATGTTTTCTTGCACCGCTGAGCACGTGATAAGTCAAATAAAAATAAATTTACAAACACTTTGGTACAGACCGGCGAATTTTGTAAAAAAGTTATCCAAATTATGTTTGTGGTTGGTGTTTAATTGTCTGACCTAATTCTTATAACGCCAACAGTTACAAGGTGAGGTTTTGAACATAACTTCAAATATAAGTCATACAAAGTTTCGCTCCAAGTAAGTTTTGTCGCTTAACACCGTGCTCAGTTGATGCTGCGAGCCATTACAACATTGTTAACATTCGTAATGCCGACAACTCAATTTGAAATGTTATATCGCACAGAGCGCTCAATTAGTAGTCCGTTGTATTAAAATGCGTCTTTTCAAGGGCGTAAAGTTCAAATTTAAATAAACCTCCCGAGAGCGAGGACAATAAAGCATAACAAAGTGCGACCGGTGCAGCTTGGCCCCCCTCGCGTTCGGATCGTCATGTTATTCAGTACGCAGCGTGGAGGAATATCGCGGGTCCCGGGGTCTGCTCAATCCGGCCGCTCCGTTGCGGTCGAGTCAAAAAGTTTTACAGTATTAAAACGAATAGCGCCACCTGTTGAGTGCAAGTTTGTTAATTGATGTTTTTATTCGGCGAGTTCGTTGTTTGTCTGTGGCGAGCCGAGTGCAAAGTTGTCGTTTAAGGTTACACATATGTATGTAGTTGGCATTCTAGTTGTTTATTTTATTGTGTTGTTATACTTTTTTTTGTAAAAATTATTGGGCATAATAATTTACCAATGGATGATAGTAAATCGTCGATACTCGACGCATATCGTCCATAGGTTGTGGAATATATGAATTGATCAGACGATTGGAACAATATGGGGAACATCGTCGTGGTGCATTCTAGGGTGGATTTCTTTATTAATCCTCGTATGTAGAATCACCGCTGGTAGGCTTTATGGGAATACCTTAAGATGTACATTTATGGTTAACACAATAACACTCAGCATTACAATAATTTGTAATGTTGAGAAATTAACGACATGAACTCTGCGATAGATAATACTTAGAATTATTTTTTTATAGGAACTGAACTAGTATCTACATAAACACCTTATGGTAAGTGGTGGACGCACTAGCTCAATGAAAATCTATATCCGCGAGGACCGTCATAACTAAGTGGCTATCTAAGTATTTGTTGTTTCATTCACGTTTCGTTCCACATACTGTGGTGGATTTTTTAATCAAACGGCATTCGTAAACGCATCACGAAAAGGGTGTGAAATGGATCGTAATATTTGTCCAAGCTTGGGATGGATTTGAGTGTGCCCTTTATTTACATATTGTTAACATTTTCTCGGTTCCGTTGTATGTGTTTTATTTTGAGCAGTATTGGTATCTGGTTAGTTCTCCGAGTTCTACAGCGCTTTGTTTCTACGTGTCCACGTGTCAGAGTATTAGTAATGCAAATATGTTTTTTATAAGTACCATAGTCGGGTGTGTGTATTTCTCAGCGTTTAAGGTTTGTATATCTTTAATTAACGCACACAAAAAAAAATAACAACCGGTATCACCCAAAGATGTTTTTTCATTCGACCTCGCGACGGACCTACCTACCCCGCAACCGAAACACGTTTTCCCGCCGACGCGCTCGGCACGCCCGCGCGAAAACACCGCGAAATTTATGGCGACGTGCGAGCGATAACAAAAAAAAAAAAACACGAAGGCCCCGCGGCCTCGATATCGTGGATTCGCGCCCCAGCGCGGAATAATACCCCGAAAATCGGGCGAACGTTGCCTGGCGCCCTTCACTAGTGCCGCACAATGCGCCGGCCGTATTGTCCGCGCTCCTCATTAACAAAGCGCGCCTCGGCCGCCGATCGAGTCGGCGGATTTCGAAATAGCCGCCGCCGCCGCGCCGCCCCGACATTAGAGCGGACGTGCGTTCCTTCGAGCTCCATTTAATTCCGTGACGTAACCGTGAACGGAGGGGGGCCGTGGGCGAGGGGGGTGGCGATTCGAGGCGGCGGCGGGGGGCGCGCGGGCGGTGGCTTATTACGCTCGCAGGCGCTTTATGGCGGCCGGACCCGGGTCAGCGGCGGGTTTTTTGTCGCCGCACGTTCCGGGAAGCCCGCGCGTCCCCCGCCCCGCCCCCCTCGTCCGGCCCCTCCACCCGCGGGGCCTCCTCCCCCGTCCACCCTCGCGAATATCACGCGCGACTCGAGATAGGGGTGGCGCTGATCGGCGCGCAGGGCTGTCGACTCGCCCGAAAATTCGATGGATTAATCCAATCCGGTCCTTTGGTAAGAAATATATTGTGATTATTCATTTTAAACTAAAGTGATGGTTTAAACGGGTACTATGTTAAGTTTTATGTTTATCAGTAGAGGAAATTCTGAATAAATTCCAATCATGTTTATAAGTTTGACTCGTCATAGCTGTTTTTTACTTATATGCAGAAGGCATTAGTGATCTTAAAGCTGGGGACATTGACTCCTCATCTAAGGTCGTACGATGCATGTGTACGTCGTTGGTATGCAAGGATTGCATACCAATGAAGGATGCTTTGAAGCAGACCGTCCGGACAGCTTTGGCTATCGTTATCTTTCCGCTACTTTTACGAAGACGATCGACACGCTTATACTTCGGGCATCGTTATGTAAAATAAAATTTCTTTAATAAGAATTCGTGTATTGTTATATCGTAAGCAACACACGCCGATTTCGACAGCCCTGCGCCGAGAGCATCGCAGCTCTCATTGTGGAACGGTCGCCCGAGGCCGCGTCGCGTCGCCATAACAACCGCCCGCCGCCCCCGGGCTACCTGCCCTCATTAATATGTACCCGGCCGGACACCGTCTTGTGGCAGCGGCGCAGCACGGATCGGCACCTGAAAGTTTTATCAGCAAGCGCTGCCCCCGCCGCCTCTGGCGTGCCTTTAATCCTTTCGCTGTCCGGCGATGGCCAGATGCGACCTGGACAACTGATACAATCTCGTACCAGGCCTTATCGCCCACTGGTAGTTGTATGCACCTCCCTTCTTCCCACACGGTGTTTTTCATCACTTTAAACTTTGGCTCAAGTGTGGTATTGCCACGCCGCAGCTTCTGCTGTTAGGAATAGGCAGACTCGTCCGGGAAACTGCCACGGTCTCGCAGAAGAACGGTGTTAGGTAACAGAAGAAAGGAAGTATATATACTTCGCGTTTCGTTTAGTGTAGATGTCTAGTGGTACTCACTTAACGCCCGGTAAAACGCCTTTGTGAAGAAACTACTCTTCCCTCTTGATACGTTTGAACAGTTCACGTATTTTGAAACTGGAGTCGGTAAATGGTGAGGTGGAATGAGATTACTCTCCATCTATGGCTTCATCGTCACTTACCGTCAAGTGGGGTAGCAGGCAAGCACAAGGCAGTCCCTTATGAAAGGTAAGATTATGAATTTCCACCTTCCTCGGCCCTGAGGTATACCACCATGAGGTATATCATCCTCATCTATCGCGAAAAATCATCATACAATCTACCAATCAACTTCTAACAAAAAGCTTTGAAATATGATGATATCATTCATATCATTGGCTTGACGAAATATTAAAAATTATAATTCTTATTTCAAATCCGACGCTATCAGTTCTTATTGGTTAGCTCTTACTAGTTCTTTCAGATTCTGTTGAATCAGAATATATATAGTATATATTAAAGTACATACATTTTTTTCTCAATTGTTTACGTCGTACACACACAGCAAAAATATTGAAAATAATGTAGGTACCTAAATTAAGTCATAACATATTTACATTTATGGTGCGTAAAGGCGAAACTCGAATGCACCGGTCATCTCATGGCGGGCGCTGCCAAGTTCAAACATCTGTCCCCTATGCACAATCAAGATGCAGAAGCGGACGCCATCGGTAGTTACTCGAATTCAATATAAGAATATGTTTGTGACGTTCACATTAATAACAATTCCAATAAGCCCACGTACTTGAATGGAATTTCTGGTAATTATTCCAATAAAATAATGACCGGCATATAGTTTGAAACACAATTAATAGCCGTTCAATTTTTTGGTAACTGTTTTTTTGATTGCGGAAGCACTGTTGTGCTATTGAAATTGGTCCCTTATGTATTGGTTTCTTTAAGAAACTACCTAGTGCATAGTCCCCATCCTATCTGCATTGCAGCTGCAGATGGTAAACGCACTAGTTCGATAAAAATCACACTCACTCTTGACGGCCGATTGGTATTCTGACGGAAACTCTCTCTTAATGAGAGCTCAGTGTTGGGCCGCTCGCTTTAAATCACTCGAGCTAACTGAGTACAAATCTCGGTGCAAGCACCAATGAAGTCATTAATTACAAGTGCTGACGTATCACGTGATCGTCTGTGAGGGAAAGCGTCGTGAGGAAACGGGCATATTTTTGAAAAAAATACAAAAAAAAATATTTCGAACATATTTGAATTAGGCCACTCCGGCGTGTTGACGCGTGGACTATGCCTTAATATCCTGTAAAGGAAGCAGGCCTTTGCCCAGCAGTGGGGCATGTATAGGCTGATACTTTACTTTTAGTTATAACGTAATACGCATTATAACGCAACGTTTTAGCGGTGGTAGGGCCTCGCAACAGCCTCGGCTGTTGCACGAATGGGCAGGCCCGTCCGGGTAAGTACCACGACCTCACAGAAGACCAGCGTAAAGTGGAAGTATGACAAATACTTTCGCGTTTCGTCTGGTGAGTGAAGTAGCCGGAGCCCAATTTTCAAAAGGTTGTCAACGCATCTGTAACCCTCGTTTGTAGCAGATGTCCATTGGTGGCGGTATTCACTTACCATCAGGTGAACCGTCTGCTCGTTTGGCAACTTTTCACATAAAAAAAAATTAAAAAAAAAAGTATAATATAAACGACGGAGGCTGCTGCTTGGAACGCCTGCCTCGACAACACAAGGGTGGATGTCCACCGAACATCTAGTTAGGACAGTGGGGATCAAATCATACAATGCACACACTGAAAAAAACATACTATCTTCATAACTCTGTCGGTGTTCATGCTTTAATGTGAGACAATTGATTTGGTCATAATTTTACCATAAACTCAAACTGTTTGTTTTTCTGATGCTTTTGAGTATATATTTCGCGAGTTGTAGATTTAAATATTTAAGACGTTACTGCTAACTTATACGGCCAAAGAAGTTGGAGGACCGTTGTCATTTTAGTTGGTATGGACATATGAAAAAATGTAAATAATTCATCGTCTCTAAACGGCATACAGAAACAGGCCTATACTCAGACAGGAATCCTGGTACAAATATGAGCGGTTCATTCAACTATAATGTGTATTAAGATCGTATCTCGTAACGTAACTGACATAATACCTAGCCAACCTACCATGCTATTTTGTATTTGATAGTGAACAGTTCAAACCTTGTCTGGTGCATGCGAAATAGATTTGCTATCCAGGATGTCTATTTATACATTGTTTGATTGTAATAAAGAAAGAAAGAAATATTTGTTGATTATACATTCGCTACAATTGGACACTCTACCGTTCGTGATTGTCATACAATCACCTACCGTGATTTACTCTTGACTGTACATTATGTTGATGATTTGCACTCAACTGTAACAATAAGTCCTTGATATTGTCGTTAACTTGTAATATTAGCGATAAAACGCATCTTCGAATACTTTTCCAGATTAGATCTGGTAAAAGCATCCACGAGATCGTACACGGATCAGCTGAAAACGATATGACTTTCTTTTATGTGGAAAGTTGTCATATGAGCAGACGGTTCACCTGATGTTAGGTGAATACCGTCGCCCATGGACTTCTGCTACACCCGAGGGTTCCAGATGCGTTGACAACCTTTTGAAAATTGGGCTCCGGCCACCTCACTCACCAGACGAAACGCGAAAGTATTATACTTCCACTTTACGTCCGGTCTTCTGTGAGGTCGTGGTACTTACCCGGACGAGCCTGCCCATTCGTGCAACAGCCGAGGCTGCTACGTGGCCCTACCACCTTTCGACTTTTACCACCACTATTTCAGCACACGTCTCAAAATGATCTCTCCCGAAAAGTGGATTCAGTCCACGTTGATTTCCACATGATCTAAATGTTTTGTGACAAAATGTTACGAAACGATTTTTGAATGTGCGACAAAAAGCCGCGGACGGAGTAGGCTATTCGTATCATAAAGCGTCATACCGACGTTATAATAAAAGCTCGGCTAGGGATCGTAAAAATCGTAGTCCCCGTACTCGTGCAGTAAAGTGCCGCCTTGCGTCGGCTTCCGTTGTTTTTATTAGCCTCGCAAAAATTAGTAATTCTGAAGTAAAGTGTGTAGAGGTGTGGAGGCGAACTTCGAACATTCTATTGGTTGTCAATCAGTTTGTCTTGTAAGAGTGTTTGGTATTTATGAATCCGATAGTGGATTAGTATTTTGGATGTGTTTTCTGTGGTTCCTAATTGCGCGCAACTGTATCTGTTTTGTTTTTTTTCTTGTAGTAGTTACTTTAATAGAAATGGTGGGTCACATATGTGCTCAGTTTACTGTGACGGCTAAGCATTTTGTTGTGGTCGACATGAGGGATGAAACCAGTCAGCAGTTTGGGTTAAGAATCTGAGGCCTTTTATTAATACTTTATTTATGCTCATCGTCTTGCACTATGTGTGTTCTGTGATATACTAGTATTCTGTAGTATAATTTGCTTGTTTATAACTATGATAGCATTCATGTAAATAATTAAACACTAATTAGGACAAGTTCACAAAACCCTCAGCTTTTTTAAATCAGTCAGACATCAAAATAAAGTAAGCCAAAGCTTACTTTATGTTATTTTTCTGTCGTTTCGAAATAAATTATAATGATTTTTTTTCGACCAATGGTTTAAGATTATATTTTATGTTAGTATGTAGTATATAGTCATTTAAGATATTTTATGGTGATGTATTTATTTTCTTTTTCAGCATCATTTTAATTAAATATTTTGATTTTAAATAGATTATCAACATTCTACATTCTCATCTAAATACGTTCTTTCAAAAATTTATCAACTCCTAATTAAATATAATATAACATAGAAATAAAGAAATATTAATTATTAATTACGCAATTGGATTGTTCGTGGAATAGTACCGGATGTGGGCGTCGTTGATGTCTTTTACAGAAGGATAAATATGATCTCTATTGATATTTCTCTTTCCGTTTTCAGTTCGCGACAGTGGAAAACGAATGGAGACATAAAACGCTTGCCATTCTTTAGACAGATAATTTTTCTTTCAATTATACTCATCCTTTCACGTTATTTGTACAGTTTATAAATATTATGGATTATATTGAAGTAAGAGGCATCAATTAAATTGTTTTGAAATTATTTTATCTCGGTATACATTATACTACTTTGCCCTACATTATAGCTTATTTGATGGTTCGTAGTAAAACACATATTCCAGTGTATTTTTAACAGTATTTTTTTTTGACTTTGGTTTCTTGTGTTTATTTTTTCAACATGAGCACTTAAAGATCATACACAAATATTACATTGAATGTTTATTTAAAAATATGGTCAAGAAAGTGGCAAGAGAATGTTGCCGAATAATAAATGGAATGTTTTTCTAGTTAGTTCTTATTCTAAAATCGCTTACCTTGAAAAAAGCTACATAAATACTTTATTAGGGTATCAATTGTTCTAGCAGTACACGGATGAAGTTGCGACTTGCTCTCTTTCATTTAACGTTGCTTTTTGGCCTCTGCGGACCTGCAATTTGGGCACGGTCTTTACGGGGGCGCGCTCGATCGAATATCGATCCTATCACCTCCTGGTTAGGTCCCATTTCGCGGGGCGTCAAGGCCGATCCGCAGTGGCCGTACGTGCCGCATCTGCCGCAACTGGCGTGGGCTCGCGCCGCGGGCATCCCGCCCGCGCGTCGCCCGAAACGCTTTTGTGCCGGCCGTTTCGGGGCGGTCCGTTCTGTTTGGTTTATAACGACTCCGGACGACCCATTGTTCGCCACCTTTGTCGTGTTTTACGAGTTCTATTAGTCAGTGCCCGTTAAGCGAGTATCCTTCTTGTATCTTCTATAAACTGATGTTTTTGCTTTCAGTTCCGAGACTATTGAAGCTTCATCTGACGCAGAACCGGTGGGCTAGCCAGAACCCACGGGTTTGGGGAGTATCCTTTGACAGGCGTTGTAGCTCTGAGCGCCCAATTTGTCGTACCAGAGGCGTTTAGATACTGATGAGTTCAATTTCCCTCACTGCCTAGTCTGTTAAGTCTTAAGACGTGAGTGCGGTTATATTGTAAATACTGATTATGTCATTCTAAATTTACATGGTCAACGGTTATAACTAAAAAGCTTTTACTAGAAAGTTCTAGCCTGAGTCGAGATATAACATTCGTACTGTACTCCAACACATATCATCATTACAACTTTTGAGCGTAAGGTTGTCACTTAATTAGTACTTAAGTAAAAGTCAAATTTGTCTCAAGGTTTTATCAAAGTTACGTCAGTGGTGTTAGTCAAGATAGGTATACAAACTGTATGCAGATGTAGTTTGCGAGAAACTTGCTTACGTCAACGGTGCCATCTGGTATGGAATAGGGGGTCGGACAAAAACCGATCGGCTGCCGCACTCAATATCGATCCGTTTTGTGCCACGAACGCTTCTGCGGGGCTTTCGGCGAAGTGTCTTACACTTGTCCGGTCATAGTGTCGTATAATTCTGCGTATTACTAGCTACGTACGGTATGCGTTCGTGTTTTCCTTGCATATCTACTACTAGGACTTTGCAAAGCTCTATCGTTCACGTCTCAATTATATAGTACCTAGTTATAGGTTCAGCAGTTGATCGAAAAGTCGAGTTTTACAATTTTTTTCTTAATGTGAGACTGAGGACTGAGGAGCTGTCGGTTCCATTGCCAGCTTTTAATAAAGCGGGCCCCGGTTACCTCACTCGCCAGACGAAACGCAGAAGTATAACGCTTCCAATTCACGGTGGTCTTCTGCGAGGTCGCGGTACTTCCCTGGATGGAACTGCCCATTCGTGCAACAGCGAAGATTGTAGCGTGAAAAGACGCGTCAGTAAGCTAAGACTCTCTGAAACGAAGGCTACCTCATTATATAATGCCCCGTAAAATGTTTTTGTTTAGTCCAGAATTTCACTCTCCCTTTTATATCTGACTAGCTTTTCGCCCGCAGCTTAGCTCGCGTTCAAGACCTTAACAACACTTTTTTTTTTACAATTAAAAATAGCCTATGTCCTTTCTCAGGCTCTATACTATCTGTGTACCAAATTTCATTTAAATCGGTTCAGTAGTTTTGGAGTGAAAGCGAGACAGACAGACAGACAGAGTAACTTTCGCATTTATAATATCAGTATTGAAGTATGAATTAGGCTTAAGCAAAGACGCGAAAGGAGACATAAAGGAAAATACAGAGTGCGAATCGAGCTCGCGCATTGTATAGCGTACCGTTATCTAAAATAAACTAATTGGTAACCTATAGGTTGCCTAGGAACCGCCTTGCGTTTATTGTATGGGAGCCCGTTAAATGTTTTTTATTTTATTCTGTTCTTAGTGTTTGTTGTTATAGATTCAACAGAAATGTATCCATTTCTACTATGTAATGACTTTTTATTTGAGCCAAGAATGAATGAATTTGTATAACGTGTAATCATTTCTTTAATTACATAAAGCTTACGTAATGTTGTTTATAAAACAGGTGAAGTCGCCGAGAAATAAATCGCACAAACACGTGTAGGTATTACGTACCTATAAAGCCGAGGTCAAAAAGAAAATTTTGTTTTAATTTTTTTTTCGACCAAATCGAACCCTGTACCAGGACATATGTGTGGCGTTCATTGTTTTGTTTTAGCAAAACTGAAATAAGCGAGAGGTTTTTTCTAAGGGTTGTTGCTGGACCTTGGTTAGCTAATTTTAGTCAGATGCAGATATTATAAATTACTGAAAATGTTTAAACCTAATTGGGCATTTTTTTTTTAATTTTTTAGTAGTTGTGTTTTTTGGTAATTGTCAGAGTTGAAAGGATCGCGTAGGGTGAAAGGTTTCTACGACCTAGAAAAGCGAAAGGCCTCGGTATCGAACCGGGCATCGCGTTTCCGATGTCGGCCTTCGATGCGCGCGGCCGTGAGTTATTGTTCAAACGCGCGCCGTACCCGAGCGTCGCTATTAATAACACCGATCCCGCTCTCGATCCGTAATTACCGAGCCCGGCTATCACAAAGGCCGTTAAGGTCAAACGGAGGCGTCCGCGGCGGCCGTCTATATCCACGGCCGTATAGCGTTAGGCGCGGCGCGATAGTTCACTGGAAGGAGGCCGCGTCGCTTATACACACCGTACGTAGTTAGGTGAGTGTAGCTGGTAGAGACGGCAGTTTAGGCAGGGACGCCGCTCATGTAGATATGGTTAGGTCGGGGGCAAGATTCGGCGATTATTGTCCGTCAGCGCGGCCCGGGGGGGCGGTCCGGGGCGGCGGGGGGCCGGCCGGGGGAGGTAAGATGGCCACCGTAATTAATTGGCGCGACGCGAGGGGTCGACCGCGGCGCGTCTCGACGCGGTATTGCGCCCGCGCGAGGGGTCGCCACGCTGTCCCGGATTATTGACGGACAGCATTTTTAATATAATCTGGCCGTCGTTCAGATGAAGATCGCTGGGTTCGATGCTGCGGTGACATCAACGCCTGTCCTGTAGAAGCGCCACATATTTTAAATGTTTCGAATGGTAGAGACACGTTCTGTTCACTTTTGAATCGGCTTCAAGAACAGATAAAAAGTCCGAATGACTTTACTTTCATCTTTTTTAGTTCTTTTCTTTTTAGTTCGTTTATTTAGTGCATATTGCCGCGGGTGGATAATATGTATGCAATGTAATGATCGGCGGTTCGTGTCCCGACATCGGCCGCGATCGCGTGGTGCCACCGCCGCTGTCGGCCGGCGATCCGACCGTAAACGTCTCACCCACACGCCGCGGGCGCCCGCTTTCCTCTCGCCTCGCTACACATCTACCCCTACTGCCTACATGTTGTACACTGCAACTAACCACCCGATTGTGACACCCGGTCTTGCATCCGCGGCCCTCGCGCTGCGAGCGAACGCCGACCGGAGCGCGGGGCGCGGCGGCTCAACTAACACCGGCTGCTCGCCAATCCCACACTATTCCATAGTTTATCAAAACCGGAGCCCCGACCGCGACTCCTTTCCACCCCTCGGGCGTCCGTTTTAGTATACGGCGCGGGGGGAGCGGCGGATCAGATGGCGTTTGCTGGTCGCCACGTACGGACCGCACGGGTGTGAGTGAGCGACGTACATACTAGCGGACCTCAGCTCACTTAAGCGTAAATTCTGTTGCGTAAGTTAGAAAAGACGTGGCTCTTGAGATAGCTTCGAGTGTGCAGATATTGGAAGTGTCTGGGGGTTTTAGGTTCTTATGTTATATTCAAGTGAGGTGAGGAGCGAATTTTCGAAATAAATCCTAATAGCGCCGTGAATTTGTTCGGGGATGGCTTCAGAGCGATCTATTTGAAAAATAAGCAATAAACAAATCTTGGTTCGAACTTGCAAAGATTTTAAGAGATTTTTTTTAAATATGTTGTAATACTAAGGAAGTCAGAACTGTAACCATAAATATTACCACTTTATTTTCCATTAACTTGTTACTATTTTGATGACTCGCTTAAACTATGATGGATAACAGAAAAACAAGAAAAAATTACTGCCTTTAAAATTTACTTTAAAAACTACTACTTTAAAAATATACTTCTGTTAGATTTCCGATCCGAAGCGAACAATTCTGTAAGCCGTATTTGTACTTTGAAAAAAGATTCCTTTTTTGATATTTGTGGATAAAAGCCTTCTCTCCACAAAGAACAATTATCAAGAGGCAAGCCACGCGCCACATCTTAAACATGTATTCTTCATGTATTCACTATACTTTCTTCGAATATTTCTTTACCGACAAGTGCGTGGTTAAAGTCGGCACTAAGAATTTAGAAGATCCATTGGTACGGGTGCCGTAATTTTAACTGAGGTTATGTTAGTACAGTGAATTTAAAATGCTTACGCATAGATATGAGACTTTTATTTTAATATTAATCTTTTAAAACTATTAATAAAAGTTATGCACGGAGGGTGGGTAAAGTCGTCATATGTAATAATATCAAAAGTTTTGTACCAGCGTCAAAAAACTTGTTGATTTAAGCATGTTTTTTTTTTATTTTTGATCCAGTTCTCAGCTATGTTTTAAGTTCCAATCTCTAGATCTTTAGGCAGTTGATTGTGTCTATTACAATAATTTATGTTAACCAAACTGACTGACGGGTTGGAAAACAAGAATGTCTGGTTTACACAACAAATTATTTGTGAAAAATAAAGATACTTCTTTTGAGTAAAACGTACCAGTTTTTTTTTCATCTCTAAGATTGCTTATGCCAGCAGTTTATCACACCCCGTGCTTGTGAAAACTAAGAGCAATCGGTAACTTCGATAACATAACGGCATTGCATTTTCACATTATTTAACTGTGAAGACTTTTTAGGAACTTTAGGAAGGCTGTAAAGGAAACACCCTATATGACGACAAAAATTAAGAAATGAGGCAAACCAACCGAAATGAGCCGTTTAGCCGAGTGATTAGAGCGTTCGTTGCCTATGCTGGCGGAAGCTGGTTCAAATTGTCGTAGCGACAAAAAACTTCTCGTCGGGTTTTTTAAAGGAGAGATTAAGTTTAATGATTAATATACAAGTACTCTTAACTCTTCTTATGATAGGTACGTCTTTCTTTATTTTATTCCTGGTTTGAAGTTATATTATTCTATTTCCCTTTATCAGACACCTCGGAAATCGTTGACGTCTCTTCTTAAATATTCTTCAAATACTTTCATACATGTGCGTAAAACTTAAGAGACTCACGCCCGGTTTCTGAAACACTGATCATCGTAGAAGGCAACTAATCAGCTGTCAAATGGCTTTTCAAATGTTATTCGAGTTGTCAAAACGATTGTTAAACTCTCTGAATTGACCAGAATGTTCTTCTTAATGATCACAATGAATCAATACAAAGAGTTTAACATGATGTTCTCAAAGTTTTGACGTTTAAAATTGACATTTTTCATTGTCAAGTATGAAAGCAGCAAGGGGTAACTAAGCGAAAAACCTCCTCTTCTTCTCACGTAACACAATCACTCAACAAAGACTTCTAAATTCTTGAAACTTGTATCTTGTAAATTCTACGCAATATGGGCCAAGGAGCCGTACTGCAGGCATGTAATAGGGCGAACTGTGATAGGGTGTTATGGCCTTCCGGAGAAAGGAGGCGTTTATACAACTTTAAACAAGATAAAGCGCAGTTTCTTTGTCAGCTTCTTCGAGACTAAAACACTGTCTAGCGTGGTCCATATTCGGTCCTCGATAGCCCTCAGCCGACAATCCTCTCACTTCTTTTATCCACGCATTTCCACAGGCGTGACTGTTTAGGGTCTCTTCGGGGGGATCAAGCTTGTGAAAACCCAGCCCTTTGACGGGCTCTGTGCCCCGGTGAAGCTTTATACAGTCTACGGACCGAAAGCTTGTCTTGTATCTTGAATTAACTGATGTTTGTGCTTTCATTCCCGAGACTATTAAAGCTTCATCTGACGCAGAGCCGTTGGGCTAGCCAGAACCCACGGGTTTGGGCCCGCCGCTGTGGGTAGGGCCGCGCATGTGCTCATGCGTGCGTTTAACTATGGTATGTCATCTAAGGGCCATCGAGGTTGCGGTTCGGACCGGGACCCCGATGGCCGTCGACTGTGCAATTCACCGCCCTGGAATGCGGGTGGACTAAAAGCGCAAACATCAGTCGAAAGTCACTGTTTATCAGGATATCGAGTCAAAACTCTCATTTGTTTTTTTATGTAAAAGTTAGTAAGGGATTGAGTAGTTCACCTGATGTTACCTGCAACACCCTGGTGTTCTGTGGTTTCGTGGTACTTCCCGGGACGGACCTGCCAATTCGTGCAACAGCGAAGACTTTTTCGTGGCCCTAACACAGTCAGAACGGTCGGGTGCGATAGCTATTCCACTAGTCGAGGCAGACGAAAGCGGCCGCCGCGCCAGCAGAATATGACTGCTAATTATTCCGCGGCCGTTAGTCGACGCAACTCGCGGGGTCCTAGCGAGCCGGGCCGCATTCTTCGTCGCCGGAATGGCATAGCACGTCCGCCGGGCTTAGACTAATTTCGTCACGCGACCGAAGATTAACGGTGGTATAATGGGCGCTTCGATAACCGACGTTTTCCGTAGCGACGTTGCAGGCGTGTTGTTTGGGACCGTTTTTCGAGACGATTTTGGTGCGTTTCGCTGTCTCTTTCTTCCGCGCATGGAATTCGTTCAGTCAGCGCCTACTGGTTCTGTTTGTCTAATGGATTGTGCTTTATTTCAAACGGATTTGTAAAACCTCTAAAAGAGATCATAATAAATTCTGCACACTTGTTGCTACTTAAATATATTGTGACTTTGAAAAGAAATTGTTCTTTCTTCATTTGAGTCCTTCCCACACTAAGAGGATCGTCTGTGTCGCGTGAGAATTATTGTGATTACGAACATGAGATGACCTGACAAAAAGTACACCCAGATTTTGAACAACTATGTACGGATCAAACAAATTTCTTTTCCGTACGGAGATCGAAGCCCGACATGAAGCGCTAAGGCAAGAAAATGAACAATATAAGCTATCGGTGCAATCAACTGTCAAAAGTATTTAATGTCTGAAAGGGAAAATTATTTACTTTTATCCCTATGTTTTGGAAAAGGCCATATGATTCATACATAGGATTTGGAACGTTCATATGATATGAATGTTTCAAATCCTTCTCTGCCTAATGATTATTTCCCTATATCTGTTGTGCTGTGCTGTATCTATCTAAATTCTTGAGGCTTGTATATATACATAGGCTACTTTTGGGTTAAATTAGAAAATAACTTACAAAGCACGTATAATTGGATCTGGACATTGCATCACCACTAAGAAGTGTTATTGAAGGTAACACGGATGGTGCTTATTTGCCTCAGAGATGATTGGCATCATACCTTCGCGGGCGTAGTCAAAATCAAAATCATTTATTCATCGACATAAGAAACTTACATTTCATTTATCAATAGTCATATAATTTCTTTTTAAATCTACCACCGTTTCGTAATGAGGTTCCTCTAGCGGAGAAGAAACAGGTGAAAGAAACTCCGTAGGTATCCTCTTTTTAAATCAAGCTAAGTCATAACATAATTTTTCCACCCAATAATGGAGACATTATTGGGTGGAAAAATAAACTGCTTTAAAGGTGTAATCGCGTTGTCTATTCATTTTTCTTAGTTCATTCCCTTCTTACTTTTCGTTATTTTCGACTGTGTGCAGCTGCATAAGACCTTGGCACGGCACGTAGTCGTATCCGAGGGGCCCTAGTTTAAAATGCACACAGGCCTTTGAGAGCTCGCGTTTGTTACACTTTCCCGGCACTGCAACGCCCAGGGGTGGCTCTAACGCGGGCTCGCGGCGACTACGTCTGTCCAGGCTAGTGATTTTTCGCCCAAGTTTTCTATACAACACTTGCGCCAAGCACCGCTAAAACCCCATTTAATAACTGTAGTAATTTGTATCAAGAACAGACTGATTTGAACGGCCCGAATGGGGTATGTTTCCTGCGCCAAAGGGTGTGGGTTTGATCCACACTACTGGAAAAATACTGTTTGATGAGTATAGTGTTTTTCTAGTCAGAGACAAGATGTGTTTATATATATCTATATTACGTATTTATATATGTATAACCGTTGAAAGAAAAGGATGTTTATCAGTTACCTTAGTACTAGATAACTTTATGTAAGAACATGTCCTGAAATATTTATCTTCAACCTCTATAATGCCTAATGGTATGTGATAATTAATTTTGTTAAATTCAATTATTCTGGAAGAAGACTTTTAATGGTGTGCTGGTAAGCTTTCGGATTGCGTTTTTACTTTCGTATACTGCTGTATCATCGAAGGATTCGATTTGAACCAGTACAGTGGTTATACCTCATCGACTACTCTTCAACTAGACGAATGTGCAATAATGTAGGCCGCGAAAATTTTTTAAATACGCTGAATATACGCCATAGGTCTAACTTCTGTTGTAATTATGATATGAATCTCAATGTAATTTCTTAAAAACTAAAGTTACTAACAAATAATTTGAGGCTAACTTTAGGCATATACGACGTTAACTTGAAATGATGTTTCAAATTGTAAATTAATTTACATAAATATCGCGTTTCTGGGTACGAAAGCAGATTCGAATCCCGCAACGTGGAAAGAAAAAAAGACCAAAAAAATTTTCTTCGTTTGTCTATAAAAATTCACAAAAATTTCATCCTGAGTGCAGAGGTTAGAACTAAAGGTCATAATTAACGTTGTTATGATGGGTGATACAATTATATATCTTACGTTACCAGGTCAGATATGTACTATGGAAGGTGGTAAAATCCGGTGTAATACCGCGGCCATAGAAAACCGGCGTGATGTGGTAGTATTATACTGTATCTACTACTATACTATACTGTAACTACTATTATACTGTACTGTATTAACTGTAAGGCTGCCAACACGTCTACCATCCACATGTCATCGTAGATGTTAATGAGCGGCGGGGATCACTTAGAAGCAGGCGAGCCACCTTATCCCCTAAATAAATGAGGTAATGTTCTAAGCATTTCGAGCGTTGCGCGGAAAACACGCGACCCAGTTCTATCTAGAAAGTTTTCTCCGTGAGCTTAGCGTGTTAAGCGCTTACGTAAGCGTCGAGGTCGAAAATATCCGCGCTAGCCTTTTTCGGCTGTGCGCTGGCTCTCTCGCTCCTTATCTCCCTGTTAGTGTTTGAAGATGCAGAGCGCTGCAGATTCGAGCTCGCCTTTGACGCAGATAAGGTGCCAAGAGCCAAAATAACTGTTACCGTGCGCCCCCTACCACGGGCGCGAATATGACAAATGAATTGCTGTGTGAGATCGACGCCGAACGTTATTTTGTTATAAGTATGGTGATAATATTAAAAAAAGTTGGACCGTTTACCTTCGTTGAAGATTTATCGCTCCGTACGGTGATCAGAAAAAAAAAAGCAAAAAAATCTTAATAAATTAATTTGTTTTCACTTAATGTATTTAACTAAAGTCGATCGGCGAATTTAATGCTAATTATTCCATGTTATCAATTTTAACTTACGCGTAGATTTGACCGAGAATCTGTTTGTTTCATCGAGATTTGAGTCGCCTTAAAAGATCTTGCTCGAACGCTACTCGAAAGTAAACACTTTCGAGTCGCGTTCGAGTAAGCGCGCGGGCTTCCTCATTACGAGTCGAATTCCAGTCGGTCCGCTATAAAGGCGAGCCCTAGCGCCGAATGTAAAACGGGTCCCCGTTTATGTGCACGCCGCTTTGATGGCCGTTTAAACAGCGCAGCTACGACGACGGACGCGGGCTCTAACTGCGTACATACGTACGTACGTATATATATGCACAGTACGTCGTACATGCACGTATGTACACGGATTGACTGTCCGTTTCTAATTCAAGTGGTTCCCGAACGCGCTGCTACCTACGTTTTTTTTATGTAAAAACATGGCGACTGAGCTGGCGGTTCACCTGAATAAGTGATGACCGCCGCCCGTGAATATTTGTGGTACTGGTACTTACCCGGACGGACCTGCCCATTCGTGCAACAGCAAGACTGTTGCGTGCCCCCACCACAGTCAAAAACACCACAGTCCGTTTCCAATTAAAGAAGTTCCCGGGCATCGGTACCTTTTTGCTGTTTTGTTTCGCAATCGTCACGCGTCACCGCTATGCTCGAACATGACCTTAGCAACGTACCATTGTCCAGAGCGTGACAAGCGGCGAGGCTGCCACCGTGACAAGTACGAGACATTTATTGACAGTGTGGTCATTTTCGCTCGCTATAATGAAACTGTGGTATACGTACAAAAGTGTCTGCAAAGATTTACCACAGTTCGTTTCAAGATTGGGCAGCTTCATCAGCGTATCACACAGTGACGCCTGCTGAGTGAAGTAATCGGGGCTTGCTTTTTTGAAGGTCTTCAACGCATCTGCCAGCCCTCAGAAATCACTTAACATCAGGTGAATCCCCTACTCGCTTGGCACTTTCGCAGGAAAAAATAAGTCTTCCCGAGATCGAAATTGCGCGGCAAATACTCGCGAGCCCCCCCGGTGGCGTTCGCGTTTTACCTGGCGGAATAATGCGGGGCGCGATGGGGTCGCGATGGGGTCGCAATGGGGTCGTAATGGGGGCGCGATGGGCGATGGGGTAGCTTGGCACGGATACCGATCGAGGCCTGACTGGACTCACAACCGCTTCGGCTCGCGGACCCCACGAATAACTTAAAAAAATGTAAAACCCTAGTATTGGTTGAAACCATTCAAAGACCGTTATCGAATTTAGTACTTGGAAGTGAATAACTGATACGTAAAAAAATAGTCTTTCCCCACAATCTCCCTTAAAAACTACGGCAATCTGATTTTAAGCGGTCGTGTGCATGATTATAATATATATCATATACACGCATATCATAATAGCATAGTCCCACTAATTTGAATTACGAAAGCTGTGGATCATAAAACTAAGTTACAGGTCCGGCAAAATTTATGACTTGACTGTGTATCGCGTACTACGACCAGTTGTGAGATAACGGAATCGTGTACGGCAAAAAGTTGAACAACAATAAGGCCAGTCTGTATCATCGTTCAGCATCGTAATTTATCGCCGATGCAAAAACATAAATTGTTATGAATTAAACGACCGTAATCGCTGTGCGAACAATTCGACCTGACGCCCAATTTCCGCCGTTCGATTTGCGCGGGAAAGTGTAGTGTCAAAACTGAGCTCTGAGGTAGTGTCTTTGTCGCGATAGTGAGGCACGCGATTAATACGAGCGGCAAAAAAAAATACGGACTTCGGTCTCGGCGGGAAACGCACGCGACGCGTCCGAATCGATGGCCGGGTCCTATCGTATCGCCACGGCCCATAACTCGCGTCCGCCGAAAGCCCTGCGAGTATGTAAATTACGGTCGCGGAGCGCCGCGCCGTCCTCGGGCGCCCACTTATCTATTCAAATTTCGGGGCCCCGGAGTCGGGTCGCGGCGCGTCGCGTCGCCGGCCCGCGCTAATCAAAATCCGATCAGCCATTAAGTCCTCCCGCTATCTGCGCTTAGTTTACGAGCGGGCGGCACGGGGGACGGGGAGAGGAGAGGGGGGGGCTTGTTTATGGCGCGGCCTGACGGAAAAACTACGCGCCGCGGCCGCCGAGAGGAGCGCGCTCGTAAAATCGCCTCTGTAATCGAGCCCGCCGCGTTCGTTGCGTCTTTTTTTCTTTTTTTTTTTTTTTTCACTTTTACGAGCGCGCCCGCCTCGCGGCCCTCGGCCGGTAAATTTAGCGGCTCCGAGCGGCGCACCGCGCGCGATGCATTTCCCCCGCGCGCGAAGCGTTTTCCCGGCCGCCTATATTTAACGTCTCGCCGCTCCCTAATGAGCGAGCGGCGCGCGAAGCGGCGAAGCGGGCATGTGTAGGAGAGTGGAAGGCGGCGTGGGCGGCGCCGGGGCCCCGCGCTATCGTCGACGGCCGCGGATCGCGTGTATTTTTACCGCCACGTAGGCAACGCGGGCCCGTTCGCAAGGCACAGGCGGCGGCGGGCCTATTTTAAAATTATAATATTAACCAACCCAAATTTCTGAAAACTTTACTGCGTAGTTTAAATTTCACCATCAGGTGAAGCTGTAGCCTCATCATTAGACGAGCAATGTAAAGATGGACCAACCCATAGCGCAACGTATTATTGCTAGTTTGTGCGAACATTTTTATTTTTAATGTAAAAGTTTAAATATCTATATAAATAGTAATCACTAAACTCATTTTATGATAGCAATTATGCGCCTTGAATCGCTACCGCTTATCGTTTCCACCGCGGAACGAGCTAGAAAGAGCGGCGTAGGCAATATACGGCATTATCGTATTTTTACCGAGATCGATGGGTCGCTGCGAACACCACCTGTGCTTTCGCGACTCCTAGTCTCCGAGCCTCTATTACAGTATTACGTAACTCTCCGAATTGAATATTCGGTCGACTTTCTTTGTGCAAGTTTCGGCTCAACTGGGGAACGATCACAATTATTGTGACGAAGAGACCTCTCGTATCAAACGTACCGTTAGAATCTAGACTTATGAGTCATCATGCTAGCTTTAATTTATTTATTGGTTCAATGTCATCGTGAAGATCCTTTTTATTGACCCTTATGAGAATTTTGTTTATATTTCCAATAGAAACAAAATATATACCCATGTTAGGCAAAAGATTAGATATTTTTACGTAATTGTGTTCTTTCTTTTGTCAAGTACATTGCGCGGTAATTAGACACATTTAATATCTAATTCGAATTCGTAATCTTATTGGATACTATTGAATATGTCTTAAAAGAAATAAGAAAAAAATCCTTTCTCGATAATTAGTATTAACAGAATATTACCTCGTAGGAGCCGAAATTATCAGAAGTAACAGTCCAGATTCATTGCTCTATGTAGTGTATGGGAAGAAACAGAAAGATTAAGCTTATGTGCGTCGCTCTGGATACATAACAAACTCCCCCAAACACAATTTCGTGTACATAAAGTCTGAAGGAACAACGCGCGTCGAATTCGGCGATACCTACCCGGGCAGAATCCCCGCTGTGGACGATAACCGCGCGAAGGCGCGTGCGGCGCGCAATTAAGCGGGACAACATGGCGGGCGGGTCGCGCAGGGCTGCGTGCTGCCATGCCATTAGACGATTATCTTTTTTTTTTCAAACGGCCAGTTGGATCTGCGTTCAGTGTCGCAACTGTTTACGGCAACGTTGTCGTTGTCGCAAACAGTTCTACGCTGGGTTTTTGACGTATTTTTCTGTATTTTTCGGTTTAAAAAACTTACGTACAAAATAAATTAATTTTATTGATGATTTATAAATGTTGAGAGTTGTTTTATCTTCTTTTCGTCTTTGAGATAATTGAAATGAAATTTTAATGTACATAAATGTAATTCAATCATTGTGACAAAAATATTTTAAATTATAGTAGTTTCTGTTAAATACGAAATTTTACGCTAGGAAATTGAAAATATTTCTAATAAGGGGGTTTATTCTTACTGGGGTTATCTTACTCTCTTATTAGCTCTTACGAAGCCATTTCGGTCTAGTTTGTAAAATACTTACAAATGACACGTTTTCAAGTGAACATTATCTAAACATCGTGATGAATTCTTTAGTTGAAAACGTAAAAGTGTAGAAACGATTTTTCAAATAAAAAAATATATTTACTATTAACAGTTATAATCTGCTTTTGCTCAATGGCACAAAATAGCGATAGAAAAAGCTCATCATAGGAAGATAATAGATTATAAGAATGTAGGAATAATATGCTATTGTGTTTATTTACGATTGTTTATTTCAACCAGTCGAAGCGAATTTGAAATGTCGGTTCCCTAGCCCTAGCCGATGCGTAATACGAATTAGAAAAAAAAACTTCGCAGCCGTCAAGGAGAGCCTCTTCGTCTGAAGCCGCCGCGTTACCGGCCGGTTCCGCGTTCGGCGGTGGATAGGTAAAAAGAAAAAAAAAAAAAACACGTTAGAAATCGAGACGGGGCCGCGGCAGCCCTGGGCCCGCGGCGCGACGCGGCGGCGGCGCGGGCGTCGCGTCCGGTCGCCCGCTATCGCAGCAGGATGATCGGAATCGTTGACACCGCGCCAGCCGCGGTGGAATGACCGCGCGTTAATTGTCGCCTCACCTTCGCGCAAGGGCGCCTCCCCCTCCCTCCGTCCCTCCCGTGCCCCTCTCCCCCCCTCTCGTCTCGCCCCGCCCCGCGCGCCCCTCCGCGGCCGCGTCACGCTACCTATGACGGTCAGCAACCCGCGACCGCGCGCCGCGTGACGAATCGCCGAATTCACGGACGCTGATACCAGACCCTAAGGTCTGCCCGACGTGGATTACACCCTTACGACGGCTTGAATTAACTAGGGTTATTATGTTCGCCCATTTGCTTTGTGTAGTCTTATGTAGTCTTTAACAAGGCTCGCTCGTTGACCCGTTCGACGCTAATTAGCGCCGAGTGACGCCTCTGAGTCCGGCTGCGAGGCAGCGATAAAAGCAGCAATGGATAGATTACGAAGTTCGTCTTCGATTACACAGCGTATCGATTGATGCTCTATGCTGTTTCGGCTGATATCGACAAAGTGACATCTGATTCTGTTGGTTACTAAAGCTAATTTTCAAAACCATGTTAGAAACCGCTTGTATTTGGACGCAATTGCGTTGCAGTCAAGCCTATAAGAGAATATAAGATAAATACATCACTACCCATATGGTATAGCTTTGAGTTTGGCGTCGCATATAGATCAAAAAGAGACACGCAACTCATCGTGTATTCCGAACGGAGTTGCTCGACATAAACACCAGAAAGGCCACCCATCCAAGGACAAGCCGCGCGAGTCAGCTCCCAAGGTCGTACCTACCATAGGGAGTCGCTACGCTACTGCGCGTGTTCGTTCTTTTCTTTTCGTGTGCTGTTTTTCGACCGACTTAAAAAAAGGGACGGTCCTCAGTTGGGTTGTAATTAGGGTTCCGCACCCAAAGGGTAAAACGGGTCCCGTCATTACTAAGATTCCGCTTCCTGCCTGTCTGTCCGTCCGTCAGCAGGCTGTTTCTCATGAACCGCGATAGTAAGACAGTTCAAATTTTCACAGATGATGTATTTCTGTTGCCGCTATAACACAAATATTAAAAAACAATAAAAAAAATATTTAGGTGAGGACAGGACTCCCATACAACAGGACGATGTTTTTTGCCTTTTTATTAGATAATGGTAAGAAACCCTTAGTGCGCGAGTCGTACTCGCACTTTTTTACGTTTGTTACCTCACCTCAGAAATCCGTCATTTGTGAACCGATTTTAAAAAACTTGGGTTAGACATTAAAATATGTAGAAAAAGTGCGAAAAGATCGTCGCCACTGTGGGAATCGAACCCACGTCTTCGGCATTCGCGGCCTGACGCTCTAGCCACTGAGCTAAACGGCTGATTGTCACACCGACGAAAACCTTAACGCATTCTTCTACATTGTTTTCTTAGCATTTGAAGCAAAGCTTGGCGCCATCTATTGTTATATCCTCTCCAGCATACAAACAATTTCGAATATCGTTTTACAACGATAATTCGAACGAGAGATGTCGCCATTGCTTTTTTTTAGAAATTTTTCTACATATTTTCATGTTCAATCTTAAATGCAAAGATTAGCACTATAAACAATTTAAATTTCTAAACTTGGGTTAGGTTTAGCTCTCATGTGTTCTGTTATTAATTTCATTGGTATATAGTAGACCTTGGACTTCGTACGCACACCAGGGATCTCCTCGAAATCAAACAGAAAATGTATATAATGTGACTGAGATATTGGAAGCCGGTTTTGTTTTTTGTCTTAATAAAAACGTACTTGTTTATGTAAATGCTGCTAAAAAGCTGTCAGCCCCATATCTGTATCTGTGTTTCTTTTTCTTTATACCGACTCAAACTGCGAGCAATAAAGAAAAGCATACGATACAAATAAGGAAATAAAACTTGCGTGTTTTAACTGTAACGATTCGGGTAGGAATCATCATCACCATCATTTCAGCCTGTTTGAGTCCACCGCTGAACATAGACCTCCTCACAGACTGCCATAAATCAATATCCTTACGTTTGCACAGGTGGTCACTCTCCGGTCAATGGCCAGTACTATGCTGCCACTCGAGAACCATTCTTTCCAATCGGTTATCCTTTCTACGTGCTATTCTATTCTGCACAGGAATAGCTCATGCTTATTGTCGGCTCATCTTAGCCAGTTCTTGATAAATATAAATATTTTTAAATAAATCTTTTAGGACACATTTTTACACAACGTTCTCTAGTCCCAAACTAAGCAATGCTTGTACTATGGGTACTAGATAACTGATAGACGTACTCAAACATACTTCTCTTTTGTAAATAAATACATATTATACATATATGAACACCCAGACACCACTATATAAACACACAGACTCGACTGGACGACCAATCCTCGTAAGTCCGACATTCGAGCCACTCGACTATCCGTGCTAATGCGAGAAAGTAAACTCAAGAGTTATGCCACGAGATAATTTCAACCCCGTACGACCCCGATACACATATTTATTGTTGAATTTTGCGATTGTGCCAAACGGATGGAGGGTCCGAGTCTCGTAAACAGTAAAAAAAATAACGATCGAATTGAGAACCGCGTTCAATTATTTTTTGTGGTTTTGAAAAATGTATCCTAAATGTTCATAGCGAAGTTTAAATAGACATTTAACTGATTTTGTAATTATTACAAAAGTAGCGACGTCTGACACGCGAGAATTCTGTCACAATAAACAGTCGCCATGATAAACTTTGCACCCAACGTTGTTCCTTATACGATGACTTGTTGGCGCAGTTGCTAAGCTATTGGCTTCTGCGCCGCGGATAGCGGGTTCAATATTCAATTCCGATACGGGTCAATGATTTGTTTGAACAACAGATTCCTAAGGAGAGTTAACGTCGTGACGGCATTTTGCGAAATACAGTAAAACCTAGGTCATTACCATTTACAACATAATTGACATGTAGTGCATTCCATTTACGTGGGATAAGGCCAGGAGAAAGAAGAAGTAGATCCTCGTACGGAGATAGGATTACGTCACGGTTGTGACGTAATCGGACTTAGTTAACGTTAGCTACTATCATTATTTGATTTTGAGCAGTAAACGAATTGTGGTAGGAAAAATATGTAATACAAAATGTATGTTATTAAGGTATCTCTGTGTCTTTATTATGGTCATTCGGCAACACAGCCGAATGACGAACTTACGGACAGATTGAACATATTAACTAATTTTATCGTTTCATGTTTACCTTTTACATCTAGTTTATACATGATCGTAATACGCAGGGCAAAGTATACAGGTTAGCTTACATAATAAAGAAATATTAAAATAAATACTTTACTCGTCCTATAAACAGTTAATACACATTTTCATTTCATACATAACCGCGCGGACAAAGACGCGGGTAGAAGCTAGTACACAATGTAATGGTTACATGACGTCACTACAACGGGACGCCATTTTGCGAAACACAAGCTATTGGCTACAGGATCTTGAGGTTCCTTAATTGTCCTGTGATGCCGACGCAACGCTCAAGGATGTGGTTGAGAAGACATTTCATTGGATTAGTCAAGGGAAAACGCGTGCCTTTGTGCTTCTAGAGAATTCAATGCACTCGATTCGTGCTTAATTACCGGCCTTCGGTTTCATCGCGATAAGTCATCGGTCTGATTGGGACAAATATTTTACGTGGAGGTCGGTTTATTACTACTTTTTCAAAACCAGTTGGCAGTTCGCACATTTTAATTAATAATTATTAAAAGGTTGGTTCAGGATCACAACCAGCCTAAGATGAGAAATGATCTAAATTTAAGATCTCTACATCGAACAGGCGGTGTAATGTAGAGATTTTTACAACTTTTATAGAAAGAGAAAGTGAGGCATATTAAGAAAAATAAAGCGCAGATATTGACTTCTTAACTAGTATTATAAACCATAATACAAGTTAAAAAAATCACATGCTATAGTGTTTTTTTTTAGTTAACACAAAACATTTTACAATAAAATATAATTATAAGAGAAGGGCTTATAAACTGCATCAGAACCTTCAGGTTCCGTTAAGAGCCCCGTACCAACAATGATATTACCACAGAATGTATTTAAAATGATAGATTAATCAATAACAGAAAATATAATCTTTACATTCATAACTAACACTACTATAGAGTCTTGCACTAGCAACGGTAAAACAACAGAAGGCACTAAAAGCGGTAACATAATCGACAATAATTATAACAGAAACACGAAACGTATAAAAATATAAAATGCGTCTCGTTCAATTCGTGACGTAAACAAAAACGGTTTACGCGCGCTTTTAAACGAAAGACGACTAAAAAGCAAACGCTACACGAGCACATCATAATCAGATGTCAAACGGCCGCAGAGTGAGTGCGGGGGCCGATGTTTTGATAACAATCGCCCTCTCCCGGCTTCCCGCCATTTCGCTTTCATTCATGCCCAGTGCCCAACTAAAACAAACTTTATTTCAATTTATAAATGTGTGTCTTACCGTGCCAGTTTCGACTGCGCATGTGTGCGTCTGTTTGATCACAGATTATTTACTGCAGATGGTACACTTGACACGATTGTGTATTGCCAACGTCCGTGGAACCTTTGAGAGTTTTTTGACGTTATACTTCTTTTGGCGTGCTTGCGAAAAAGGATCAGAGTGAATTTTTATAATGCGCGATACCTAAAAGCAACACCAACTCCACAGTGTTACTACGGCAACCAATAACAACTTTTTGACATTTACCTATAATTCTAAGTTTTTTAATTCATCCACTATCAATTGCATATAATGTATTTTTTTACACTCCAAAACTACTGGTTCACGGGATATTTTTTTAGTTATTTTTTTTTGTTACGCTAAAGAAGTATTACTTATTACGCACATTTTTTATATCTTTTTTATTGTTTACTACAAATATTTGATTTTGAGAACTAGAATTAGAAAAGCGGAAACATCACTATTACTGGCTAAATACACTTGAATACTGAATAATATAGCACATAACTCAAGAATGGCTGGACAAATTCAGCTAATTTATTTTATTGTATGTTCCTTAAGGTCTACGCAAGGTTTTAATACTATAAAAAAAAGGAACGAAGTCTGTCCAGGCAGTTAGTCTAAAATAAAAAAGCTAACCTACCATTTTAAGTTAACAAATTATGCATGTAGTTAATAATGTATTATAATTAAATGAACATTTTTAACGAGATTCCCGATGTTTCGAAATATTTGGTGATTTCAATGTCACAGTAAGATTTGAAATAAATAATTTGTATAATAATGTCTTAACGTTAATTCAAGATTTTTAAATATATTTTGGACTGTGGTTGCCAAAATCATCTTATTAAATACAAGTGTTTAATATAATTGTCCTAGAATGAGTTTTCTGTCATTTACGTCTTTACGGCGTCATTGTTATTTCTACACTTTAGCCGAGAACCGACATTTATAAGTCTCCCATTTTGTAAGATGTATATAAGGCAATATCAGTTCATTGTCTTCATTCTTTTCTTTATTTTTTTTTCAGTTCTAGTTCCCCAAGAAAAATAACATTAATAGTTGATTAGTTAGAGTAGTTATTAGTTTTTTGTTTGGGTATTTTGTCTTGTAGTCGTGTATTAAATGCTGTCTGGTTCTTTTTTGTTAATATTTGAATAGTATAAAGTTTTTTATCAAACCGGCGCGGTGAGACGGAGTTTGTCGCGTCTGCGTCGAGATTTATTATTTTTACTCTTTGATGCATCGCAGTCGCAAACACATAAATATGTAGGAGGTATCGTCGCAGATAAACTTGTAAAAAGTTATGAATGAAACCGAGAGTGCTCGTAGTAGAGTTGTAGCCTCTCCCTCTCCCGCCCGTGCCGCCTCACCCCCGCGACCCCACCCCCCCTCTCGTAGCCGTCGACGATTTGTTTCATGCATTTAGTTTTATAACATTTCGACATAATTTACGGCATCGCAATGGCGCTCGTGTCGTGGCCGAGTTTTAAGCGTTCCTTTATTTCTGTACGCGTTATTCCAGGGCTCTGCGTATCGGTTCTTTTGTTTGCAATCGTTATTTTCTTACTTATTTAGTGCTTTTATTGTGTTTATCTTTTGAGTGAACAATATTGTCGTACATTCATTGTTTATACTTTTTAATTGCGTGTTTCTCTCGATTGGAGCAACCGGTTTTGGTTCTTCCGAATTTTTATTTTTATTTACCTATACTTGTAGATTTTAATAACTTGATAGTTTTTTTAAGTAAGCACGTAGCTCCTTTAGCAATAATACAGTAATTTTTTTGGAGAAAAAAGTAGTTTAGGTTCTTTATAAGGTCATACAATATCTTTCAAATTTATTCTAAAAGCATTCTGAACTGAAAAGGTAGGTATAGTTTTATATTATAACATTAATACAGTTTAGTTTAGTTTTTTTTTAGTTTAGTACAGTTTATTTATTATAGATACTGATAATAACGGAAAAATAAGTGACTGTATTTAATGCATAAATCAAATTTTAATGCTAAGATAGCATATTCGGGTTCTTTGGCTTATCTTAGTTTAAGCTCTAATTTCACCAACTTCTTTATAATCAGCCAATGATTAAGTGCCTAAGTTCTTATAATAGCTGTCCTATAAGTCAGTTGACCTCCAAGCCTACGTAAACAAATCAAGAATTAATGTAAATCATATGACAAACGTCCCCTCGAAATATCCCACGTTCATTATCGAAGGCCGCTATCCGAAATTTAAATTAGGATTTACTAGTAACAACGTCGATTGATTTTAAAATAGAACAGGATTTGACACATAAACGACTATTTTTAACGCGTATTTATCGTATTCATTTATCGGTTTGATAATAAACGCGGTAATGCCGTAAAATAGTTCAATTAAATAACGTATAATGCTTTCTAAAATATAAGAAGCGATCGCATATATAGTTGTTAGCTAAGTGCTAATTGGAATCTCGCAATTGGCGTTCAAAACAGCGCGCAGAAACGGCAAGACTTCCATCGAGTTCGAAACACGAGGACGCAATCCCTCGCGCTCGGCGCCGGTACATAATCCGTCAAACGCACGCTATGTACGTACCGTACATGCTCGTACGTACGTACATAATACGTATGTGCCGACCGTTCGCCGACTTAGCGTTTCGAGGGAGACACGTGCGGTCGGGCGCGCCCCGTGGCAACTAGGCCATCGCTAAGGCAACTAAACCGGCTCCGATGAATACTGCACGCCGTCCGTGGCGGTAAACTGTTCGCCCGCGCTTACGTCATCCCGTCGTGAAATTACCGCCAATTTATATGTACACTGACAGCTGTCAGATATATATTTTTCTAGTATTGTGACATTTGCTTTTTTTATCTACATCGATGCAGTGTCTAACTTATTGAATTGGATTTGATAACGTGTGGAAAATTTGGGCTGGACTAATTAATTGGTAGTTTTTTAGTTAATGGTGACAGCCGTTTTTTGACGTTCAATAAAAGCTTAAGTTAACCCTATATTGAATAAAGATATTTTGGCTTTGATTTTGAATACAGACTGATAATTATTTATTTTTATAACTTAAAATTGAAACCAATTTGTCCTTTTTTCTATCAATGTCATTCTGTACAGTTGTGCGAGGTATAGTATAGTCTTATATATTTATATATAGTCTTATATTTTTACTATTTTGTTTGGATACTCCGCGCTATGAAATAATTATTGTTTCAAAAACGTGATGCAAACTATACATAAAATATTTTAAGGGGCACACAAACCTTTGTCCCTTGTTGGAACAAACCCATAAAAAGCGTGCACTTTTCATGGGTGTTGGAAAGATTGCATTGCTATAGTATTCATTAAGTAAAAAAGAAACAAAGTTTATAACATCCTATACAACTACAACTGACTGATTCATACATTCAGAGACTTTTTCATTCTTTGCCACAGCGTCGCATTAAAAATTTACGTTACAGTTTTATACGTAAGGCTGTTCTAAAATTGTTTGTTTTGGAAAATTTAATAACTCGGTAAATATTGATGTTTATAGAAACTAAATGTTTAATACAATTTTAAAAAGTTATCCTTTATGTGTGTTTATTTATTGTCGCGATTGTAAAAACACGGTGTATATCTGACTATCCAGATAATACTGAGATAAAATTAATGTTTGCACGATATTAAACTTTTTGATTGAGACGATGTGGACATGAGGTATCGAGGCTGGGAACAATTATTTGGGTATTAAATAATTTTTTGTTAGGAATCGAACAGAGCCCGTCTGACAATAGCATCTAGCGAGATGAATATTTCACTCAATGCGAAATTCTTGCAATCACCTTTTTTAACGAGAATTTAAAAGCTTTTTTTATTGTCACTAATGTAGAAGTAGTACCTATAGTATGGGTTGACGCAAATGGTTCTTTTATCTTTAGTACTGTTACATTACTTAGATATGGATCTAAATAATGTAACATGTACTACCATGGGGTGATAACTATACGAAGGATGAAAAGGTGAATGTCTGTGTCACTGGGGGCAATTTAGCTCAAGTGCTGTTATGTTTAAGTAGTCATTGTCACCCGCCCTTTCAAGGAGTCAGGAAGGGAGAAAAACGAGTAATGTCCACCTGACATAAACAATGGGAATGACCTAGAATACAATAGTTACGCACAATTAATACATGGAACGTAACAGCACGCTCACTTTTGTTCTTATTTTATAGATAATAGTACATAGTTTTGTTTTTAATCGGGTGAAGCTTTTTGAACTGAACGTTTAAAGAATTCAGTAATTTAACAGCCAGCCAACTAAGCAAGGGATTGTGGGGGGAAATTTGATTTGTCACATAGAATTTAACGTAGTGCAAATCCTTCAACCGTGCTAAACTATCGACGACTTTAAATTTGAACTATTTAAATATAATCTGTATGCAAGGGGTCGCATACTGCGGCAAAGGCATACCAGGACCCGAGTTCAGTTCTCGAGAGGAGCCGTGCGGCACTAGCTATCCCATTAATATGCCGTTTGAGTACGGCTCGGGCGTGTAATGTATTAGTGGATGCGTTTCCCTCCATCTCGTCTCACTTGTCATTCGAACATTTCTGACGTCTCATTGCGATTATCCCCGCTTGGCGGTTTCTGATTTTGGTCGATTGATTTTTATTTCGTCGAAGTTTTCCACTTGTTCCATTTTCCTTACTTTGTTAAGTCACCTGTAATTTTACTTGATGTTTAGCATTTCGCCAATAACTCACTCGATGGTAACCGGTGATGTTAAATGGTTCGATATGACGTGACGATTTATTGTGGTCTGTGGCAGAGATAAGTTATAGTCTCATATTTCGATTATTGAAAAATATTCGAAATTAAATTGAAGATAGATTTAGTTTTTGTCTTTCGTAGAGACACCCAGTGGCTTATCCAGTTCCTCACAAATAGGATGTCTTTTCAGGGGAAGTGTTTAATAGGAATGCTGGCTTTCTAATATAAGCATACTTTCGATTTTGACGTGTGATTGAGGTGCTAAGTTACTTTTTAAATATTACTGCAGATTTTCTAAGGGAGGTTACCCATCCGCAAAACTATGGTTGTAAAAGTATGTGTAGATTTGCATGGGTGGTAGTAATCACATAACATCAGGTGAACATAAAAATGATGGGGGCGGACATTACGGTGGATGAAGAACAATCTGTTCATCGTTCGGGAGACATGTCCACGATGAAGTTAGTTCATCTTAAAGATTACAATCCAGTTTTTGGTTATGCATAATCGAAATTTCATCTACGAGTGATACGTTAGTAAATGTTGTGTGGTGGTATCCCGATGATTTTCGTCCCCTACTCAGTTGAAACACCATTTTGGCGACGAGTTCTCCTTGAAACATCGTTGGCGCACTTTTAAGTGTGGCTTAGTGATGTACGTGGCTTAGTGTGGCTTAGTTATGTCCAGAGGGTGGAGCTATCAGTTATCTGTCCGATAGCTGGCTGGAACCACTACGGGTACGCGACCCCGGACTGCTCTAGCTACTACTGGCACATTCCACCTGCATCCCGTGACAGTAGTATCCCCCCCATTCCCCCCCTCCCCCTCCCTTCCCCTTTCCTATCACACTAACTCTCCCGGGACACCATTATCTAGTTCCCAAAAAGAAGGAAAACTATTTTAAAACCCGGAAAGGTGCCTCCGTTCAGGCGTGAGCCAGGCACCTGCGGCCGAGCCGGCACCACACGTATTGACTCGTCATTCCTGTGGGTCCTGCCGGGGAGGAGGAGAGGGTGACATGGGTTCTGGGCAAGCCCGTGCTGCCATAAAGTCGTCTGTCCCAGGCGTAGTCGCATCCGCGGAGAGGTCACTTCGCCCACCTGCCTTCAAGGTGGAAAACAACACGGGGAGTGGCAGTTACCGGTTTTAAGTCGGCACCAATAGGCGTAAGTGCGGGCGCCAGGGGCCACTTCTGACAGTAGGAGGATCCTTTGTAGGTCCACTGATCAGTTACCGCCTGCTTTAAGTCGGGCAGCCCTCGACCAATAAGGTACTGATCCGCTTCAGCACCAACTTGTTCTGCCTGGGTGAACAGAACACAAGCCTCACAGCTGGACGTTGGCGCTGTAAATATAACCACCTGCTCGAACAAACACGACAAAACCCAAAGCTAACATCAACGCTTCTTACATGCGCTTCGCATCATGAAATGTCCGAACTATGAGGACAGGCTTCCCGAACACCTGTGGGAGCCTCGATTGCGCCCAAGACCTGCGCAAAACCTACAACATCGACATCGAACTCAAAAGGCTCAACGTCGATATCGCGGCCTTACAAGAGACCAGAATCGAAGACGAAGGGTCTATACGCGAGGTGAACTATACTTTTTTCTGGAAGGGCAAGAGTGCGTCAGAAAATCGCGAGCATGGTGTAGGATTTGCGATCCATAATCACTTACTTAACGCTATAACGACTCCTATTGGTGTTTCTGAGCGTATTATGATCTTGCGTCTTAAAACAAAGTGCGGCTTTGTCACGCTTATTTCCGCTTACGCTCCGACACTCAATTCAACATCTGAGAATAAGGATCAATTCTACGACCAGCTCGACGAAACAGTTCGCGGGGTGCACTCAACAGACAGACTTTACATCTTGGGTGACTTTAACGCTCGTGTCGGACAGGATACGACCGCCTGGCCTGGTGCACACGGTGTAGGTAAGCAAAACGAGAATGGTCAGCGTTTGCTGGAGTTTTGCTCCAAGCACCAGTTGTGTGTAACCAACACTTTCTTCAAAGGTAAGCTGATGCGGAAAGTCTCCTGGATGCACCCCCGATCGAAACACTGGCACCAACTTGACCTTGTCCTTACTAAAGTGAGGGACCTACGAGAAACACTCCATACGCGGGCTTTTCACAGTGCTGACTGCGATACCGATCGCAGCCTCGTCCCTACCAAAGTGCGGCTTACCCCAAAGAGAATCCACTCATCCAGGTCCACGGGTCGCAAAAGGATTAACATTTTTAATATTCGTGACTTGGATGCAGTGGCGGGTTTCGAGGCCCTTGTTAGCACGAAAGTTGCTACATGGGACAGATCGGCGACGCCAGAAACTGAGTGGGAAAGATTAAAAACCCTCCTCACTGTCACCGCAGGAGAGGTTTTCGGCTATCTGAAGAACAGAGCTCGCGACTGGTTCCACGAAAACGAAAAGCACTTGATGGCCCTCATTGACTCGAAGCGCCGTGCTGCTCAAAACTTCCGCCTAAATCCGTGCGATGCAACACGTGAGGATCTCAAGAGGGTTAAATCCTCACTCCAGCGTAGTGTTAGATTTTATATAAAGGCGTTCTGGACAGAACTTTGCCTGGGCATCCAATCATGCGCGAACGCAGGGGATATAGGTGGAGTTTATGCAGGTATCAAAAGGGCTATTGGACCAATCCCGAAGAAGACGGCGCCTCTGAAGGATATTAACGGCTGCGTTATCACAGATAGCAGCCGACAAATGACAAGATGGATTGAACACTACACCGGCCTTTACTCTCGCCCCGTGGACATCAAGCCGGAAGCAGTGGAACTTGTCCCAAGGCTGGCGACTTGGCGCGAGTTAGACGCCGCACCCACCGTAGAGGAGCTCCAACTGGCCGTCAACCAGCTCAAAGTTAATAAAAGTCCGGGCAAAGACGAGGTGTATACCGAGATCATTAAGCTCAAGTGCCTTCTGCCAGTCCTTCACAACCATCTGACTAAATGTTGGGAAACGGGCTGCGTGCCACCGGATATGCGCGATGCCAACATCGTCACCCTTTACAAGGGCAAAGGTGACCGCGGCGACTGTAACTACTACCGCGGAATATCCCTTCTCAGTATCGTCGGCAAAGCTTTTGCTAGAACCATCCTAGGCAAACTACAAAAACTCGGTGACCGCGTTTATTCCGAGGCACAATGTGGATTTAGGTCTCAGAGGTCAACCGTTGACATGATATTTTCTCTTCGTCAACTACAAGAAAAGTGTAGAGAACAGCAGACTCCATTAGTCTATGCGTTTGTAGACTTGAACAAGGCGTTCGATACTGTGAGCAGAGAGGGACTGTACTCAGTTCTTACTAGAATTGGATGCCCGCCGAAGCTTCTGAAGATTGTACAGTCATTCCACGAGGGCATGGAGGCCACAGTTTTGCACAATGGCGACCTGTCTGAGCCGTTTCACGTTCGCAGAGGTGTTCGTCAAGGCTGCGTTTTGGCACCGACCTTGTTTGGCATATTCTTTTCTGTGCTTCTTAAAGTTGCTTTTGGCAATGAAGAACAGGGCGTCCACCTACACACACGATCCGATGGTAGGCTGTACAGTATCTCTCTGCTCAAGTCCAAGCGCCACAGAGAAGAGCTCTTTGTTGACAGCCTCCTCTTTGCTGATGACGCTGCCTTCGTCGCTAACGATCAAACCAAGCTGCAGAGATTGATGGACAAATTTGCCAGAGCATGTGACTTCTTCTCCATGTCTATAAACGCTAAGAAGACTGTAATTTTAGCGCAAGGAAATTCAGAGCCTCCAGTGATTCTGCTGCACGGCGCTCCACTGGAGGTGGTCAGTAAGTTCTGCTACCTAGGTTCGCAAGTGTCGAGCAATCTCTCGCTTGATGCAGAGATCGATTCCCGCATCGGCAAAGCGGCCACCACGTTCGGGAAGCTCCGTTCTAGGGGTTGGGACAACAAGCATCTTACGTTAAAAACGAAGATGCTTATTTACCAAGCGTGCGTTCTAAGCACACTTTTATACGGAGCGGAATCCTGGACGACATACGCAAAGCAAGAACGTCGACTGAACACTTTCCACATGCGCTGTCTTCGAAGCATACTAGGCCTTACCTGGAGAGACCACATTACAAACGAGTCTGTTCTATGTACGGCACAACTTCCCAGTATCACAGCCACCCTCAAACAGGGAAGGCTTAAGTGGCTTGGGCATGTGCATCGCATGGAACGGAATCGCTTGCCGAGGCAAATTCTATTTGGAGAGATTGCAGACGCAAAAAGGCCCATTGGGCGACCTATGTTGCGCTTCAAGGACTGCGTCAAGCGCGATATGATCGCATTTAACATCCCAACCCATCAATGGGAAGAGCTTTCAGCAGATCGAGGCAAATGGCGTAAACTTGTTCAAGAAGGCCAATCAAAGCACGACAAATCTTGGTTTGATCTCTTAAAGAAAAAGCGCATAGGGCGTCACGAGCGAACTGCCAACCCCGAACAACGAGGGGGCTTCACTTGCCGTGAGAGAGGTGCGGCCGAGAGATCGTCTCTCGGATTGGCCTCTTCAGCCACGAGCGTAAATGCTACTTAAATCATCTGTCATAGATGCTAAGGCCTATTATTATTATTAGTGATGTACGATAATGTCTTATGCAAAAACTTTGCAATTGAGCGAATTAAAAAAAGTCTACCTTACTCGCCAGACGAAATGCGAAAGTATAATACTTCCATTTCACGGCGCTCTTTTATACAACGTAGGTACTTCCTCGGTTTGCTCATTTGTACAACAGCAGAGGCTTCTGTGTGGACTTACCATAGTTTAATCGGTCGGTCAGTGGTTAGGCCGCGACATGAATCTTCATAATAGACAAATTTCGGTAATGCGTCAAACATCAATAATGTGTCAAAATCTCATAGTATTCAAAATTAAATATATTTTTCGGAGTTATTATTATTATGTTATTCATAGTGGTAAACTTAAAATATTCTTTAAGTGATTATTTTTACGTGTTATGCTGTCCAAACAAAGCCTGCATGGCCCCAATGTGTTTATCTAAGCTATTTTTATTTCTTCTTTGGTGAGCCACCTAGGCAGCGGTTAAATGTCGTATCTAGTATCTACTGTAGGTATGGAGCCGGAGGTAGTTACGTAAGTCCTCTAGGTGTGACGCAGCCGCGGTCCATTTCTACGACGTTGCATCTGACAGCGGCAAACTGGATCACTATGCAGTGATGGGCGGAGCGGGTGCGGAAGCGTTTTAAAATTATTTACGTTTAATTTTCCATGTGTTTGCACTTTATTCTAGAATGTTTATGGTCGTTTTATGACTATGATAGTTCATCGAATTTCATGTCGTCTTCGATATGCTTTCGATAACACAAACGAAACATTCATCTTGTTTTAGAAGGAGCTATGGTCTATATGTTTTTTTTTAATATTAACAGATGATACTACATAATGTAGTATGTAGTAAATTCAGCATGCCCGTGAAGGATTGTCTGTGTGAAATACAATCTGTTATAATCTCTTCCATAATCTCCTTTTTTCATTTATACCTATATCTAATTTGGTATTGCCAGTAACACTGTGATCGCACCCTAAAGACGTCATTAGAGGAGCCGGTGTTCTAAGCTCGCCCGTTCAGCCAAACGTTCGCGCTTAGACTCACGGAGTACATACCATATATGTTCTATGAGCCGCGTAGTACATAAGCACATAAGCGAGCACATGAGACCTCGGCATATAGTTATCGGTGCGGGTATTTGTCCTCCTTGCGGACCTTTTACGAAAGCCGACACCGATGGTTGTTGTTTGGACCTCTAAGAGGCGGCCAGTTTCCTTCGTAACGGGATCTATATATATATATGTAATGGAATATTGATTTAATCCTAAATTTAATGCGGCGATTAACTTTTTAAAATGTCTTATAAATATTATTTACACATAATGTCGGTAAAGCGCCGGACAGTTATTTTCGTGTATGAATTTTAATGACGCATCAAAAAATTCGTAAGTTCTAACGGTGTATTTATTAAACTGTATTTATCATTTATGATTCATTCAGTCGTTGGGCGTTATAACATTTCTGGTTTTGGGAATACGGAGATGTATAGAGAGTATGGAGATTCTGGTAGCCATAATGCCATATTCATCATAGTCATGCCGAGGTATAATGAAGCCCCTTCAAGTTGACTTTGTGTGGGTGGTAACTTAAAGTGTTCTGAGAGAAAGATTCAATAGATAATTAAACATACTATTAGTCATCACACTCACCCTTCATTAGGTCCAAAACTAATCGGTACATACACCGATTGCTCGCGGATTTAGCCTTATAATTATTCAGTTTATAATTTCTCACGAAAGAATTCCATTGAACATTTTCCCTGATACAAAAAAGTTTTTTTTTATTGGAGAATATATACATTACCGTATCCCGGCAGCAATAAAGCTGGGTAATTACTCCACGTTTAGAGCTGAGTCGGTTGCGGTGCTCCGTCATCTCAGCGTCGAGACACTCGCCGCGAGTTTCCGCTCACGTACGGGTTTTCGCGTCGCGTGACCTATTTCTCTCCGTGCGAAATGGGAGTTTTTTTTTTTAATTCCGATAGATGCTCTCTCCCGTCTCATATTGCCCGTTCGATTTGTTTTTTTCTTGCGGACGCTCATTCTTGTATACATCTACAATATATGCTATGTCATTTTCAACCCATTCCTCATTCTTAATATCAAACATATTATTAATGGTATTGGCTTGGTTTCGTACGGCCTGCCGTCTCTCTGTTATCAACACTTCTTGAGAATAAAAACCCAGATCCGGAGCTTATGGATTACACAAATATTCGAACCGTTGCTACTCGAGCCCACCACAACCAACGAGTCATTAATTATTATTATAGCTTAGATTTAATATTTTTTGACGTCGCCGTGAGTATTGGCTTCGGCATCGGGGGTCGCGGGTTCGATTCCCACACGGGACGACTGTTTGTATGACCCACAGATAGTTGTATCGCACAGGATAATGTTATCCTAAAGTGGGTACAATGTTTTAAAAAAAACAAAAAAAATGAATTCATTGTCTTTTGCGGTTTTTGCGTGTGAGTGTTGTGTTGTCATTAATAATGATATTATTGATTGATTTAATCACAGGAGAGAATGCTCTGCTTTTATTCATATCAGAAATAAGCGAGCAATGACCATAATATTCTTCATCACATTAAAATTTATACGTCAAAGAAGTGAGTCGTATTATTTTGACGGTGCGTGTATAGAATATAGATAGATAAGTACAAAAACTAATAGTCATAGCAAAAACTAAAAGATTCTTTAACATGCCTATTGGCAAAGTCATAGAGATTAATATGTGTGTGTGTGATTTTCTTTCATTTCGGCGAACGTAAAATTCATTATCACGAACTCGGGATGGAACCCGTCGACTCGATCGATTTCCTCTACGCCTTACGCACTGATCTCGGCAATCGTTGGCATCGGAGCTCTCGACGGACGGCACCCGCTGTCGGGATTTCGGCGGCGTCTTTTGTAATTGCTCCAATCGGAGCCGCCGTATCTTTAGAGCGCCCAGATAAAGGCGCGGCCGCTTCTGGCCACAGAGGCCGGAGAGGATTCGAGAACGTTCGGCCCTTATCTTTCCGCACGCCGCTTCCGATAAATGTACCGCCACTAACACCCTGTCCTGCGAGAGTTTCGCCTTACGAGGTTTCCAGTTGATTTGTATTTGTATTCTATATATGTATAAGAGAAAATGTCTACTTCTTAATTACAGCGCTATGTTGGAATCTATTGTTTACTCGTTCAGTGACTACAAAAACTTGGTAATTTAGATTAATTAACAAACGGATCCAAATTGACATTAAGTGACGTATAGTCAGCTCACAGAGCCCCTCGATTAACGTTATTCTGCAAATATATATAGAATACAAATACATATAACATATTTTATAAATATAAAATGGATTGCTGTTCCTTAGTCTCACTAAAACTCGAGAACGGCTGGTCCGTTTTGGCTAATTTTGGTTTTGAAATATTTGTGACAATCCAGGGAAGGTTTAAACGATGGGAAATTATGAAAAAATTGCATGGAAAATCTAAATAGCAACAATTTAATTTTCCCATACAAACTGTACCTGACAAGCTGTCAACTTTGTCTCTGTGTAACCTGTCAAACGCTTTATGCGTACGTTCAGATTCCTCTAGAAATCATTTATATGGCAAAACAACGCCGGATTAGCTAGTATTTTATTTTATAAATATAAGATAATAATCTTTGTACTGGTTTGATGCTGGAAATTAATATATGATTTTTATAATTTCGCAAATTGTTTAAATAAATAAATTTAGACGCCTAGAGACAAGTTTAAGCAAAGCTCCGTATTATTTGGTTATTTATCGCGATGAGGTCAGGGTATTCAGAGCAATTCCGGTGCCAATCACAGCACCTACCTTCCGTTCTCCGGTAATCGTGGAAAGCGTGACGACGGCGAACATCATTAGGTCCCGATATCGAAAGACCGCACCGCACAGCGACTCGTTGGGGGAAATAAAAACGCTTAAGAGACAGGTAGCTCGACGTTCTTCTCTATCAACTATTAAAGCGGTAATTACCGCGCTGTAGGGCTCACGTTTGAAGGGAAGCTGCCGCAGTGGAGTAGATACGGCGGGTCCGGGTTATATAAGGCTATGTACGTTATATAAGCCGGGCCGAAGGCTGTGCCGACCGTAGCAACCAAAATACGGGCACCTGACGCCCGCACTACGGATCGAGCGGCGGACATGTTGACTAGCGGAGCGGTAGATCAAAAATTATTGTTTGTACTAAATATTTTCAGTTGTACGTGAATGCAGTTTTCAACACTGTTCCGTTAAATATATCGATGAAATAAAAATTCGAATTAATTTGTATTTGTCTGTTTTACGTTTGAAACGATTAAGTTTTTGAAAGGACAGTCGTCGATATAATTCTCTTACTATAATGAACTTCGTGATCCGGAATACATCTGCCACAAGAATATTTTGAGATTTATAATATTTTACATTAAACATTACTTTCAACTTATTACAATATATTGTGGACCCATAATAAAAGTATTTAAAACGCATTTCACCGATCAATTTAATACCGCTTCCGCTACGCTCGTCAGCGCGTCCGCCACGTAATTTAGCAACGAGCCCGCACAAAGCCTGCCCGCTGCGGTCGCTCGTCTTACCGGCGCGGCTCGATTGTGCGCCACGCACACGCGCGCCCCTCAGTACATACACACGCGCACACCACCGCGTCCCGCATAAATGACATGTTGATGTTGCGGCACACAGCACCCGCGCCCTCTCTCGCCCCCGGAGATGTCGTGAGAACGGTCGTCGCTCCTGATGACTTAATATCGGTGCGAACGTAAATATCTCGCGATGATAGTACCCCAGTGTCAAAAGCTGGCCGCAATTTTCGTTTGAACGAACTCTGTCACCTTTATTCCAATTTTATTGTTTTCGAACTTCAGTAAGTAAAGACTATATTTGAATCGAATTTAATGAAATTTTGGCTTTAATTTTTGTCTGCCTGCGGTAGTATGAGATGCCGATGGAGAGAGATACTAAAAATTTATTGTCAATATTTGATAGAAATATTAATTCGTTGGATGCACTTGAATTATCATACCAATTATGTTCGAAGGTTAGTGAGTCAAAGCTATGTTATGCCTATTTTTAACGCACGTAAACACGCGGACATAAACGTAAACAAGTAACAGAGTTCCGGAGGGTACATCGACGAATACGAACTGAGGCAATACAATACGTACGTACTAAATTGTGGTTACCATTCTTACAGGCTCTTGTATTAAATTTCTAGTTTGTAAATAGCAACCACTTTGGGGGAATAACCAACGCTTACGATGCAGTCAATATGATGCGTGTTTTATAAGTTATCTTTCCGGACCACGAAACTATAAATTCTTCTTAATCGGACACTCTTGACAGAGTGGTCGCGGCTGTCGATGGACGGGATTGCGTCTCGTCGTCGCTGTTCACTTCCAAGGCATCTTGCGATGTTCCTCCATTGGAGGCGGCTGTTAGCAATGCGAGCACATTGTACTGCGGTGACTTTCGTAGTGCTGGTGATGACGTCAATCCAGCGCGGGGGGGGGGGGGGGGGGGGGGGGGGGGAGCGTGTAGAAGGCAAAAGACCTTGAGGTCTATTGCCTTCTACACGGCCTTGAATGACAAGTCTCTCCATGGAATCTTCCTTTCTAGAGATGCGCCCAAAGAACTTGAGAATTCGTAGTTGGACGGTCGACGAAAGTCTGTTTTGTATACGAAGTTCTTTGAGGAACTATAAATTACTTAGTTTTTTTGCCCTTTTGTTTATGATAAATGATGGATGGATACTTCCGCTACTACAGCATGAACGTATACACATGCCTATACATTTACGTATATAGTAGTAGGCTGTCACTGGGGGCTGGGACTTGAAAGCCCTGCTGCTCATTAACACTGACTCTTCAGGTTCCCATGATGTCTGGTCAGCGAACTCAGCGAAGTTCGTTGGCCGTGCAGAAGGTGCTGAGTAGACGCTGAGGTAGGCGCGCTGAATTTTCCAGCGTGCCTTAACTGGAGGAGGTTTGGCGAGTCTCTGCCTGCCGTGCCTCAGCCAGCGCTGGCGGGGTCGCGGAATTGTGCTGCAGCGGTTTGAAGGCGCGGCGGTAGCCCACTAGCGATTTCCTCATTATCATCTCTCAAAGCCACGCAGCACTGTCTATATGATGAGTTACTGAGTCCAATAATTTTAACTAGTTGTAGCTCACGGGTCGAATTTCAATAGTGATTGATTAAATTTTTAATTTGAATAAATTTTTGTCAGATTCAATCAATCAAACTAATTTTAAATTTCTTCGGCGACCATCTTTACTCTACTTGCGCTGTATTTGACAACAGATTTTGCTTGACATCGATTTTATGTATATACTATATTTCATTTTTTGTATTACATAACTTTGATTTATCTTCGTAACCCTTATAAGTCTATTGCATAGAAGACTTTTCTATTTAGAATTTTATTACATTTTTTATGCTAGCAATTGTCCTACTGACATGACCCTTTCCGTAATTATCAGTAGGTAACACCAATACTTGTTCCATAATTTGTGCAAATAAAGAGACTTTATTATATGCATATTAATACATTACAACCGAAGTACCTTTTTAGAATTTAATTATTACAAGGGAATTGAATTTTATATATTACAAGCGAAGTGCCTCGTAACAGTCGGACGTTTTAAACAAGTTACGGCCAAAGATGTGGACGCGGAAGACACTTGGTGACGCCCGCGGCACTCGTCCGTTCCCGGTTTTATGGACTAACGACTCGCCACGTCACAGGATATTTATGGCCTTCCGAGACGACAACGACACGATAAATTTGTGACTGCTTAGAATATGTGGGCGTAGGATGCGAAGCGGCTGTTGGAAATGTGTTTCGTGTACACAAACGTAATACGAACAACCGTACATACATGTTAAGAACGTTGTTTATGGGATTTATTTAGAAAAATCACACTTTCAGACATCTGTGGTAAATAATCACAAGCCGCAAGACGGTCCACTGTTGAGCATAGTCCCCTCACCCTTAGAACACTACAACGAAAGACCCTTTGCCATTTGCATCCACCGGCTGCCCGCGACTCTTACGATGTTGTCGGTCGAAATAATCTATACAATTACATATTTTTAATCCTCCTTATGTTATTAATATTAAACAATTTCTATTAATCATTTAATGTATAGATGTAATTCTGATAGGAATATAATGTTAAGTCATGTACACAATTGTTTTATGTACAGTGTCAAATTTAGTGTATAAACATTGCAAGTCTCGTTGATTTTAAATAAGCTATGAGCGTTTACGATTAACAAGCCATAACACGATAAGAACGTTTGCAAAATAGTCGTTGAATCGTGTACGTTACGTGGCCGTGAAATGGTCTTCCAAATGGCATTGGACTCTGTTCATGTCGCGTGGAGTACTTTACATTTTAAGATTTTTATCGCTATAAATATCTCTATATCGTTTGCGTTCCTAGCCGGGAAAACGAATGTTCCGGAAAATTATATGTTAACATATGCTACTCTAAGTGATGTTATCTTTTTGCATTACATCTTACTCACATTTACTCAACTACAATTTACCTCACATTTACTTCCCTGCTCTTTATGTATCGTATTGTTATGTGTAACTTATCTTTGTTCGTTATGTGAACTAAAATATTCCGGAGCAATTTTATTGACTAAACTTGAAGACACATTATACACAAATGCAAAAGCTTAGGGCTTATCTGAAAAGCTTGTAAAGTTTCACAAACAACAGAGTTCCTCGAAGCGCAGTAGCAGAATGCGAAGTTATAAGCGTTATCGTCTTCTATAGCCTTATTATTTAATGGTTTGCCACAAAAGCAGAAGTACTTATACGGTGACAGGAAAGTGATGCAAATTTTAAATATTCATTTATAATCTATCTGCAAAATTCTGGATGATTACTCGGTGGCACAGTTGCTAAGACATTGGCTTCGGCGCCCGGGGTCGTCGGTTCGATTCCCACAGAAGAAAAGTATTGGGTGATCCAGGGATAATTATGCCGGATCTGGGTGATTGCTTTCAAGAAGGGTTTACATCCGGTATAGGCCGGTCGTAAAAAGCCTAGCCAAACCCATTAAAAGCATGATTCACATGCTGTCCTGACCCCACCAAAGTGGGCAGAAGAAGAATCATATTCTGTCATAAGTAGATTTGAATCTTTAATCGATCGAATCATTTCTAATCAATCTTCTTCAATCTTTTTTTTTACTGTGAAGTTCACCTGATGTTAAGTCACAACCACCACCCATTGACATTTGTAACACCCTTAGGGTTGCAGATGCGTTGCCACCTTATATTAAAGTGGGCCCCGACTACCTCACTCACCCGACGAAACGCAGATATGTAACACTCCACTTCACGCCGGTCTTCTGTGAGGTCGTGGTACTTACCCGCACGGACCGGTCCAATCGTAGCGAAGACTTGCGTGGCCTTCCCACAGGTGGGCTACTATCGTGGCCGTATACTATCGTTGTATTATATCACTTCGTAGCAGTCGCTATTGATTTTCAAAAGCACGGTGCATATTTCCGGATGCTTTCATATTTCGTACTAACGAACTTTCCGACACTCGGTAAATTCGAAATTTTCCATCTTTGATTAAATGCTCCTTTTGTGTCATTCCTTTTTTCAGCGCTGCGTGCGCTGAATGAAAGAATGACGATGCAGGGAGAGAGAGCAGCGAGACCTGAGCATGATTCATTTTTTCTCTTATTCCCGTTGCTTTTATGCTGATGTTGAACAAGTTAAGCTGTTGATTTCTTGTTTGTACGCGATTACTATATACATGGCAAATGAAATTAGTTTTTTCTCGTTTCCGTCCATGGTGAAGATTCTCACTTGCCGTCAGGTGAACCTCTTTTTCAGTTGAATCCTTTTCAAAAACAAAATCAAAGTTAGCACTGAGGTATATGTCTTTTGTTTTTTGCGTACGAGTTTAGCTGGTCAGTAAAAATATGTTTTTTTTCGGTCAACTTCGCTTAAACTACCGATACAATTTTTGTTTTTTATGAGGGTTAGATCATTTACTGATTATACAACGATATAGGCCTATCAGAAGACCGCATTAAAGTAACATTGTTAATTTTCCCTTTAATATTTTGAAGGTATTCCTGCAACGCTGCTGGTGTAAGACGTCTAGCTAGTGTACTCGTAGATGTCTAGGTGGCGATAATCACTCATCGTAAAATGCTGTTTGAACACCTTTAAGATAAAACGAACTTGTAAAGCGCTGATTCGGAATTGCTCTACGACCGTTCTCTCCCGCGTGACGTTTGCCGATGGGAGGGGAATTCCTCTGGATGCAAACATCGGGAATAGTTAGTGGCGGTCTAACATCGCTGCATTTGCATAGCGACGTCGTCGGAGGTCAACAGTGGGGCGGTGAAATTGGAACGGCGAAATTCAGAATCGTCCCGATGACTTCGCTACGTTGCGTTTGAACGTCTAGACTCTCTAAAATGACTCCGTTCTCATGGTTTTGCCGCGGTGATGATCGAGTGCTATTGGTCTGACTGTACACTAGTATGGAGAGATAGAAATGGAAGAGTGAGGATTCTATACACCAGGCAGTCTAATTTGGAGAGCTCTTGAATGACTTTAAAAACTTAATAAAACCGGCCAATTGTTGGTCGGACCCGCGCACGAAATCTATAAAAAAGGCAAAATAATCATGTTTATTTTATGGGAGCCCCACTTAAATATTTTTTATACTGTATGACCACCCCACTTAACTATGTTTTAGTATTTTTTGTTATAACGGCAATAGAAATAAATCATCTGTGAAAATTTCAACTGTCTATCTTGGTTCATATAGTTTGTTCACACACAGACAGACAGCGGAGTCTTAGTAATAGGGTCCCGTTTCACGCTTTGGGTACGGAACCCTAAAACTAACTTTATTAATTGGTTGAATATTAAGCCTTAACTAAGGGAAGCCGATTTGTAGCCATAAATACTGCCATAATAAGAGCCTTGATAGCTCAATGTCGGGGCGCTCGTTTTTAATTCTGTATACTCAAGCAAACTCAGTTTAAATCTCGGTGTCGGCAAGAATAAAACTTGGTAATTGGAATTTATCACGTGCTGATCGGAGAAGAAAGAAAACGACCGGAAACCTTTACGAAGTAATAAGTAAAAGTAAAGTAACAACCTATACATGTCCCACTGCTGGGCAAAGGCCTCCTCTATACAGAGGGTATCAGGGCATAGTCCACCACGCGGCCCCACTGCGGATTGGCGGACTTCACATATTTTCTAAATATATTTTTTTTGGTATTATTTCGAAAATATGCAGGTTTCCTCACAATACTAATAATAATTATAATACATTTTTATAGATGTTACTACTCGGTCCTTACTCTAAACAAAGATATCCGATAATAACACTACCACTGAGACTGACTACGACTGACCAACGTCTTTAATGTTAGACAAATTCAAAAACTCTTGTCGATAAATAAAAATCGACAAATAGTGTGACAGTCTCTATTTATTTCACCATAATATATGCACAGTTCAGCGAACGAGGAGCACTTATCGAGCTAGTGTTGCGCCCGACCAACTTCGCGTGGATATACGGAGCGTTATCGATAATCCACAAATGCGGCGGCGATCTCGCGGGGGCGCTTCCGACCGGAGCGGATGGGGCCGCTCGGCCGTTGCGGATTTAACGCATAACTCCGCAAACGCTCGTAAGAGGGCGTGCGATGCAGCGACCAAATGGCCCCGGTCGAACGCTACGGGGCGCATTACGCGAGGCTTTATAACAAACGGCGCGCCCAAATTGGCCCCGTTGAAGCGATAGTGCTAATGGTCGAATATGGTACATCACTACGGCTAAGTGTGATTCGTATTCGATGATCTTTGCGGACAATGGTACATAGTGATGTTTCCGGATTTTTCTTACATGTACATTTTGGTCATGTCTCGTTGGATTTCGAGTTTCGACGACGTTGGAATCAGGATTCTAACAATTTACCGTAAGGTTTACCCAAAAGACGATGTGATTATCTTTTACGGTGTGTACATCAAATTGGGAAAGAAGAAATCACATGTCAATCGTAGACGGAAGTGCGAAAGGTATAAAGTGTATCGTTATTTCTTCAAGCACTATCAATATTGCCTTACAAACACAGTCAACGGTAATATTTATATGTATATACATAAATACCTGTCATAAATACGTTACGTTTCAGTGTTATAGGCAGATATTATAGACGTTTAAAAATCACTCTCTGCCGTTTAAACGATCATTATGCAAATATACTTGTTTGCTATTAATATTATAATTTTATTATGAAAAGTTTAACAAATTGTTGAATGGTCCAATTCAACAATTTGTTTTTTCTTTATTCTGAATCTTCAACGCCTTTTCATTATTGCAGTTTTTTTGTTATTGTGTCCTCACTCATTTTCATAAGTGTGCTCTATCGTGTGGCTAATATGTTTCGATGAATCTTCATCTTATTAAAAGTACTAGACTACTTTGATATAGTGACTATTTGAAGATAGTGTCTACGGCCAAAGTAAATATTAACTGAATAGAACTAAATGTTATCTTGAAAATCTGACGAAACAATTTAGAGTTTATAATGTTTGAATCTACATTTTGTACACATACTGTTTATAAGGACTTCTGTTCTTTCACATGTTTTGTATGGTGTTGTGCCTCTTATAGTCCCAGTAGTCAACACTAAAATGCTTTATTACGTAAGTGAGGCAAGATGTAGTAGGTGAGTGCAGTTGTAAAGTCAAACAGTCTTTTTAAGACCTATCTGAAGGTGTCATGGACATGTGGGTACTAGTGTTGAATTTATGGATGCTTTCTTTAGGGATGGTCCATTATCTGAGATGCAGAAATATTTGTACCCAATAATGTTTTAATAAAGATGTCCGTACTGCGCGGCGTTTAGAAATTGTTCCGCTTTACATTCTATGACATATATAAGTGAATGGGACAGTTGATATAGAATGTTTGATTCGGAAAGAGACAGAAGTCTATAGAATTCAAATCTAATTACATCAATTGGCGTAATTTCAGTGCCTCAGTTTAGTCGAGCCAGTGACATATCTACCTCGTCTAATATCATTGCTTGCACCCACAGCCACGGTTTGTCATAATGGTGATTGGGGCTTATCTGGCCAGTTCTTATTAGCAAGGGTTCCTTTTTATATACGATTGTCCAGTTCCGCTGATCCTGCATTTAGTGGGTTTTCATTTGTGTTAACAACCTAGAATCAAGAACGGTTTGTAATCAATTCTTTGTGTGATAATACGTGTTATTATAAAACAGCGTATAGGGAAATATATTGTAATCCCGGAATTTTATAGGTTATTATAATTATCAAATGTGTTCGGAATTTGGTAGTGCAGTATAGCAGCTTCTGCCGTTGCAGAAATCGGCAGACTCGTCCGGGATTACATGGCCTTGCAGGAGACCGGAATAAGCTAGTAGTATTTGACATACATCTGCCTTTCGTTTGGAGAATCAGAGACCATAATTTTACTGGTTCGTTGGAAGGTACAGGGCATACTATCACTAGCAATGATGGAAACTTCCCTCTCTCATCAACTGAAAATTAAACATAAGCCTGACACCATCGAGTCGCGGCCTTGAGTCCATGTAGCCTGAATAGAGGAGGTTTTCCATAAATTATTGAGAGCTGAATTCCACAACCGTTACTACTCGACAAAAGCCAAATTCTATTTTAACAGTTGGCAGTCGTGACCACTTTGTGGAATTAAAATTTTCTGTTATATTTCAGAACCGATACAACTTATATAACTCAGGTATGAGAGCCTATTCTTCCCAAATCCTCTAGTATTCAAAAGAAAGTAAAGTGAAATCAAAAGACATAAGTGCATATGTACATATATATATTACTTCTGTATACTGGAGAAGAATACTGGAAAGGAGTAAATAATGCTCTTTAGATAAGTCTAGGTCCAGAAGTGCTCCAAATCCGAGCAACTGCGATAAGCGAATGGCGACTTTGTGAACGGGTGTGTATAAAAAAAAGCCGTAACGGACAAATGCCTGTACGTGTTCGGGCCTCGGAGATATAGGGTGAGTGTCGTGGGGAGGCTCGGGTGGGTTGGTCGCTCCCCTCTTGCTTTTTTCCCTATACTTTTGCGTTTCTTTGGTGCGATGCAAATTCGCCGTCGACGGCGACGGCCGACGCGGGCGAAATTCGAATTCGAGAATTTTCGGTAATGCATTTCCTGGGCTCGTTACGCCCCCCTCCCCCCGGGCGGTAGCTTTGAACGCCCGTTCGCCGGACGCTTAATTAGGTGTCGTCGTGTTGTTTTCGCCTGGGCTCCGCGTTTCGTGATGCGTCCGCTTTGTTTATGTACCACTTGAACAATATCGATATTCAAGATAGGTGCCGTGCTATTCAAATGGTTCTTTAGGCGACGGCCGACTCTTTTTAATTGAGAATGACTTTTTACTGGAGGACGAGTTTCATAGTTGATTACGAAAATGTGATGACTAACAAATAAGCATGCTCAGACAGCGTCGGGAAATTACAAACAAAGATAAAGGCGATTAGATACGAAACTTTGTAGTAATTATGTATTGTATTAGCATTAATACGTGACATTATTATAGGAAGATGGTCTTCATTATGACAAATTGGCTAATCTTGAGGGTTATAGCTAAAGGTGGGGCAGAAAGGTTCTCGAGCGGCAGTTTAGAAAGACCCCGCACTAGATGGAGTGACGACCTGTGCATATGTGCGGGAAGTCGATGGGTGCAGGTGGCTCAAGATCGTCGTGCTTCGTGGCAGTCTGTGGGGGAGCCCTATGTTCAGCAGTGGACTCAAACTGGCTGAAATGATGATGATGATAACAAAAGACGCGAGGCAAAGGGTTGTTGTTGTGAGGTACATGGGTGGGACACTATGGTGATGGTAAATGGGTGGGTGGAGGATCAATGTCTCGAGGTGACGCTGTCGAGGGCAATAGAAAACATAGTTGTAGCCTACGGCAAACCAGCTCGTCGACCCATGACTCTCGGGGTATCTTAAGTTAAGTATCAATAATAAGTACAAATAAACTGAGGAAGGTACTACATGACATTTTATTTATTGTGTGCTGTTTTGAAACCCACAACAGATGCCGAACCCACGAACGCTATACCGCCAGTAACTGCGTCAACAATGTCATGGAAATTCTATCAAAGTTTCCAAGCTATCGTACCCTTCCCTACGAAGTACACAGCTAATAATGCGTTGTGATCCACGATTCTACGCACACAACTGATGGTAAGAGTTGCACTTGCGAATCTGGAAATTAGAATCTAATGCCGGTTGTTTCTTTTTCGTTAGGTTTTTTTTTGCGTCACATTTGCAAAATCATTTTTTGATTCGGTTAGGTCTGCGACACATCAGTTCTCCAGATATAATGTTTTTGAAGATATTGTTTCACTTAGTTATATAATTCACAATTATCACGGAGCGTATTTTATATTGAGAAGAGATTAATACCAGATATAGCTATCTAAGTGTAAGCCTGTTGCGAACCGCTTGAGTTGATTTTTACAAATTGTAGTTTTGTTTACTATGCTACCTCACATTAATTTAGCACTGTTTTGGTAGAAATGAAAATGGAATCAAGACATGTAGAATGAAAGTGTCTTTTTACAAACTATGTGAGCAATGGCATCAATTTTATGCATAAAATATGAACAGACGAAGGAAGAACCTCTACGTTAGTGTAGAGTTAGATAATCCACAGACGCGGGAAGCTCATGGTTTGACGACCTAATGTCATAATCAAATTAAGCTCTTTCATTGATAACTTTTTAACGATTTTCATTGGTAACTAGGAGATAGTGGGTGAAATAGTGACATTCGATGGTCATATCAAGCGTTGTTGCTGTATACAAAAATATCGTATAGAAATTAAAAAGCAGCCTGTGTCATATTTTGTACAGAGGTACTAGGCCACGCGACTCCACTGCGGGACTTCAAATTTCTAAAAAATCTTCTTTTCCTCACGATACTTTCCGTTACCGCGGAGCACGTGATGAGTCAGCACTGAAAATGGCTCTATGCAAATATTGAGCAAAAAAAAAGTCTTACGAATTGCGACAGTTTTCGCTCAGCAATCGAATCGACACACCCCCGCGCTCAGTCGGAACAATGAAAATTTAATTAAGCTCCGGCATTCGATCATGCGCCCGCTGTATTCTTTGTTTCCGCCCTCCCCGGTGAATCGCGCGCGCTTTTTGGAGGATCTCTCCTATATCCGAGCGCGGTGCATCGATAATTGGGGCCCATTCGGGGCCACAATGAGAGTGGCTCACTCGTCATTTCCCGGTCGCGACGGAACTCCGAAGTGGGTCACGGGGCGGGGGCGGCGGTGTGGATTTCATTCGGGTTTTATTTTTAATGGAGACAAACGAGCCGGGAGCTTGAATGGTGGTGAATGATCGCCGCACCTCTAAGGACTTTTAAAAACGGCGCGAAAGCCTCTAAGGTAGGGATGGGCGAACTTCTCGGTCATGTAAAAGGAGATTAAAAGGGGACACGTGGGTTCGTGGACGGCCTGATCGTCCGTTAATGGATCCGGTAGGGGCAAATCTGGAAAGCTTTGACCCTCTTCCCCGAAGCGAGCTTCGTCCGCAGTGCTGAAGGAACCAAGTACTCTCCGTCGCAGATCCCTTATACCCTTCCAATGTACTGATGGTGGCCACCGGGAAGTTTCATATGCTTAAATCCCACTTTACCTTACCCTGTCACAGGTATCTAAAATTATCGCTCGATGCTCGATAAAGGACTTTTCTGCGAAGTCTTTTATTTCGCAGTTGTCAGGAAACACCGGCAATAGCTCATTATAGAAACTCGCCTACATTATTAACAGAAAATTTTATGAAAAGCGTGCTATGGTGGAGTACAAACCTTCCAGGTGTTTTGTACTGCAGAGTAGGCTCGTCTGGCGAAGTGGTAGACTTGTAGTTTTGCGTTTCGGTGAGTGAAGTAGCTGGGGTCCACTTTATGAAAACCTTTTCATAAAGTGAGCAGATGCTTAGGAGTCTCTACCCCTCTCATTGAAGCACTACTCGACAACTATCACTCTCTTGGGAAGATACTAGCTGACAAACACAAATACAATTCATGCAAACACACACGCCTGTCGCTCTGAAGTGTGTCTTCTTTCGTTACCTCTACTGCGTAGGGCCACGCAACACTCATAGGATAGAAAATGCGTTGCCACCTTTAAATAAAGTGCGCCGCGGCTACCTCACTCACCAGACGAAACGCAAAAGTGTAACACTTCTACTTTACGCCGGTGAGTTCGTGGTACTTACCCGGACGGGTAAGTACCACGAACGGGGGATGCGTGGTCCTACTAAACTCTATCATAAAAAAGATCTACATTTAAGTACTTTTCTTAGCTCCCTAATATGCTAGTTGAGGTCGTTAACGAGATATGCACGATAAGGGTCTTACGTCGTAATTAACGGCTATCTTAGACAACTCCAATTTATGAACGATTCAGTCAAAACAAAATACGTTTATTAAATTAAACAAATTGTGATTCATCATAAGCAAACCGTCCCACATTGGTATTGGTTCGACGATATCAATGACGCAACGGATTTATTCTAAATATTAAACCCACAATGTTCAATTAAGGCCATCGAAAAGGAAATAAACCTGGACTTTCGTCGCTAATTAACATCGGCCAGGAGTCGCCAAATTTTATCTTTCTTTGGTTTATATTTTTAATTCTGTATTTAATTAGTTGTCGCCGTAATGAGATACCTTTATAGTTGAAACTTTGCGAAACGTTCTCAATGATTAAATTGAAATTTATATACTAATTTAACGTGTAATTAAGTTAATGAGCATTCGGAAAGAGGAGCGAATTAATTTTCGCCATCAAAACCGTAGGTACGGTAAGTAAAAACGTTTTCTAGTGTGTTCTTCAGAGATTTCGGACTCGACAACCCACTTGTAATAATTGGAAGAAATATTAATTATGATTAATTCATAAAACTAACATTAGATTACTGTTCTTATGAAACAGATAGAAATCGCATTGAAGAAGGCATAAATTAAGGCTTTTGTATTTGACCAGTATGTATATTTGTTCGCCCCCTATGTTTCCTCGTAACCACAAACGGCTGACCGATTTTGAGTAATGTCGTCAAATTAGTCTTTATTTCGTGAGTATCGTTCGGATATATTATATAATTAGGAATGGCGGAGGTTTGGCGCCAAAATTTATGTTTTCATAAAAAATGAATTAATGCAATAATTTTTTTAAATCTCTACTGAAGAATTGTGTAGGTATTTAAATATTTCTGAACATTATGAAGAGATCTTCTTACTGGTTCTTTAATAGTTGGGTCTTTTTTATAAAGGAGGCAAAAGATGAAGCAGATCACCCTGTGTTAAGTGCTCTCCTCCGCCCATGGACACTTGCAACATCAGAGGAGTCGCAAATGCGTCGCCTGCCTTTAAGGAAGGAATAGCCTCTCTTCTTGAAGGGTCCTAAGTCGTACCGGCCCGGAACCCCCGCTGGCGACAACTGATTCAACTTGGTTGTGGAAATGCAGTCATGGACTGCCAACCATAAATGTGTTAGCGACGGTATTTGTCGGTTTATATTATGAAGTAACACGACCTTCTAAGTATTTCTGCGCTTCGTCTGGTGATTGAGATAGCCGGTGCCTACTTCATTAAAAGGTCGCAGCGCATCTGCAACCCTTTTTACCCGTGGGAAAAATCCTTGATGGACCCCTGCCACTGGATCGGGGCAGCGGCAGGGGTATGTCGCAATCCCTTTAAAAACGGGTACCCACTAAAATACTCGCATTGCACCTGTCTCTGTCGCATCGGCCGGGAACACGGGAACACGTAGACGCAATCTTCCGTGATCCCGGTGAGACTATGGCCTTTTAGGCTGCCTCTACTACTTGGTGCAATTGGCACAGCACACTACACGAGCCCCATATTGAGCGACAGACAATATTCAGCGATAAACAATATAGAGCGACAGACAATAATGAACGGCAGACAATATTGAGCGACAGACAATGCATCTGCAACTGGGTATTGCAAATGTCAATGGGCGGCTGTTATCACTTTACATCAGGTGGTGCGCTTGCCATCTTTAGCACATTAAAAAACAGGCTGCGGCGGTTTTCCCGACTAGGATGTTCCTTGTGTCCATCGCGCCACAGCGGAGGCAATCGATGAAACCTATCTAATACATTCGGAGCCCTGTCCATTACAAGTTGACGGTCGAGCCCGGCCTCGGCACACGCGGTGCCTCGTAAATCAATATCGACGGACCCTTATTAATTAGTGCGTTCGCTCGCGGTTCGCTCCCCCCCGGGCTTCCTCTCCCCCACTCGCCCCCGCTCTCCCCCCCCTCCGCCCGGGCACCGATGAGCGTTTTTAATTAGCGACCCAAAGCGCCCCGGCGGCGTTGACACCTAAGACTTAATAAGAGGCGAGACGGCGGCCGCCCGCAGTTTCCAGGAGACGCAATTTCTCTATCAAGCCCTCACTTTTATCCCTGAACTATTTTTGTTTAATAAGTTGGCTCTGCGAGTGGTTCTTTGTGAGCAGCGCTTCGGGTTTAAGTATATGGGGATAATCGTTTTTGTATATTCTGAAATAGACATTGGCTTCGGCGTGGTCGTGGGTTCGATTCCCACACGGGACAACTACGTTGTGCGATCCACAGTTTATTTCGCATCTGGATGTTTGTCCACGTGAAATTTATGTTTTTAAAACGTCCTTACAACACAGGATAATATTATCTTTAAATAAGGGCTATTATATAATTAACAAAATAAATAATGGCAGCCTCGCTTACGATCTGTGTTGGTGGGTTTCACCTCCAGTTATATACGAATCATGGTCCGTATTAGGTAGTAGGCTAAGTGTACATGGCTAGGTGGCTCGGTTGCAAAGCTATTGGCTCGGTTCGATTCCCACACGAGACATGCATGACCCACAAGCAAACCAAGGGCAGAACACATTTAAACGGCATCGTAACAGCCATTATAGCAATTACCGATGTCAATTTGAATGTTAAGAATGACTCACAGCCGCCTCGAGTGTATTATAATTAAAGTGCTGTACACTAAGCTCGCGTGCTAGGCACTATATCCAAGATTGCCTACGATCACATGAGTTATATTGTGCTGACGTTATTGCTTACGGCAAAGTGCTAGCAGGCATATGACATTCTTGCGTCTCATGAGTCAATAGTCTCATAAGCGCATATTCGACACCGAGGACGTAACGATTAATGGCGAAGGGAAATCCCCTCAGCTCAATTACGGCCCGTACGTGCGCCTGATTAAGGCGAGAACGGCGGTAATTAGCGAGGATTTATCGATAACAACGGCCGGCCGCGATCGATGCGCTGTTGCGGATAAGTATACGGTAATGGGACCATAAACACCGCGGGACACGGACCGAGGCAGACGGCGGACGCTCGAGCGTCGGACGATAAAATATCCGACAGATCGTATCGTACCGGTGGGCCATTAAGACGCTGGTTTTTTTCAACCCCTCCGCCGCCGTACGTGTATGGCGTCACCGGGGAAAGATTATCGGCCGATGGCGGGCCGGGGGCGAGCGGGGGGAGGTCCCCGCGGGCGCCTTGGTCCGGCGTCAATTAGACGTGGGCGGGCGGCGTGTGTGGGGTTGAGGGGGCGACGGAGACGCTACGTACACACGTAGCCGGCTCTACCCCAGCCTATGTGCGCCTACGAGCACGCCGTAATTAATCCCGGCCGAGGCTCTAACTCTCGGCCGCCCTCGCTCGCTATTCGGTGGCTTTTTATGCGCGGCTCGTTTGTCCCGGCGGGACTGGGGCTGCTGACGGTGGTACGTAGACGGTGGCTGGAGCATCGGTTGTGCTGACGGTACGGGCGCCGGCTAGGGTTGGCAGCGAGGTGTAGGGTCGAACAGACTTGTCACACTGCAGCGTTTGGGTCGAGTCGAAATGTGATAGATTTTTTAACTCCTTTATATTGTATTGTCGCTGATGAGCGTGCATTTGTTAGGAATAAGCGATTTCAATTTGTAACCTGTCATCTTAAAGAGGTCGTTAATCGAATTCAGCATACGCTTCGAATGCTGTGAGTTTTGGCTCCGCAAAGTATACCTTTTTTCTATGAACTTACCCATTTCAGAGCCACGTAAGGCGTTTTCCTTCTCCGTGCTTTTAAGATGCCTTCATACAATCGTATCGATTATTTCAGTTATGCTCGCTGATATAACTCTTAATATGTTATTAGATAGTGGGCTGGTCGCTTTGTGTGACTGTATAGAAAGCATGAGCTTATCGCGCGTCTCGCGACAGCCCTGAAGCCACGGCTTTCTCATCAGCGGTGTTTGGGAGCGCGGATGTAAATTGGCGGACGTCCGCCTCGTTGCGATTATCGCTCGGCCGCGGTTGCGTATTCGTGTCACGTCCCTTTTTATTTCTGCACGGATCTCTCGCGGGTGAAACCGAGTATTGGCGCATCGCTATCGACTCCAACGGAAGTGTACTATATATACTGTATGTATGTATGACTCTTTGACACTTTGGCCTCGGCCGCGGCGGTTTTGGGTTTGATGCCCACACGGGACGAGTATTTGTGTGACCCACAGAAAATTGTTCCGGAATCTGGAAACAAAGAGGGTTGACGTCAGGCAGACGACCAGTCGTAAAAAACATATCCAAAACCGCTTACAACATGATTAACATATTGTGCCGACCCCACCTAGGTGGGATAAGGGCAGGAGCATGATGATGATGATGTATTTCGATCAATTAGAACTATTTTAAAGGATATTAATTTTTATAGTGCTATTCTCTGCACCGTAGATAAAATTTAAAAATTTGTAGAAAAATGGAAGAAAAGCTTGTCGTCAGATTTGAACCTGCCAACAAAGTAACGAAACAACGAAAATCTCAACGTATTTTTTCTATTTCGGTTTTTCTTTATTGCGTTTTAAGCTATGTTTGGTTTCTTAAATCATTTAAAAATGAAACTAGCGGACGCAACAAAGGCCGCCCCGTTCACACGTCTCAAATCCGAAACTTTCAGACTTTTTCGAATAATTTTGTGTATCTAAACCATTCTTGAATCCACCTGAAGACACACAAAAAATTTCAAAAAAATTTGTCCAGCCGCTTAGGTTGAGTTCAGTGTTCTAGAGTTTACAGAAGAATTATATATATAACTAGCAACCCGCCCTGGCTTTGCACGGGCGCAATGTATTATACATAAACCTTCCTCTTGAATTACTCTACCTAGCAACGGCATCAAGATCCGTTGCTAGTTTTAAAGATCTAAGCATACATAGGGACATGGAGACAGCGGACGACTTTGTTCTATACTAGGTATCGAAGAGATGATGATATTTGAAATATAGAGATGACACCTTTGCTATTAAAACATTTTAAAGGATATTTATTTTCAATTGAAAGTACTTTGACTGTTACACCAACGCGCCGATTGAGTTGGAAATTCAAAAGTTAACGATGGTTAATTTAATTAATTTATCGCGTCCAATTAAAGCCAACGGATGCACCGTGAGATAAATGTCAATGTATAAGAAATGTATATTTTAGGGACTTGGGAGAAATGTCGTGCAGTTTTGTAGTATCGGTAAGAACTCGATACCGTTAAGCCGTTGATATAATGCAATCAGTTCGATCAAAGTTCGAAATTAACGCAATTTATTTAATCAACTGGCCAATTTACATTGACGGTTAACATTTAACTCCGCAGAGTTAAGATATCACATCCCAACGTGATATTTAAAGCGAGTGCAATGAAAGGTAAGAATACTGGAGAAGCTTAATGTAAAAACAGTAATAACAGATAGTTGTGACATTAATTTTTATTCGACAGACAGATATTTATCTTTAACGGTGGTAGGGCCACGCAACAGCCTCGGCTGTTGCACGAATGGGCAGGCTCGTCCGGGTAAGTACCACGACCTCACAGAAGACCAGCGTAAAGTGGCCGGAGCCCAGTTTTCAAAAGGTTGTCAACGCATCTCCAACCCTCGGGTGTAGCACATGTCCATGGGCGGAGGTATTTATTTAACATCAGGTAAACCGTCTGCTCGTTTGGCAACTTTTCACATAAAAAGACCTTGCATTCGGTCATGTTCGAAAGCGATTTTTCATAATTAAATACCAACATATCTTATACTTAAACGATAAACGAGCAATTCTTGTATATATATATATATTTTGATTCGGGGGCGAAAAATCAATCTAGCTAGGTTGCATTTTTAGAAAATGTCCTTTTATCCCGGGATTTTTTCGATTCCAGATCATTGCTTTCGTTATTTTTTTATTTTTTGTCCATCTAGATGATTTCGTTCTTTTTTCCCTTTTTTTTAAAGTTTTTTTCTTTTGTGAAAAACACCAGTTCATATTTTCTTATTATTACGTCTTTTTTTTTTCATTACTCAGTAATTTGTATCTAAATGTAATTTCCAAAATACACGATTTACCAAAAAAAAGGTCCTCCAGGTAGTTATAAGTTTAACAGCACTTTGTTACTGTTAAAAATGTATTTATCGTAATATACGTTTTATTTTTAGATCCCAACTGTTCTTTGTTCACTGACCCTCCTTAATTTACATTTTATGAATGAAGTAGAATATAGTCTCGAGTATGACGAAGCTAAATTAGAAATTATGAATTATTACTAATAATTGAAAACAATATTGAAGGTGAGAGTTCTTTCTATATAGTCTATTAGACAGATAATCAAGTTTGTAATTGACTTTTAAGAGATTAGAAACTTCATACGTAGCTCAGGACAGTTTGCTTGTATGTTTGTCCTTTGAAACTTACAAAGTTCACGCAATCTATTTAAACCACATTTTTATAAACATATATACCATTTTCTTTTTTACCGTAAAGATTCACAATGTAACACAAATGTTTAACGAACCATCACCAATATATTCGAACATAGTTAATATTTTAACGGTATTAGGAACAGTGATTTCTTATCTTTACGCGAATACTATATATGGTTAGATGAAACTATTTTACTGAATCATCCCGCGACCATGAGCGCTGTAAAGCATTCAAAATCAAAATGGAACACTTTAAAATCCGTAAAGTAATGCAACCAATAAAATATCATTTAAGCAAACACTAGGTCTAGCGAAACGCACCCGAGCCGATAACTGACCGACCCCAGCAGACTGGGACTCCACGGGGAGACGACAGAAGGCGGACCACATTAATAACGACGGGTCGCGGAAAGCAAAAGTTCGGCACAATAAAAGTTGCTGGGCCGCGCAAAGTGGGTCAAAGTTGCGGGGGTGTATAATATATATGTAAGTGGGTCTGTCTGGCGTTTCGACGCAGGGGCGGCGTCTGGCGCTGCCGTCTGCGATGCTACGCGCGGAGAATCCATAATTTTAATTGGCCGCTCGGCCGCTTTTATGACGTCTCAACTCCGTCGAGTTTCGGTTATAATTTTCTTAATGCGTTGAAACAGCGACCGGTGAATCGTTTCTTAGCGTTCCGTGATCGTTGGAAGACAGCTGCTCTTGTTGATTGTCGTGAGTCTGTGTATGTTTGCCGTGTTTATTAAAGTTATTATAGTGAGAGCTTATTGTTTTTGTGTTATGAATAGAATATTCTCCACTGAATTGAGACAGGTCTATATAGCAACTTTAGTACAATAGTCTTTAACTTGTTATTATGACGTTAATATCAGTTTCCTTTAATTGATTTAGCGAAACAGATTTTAATCTGGTTAGAGGCAATTTAGTTTGCAAGAAATTGAATAGAGGGTATAATATAAGATAATATTATAATATATAATAATACGTGTTTGAAAGTATGTACTAAGACTTTGATTATCTGAAAAAATTAGGTTAGTGGGTATTGGGGTAGTTTTCATTAAAGCTGTTTTTTTTCTTTTGTGACGAGGTTACATCCGAGGAAACGATTCGACCCATGGTAAGCGCTTACTTCCGCTCATGGACGTTGGCAACACCAAATGATTTGAGAAAGCATAGCTGGCCTTTTAATTATGAATGGGTATCTCTTCTCCAAGGTCTACGTTTCTTCTCTTCTTTTTGGTCTACATTTAAATACCTTAATAGGATGCATCGTTCTTCGCCTGTACAGCTTCTCGTTATTTTGAGGTCTAAAATAGGGGGAAAATCGTTAAAGTCGTGTCAATTACTAATGATTCTATCCCACGGGGCTCGTCAATTAGCGCGCGCGAATTCTCACCGGAGGACCACGTGAGGTTGTGAAAAACAAAATAAGCCAAATCTGCGCGAATAAAGCGGCAAGCTGTTCCTATTTAAAGTTAGAAGTCCTATCACAATTCTGCTGCATGGACCGTGAATCTCTCCTGTTCTCTACTCTACAATATTCCTCTGCACGGACGGTCAGGCTCTCCTCTTCTCTACTCTATTCTCTTCTCGACTTCGTACTCGTACTTCTCTAATCTTTTTTTTTTTTTTTTATGCGAAAAGTTGTCAAACGAGCAGACGGTTCACCTGATGTTAAGTGAATACCGCCGCCCATGGACATCTGCTACACTCGAGGGTTACAGATGCGTTGACAACCTTTTGAAAATTGGGCTCCGGCTACCTCACTCACCAGACGAAACGCGAAAGTATTTGTCATACTTCCACTTTACGCCGGTCTTCTGTGAGGTCGTGGTACTTACCCGGACGGGCCTGCCCATTCGTGCAACAGCCGAGGCTGCTGCGTGGCCCTACCACCGTAAATCTCTCTTCGTTTCGTACACTGACTAGAATTGAATAACAGTACCGGAATTGCACGTTCCTCAGGAGTTATACTTGTACATATCCATGGGTGGCTATAAAATTATGGACGATATTTATAGTAGTAAATACAGTATAGTTGTAGTGGTGATTATAATCACTTCTTTAAAATTTCCCAAAATAATTTATGTGAAGGGTATTTATTTACGCTTCACATAAATTAATATAGTAAATACATAGAATATCACGCATAGCATGTGGTTTACTGTAACACTCTGCTCGATG